ATTGTCTATTAGCATGCACGCATCTTACGCATCTATTCCGACTAATACAACAAACTCCACTTCCCTCTTCTGTTGTTGTTGCAAACTTCAAAAAATAAAGGACATCGAGCGGAAGTTGGCCTTGTGAATCAGCTATTGAAGCCTACATGCAGCTCGCTCACGTTTCAAAGGCAATTCATGCCTCTTCACTTCATTCATAGAAGGGCGTGAAGGCTTTGTGATAATCTACAGGCAGCACGCGTTTCACATCGCGTCGCCATCAAAACGGGAAGTGGGGGTCGGTTGCGAAACATATGTTCGCCGCGAGCGAGAAAATGGGAGTGGCGAAGTGAATACTAAACAGGCTATAGATGCCTTCGGCTGCGGAGTTCAACGATAGCAGCGGTAGAAAGCGTAGCCGCCGCAAATGTGGATTCGCGTTCAAAGTTTGGCGACGATTTTGTGTGAGCGTTTTCAAACAGTCGACTTTCACTAAGCTGCGTGGTAGGTTAGAAAACACTCTCTTTCGGAACAAAGTTGGAATGGTTGCCAGCTTCACTCGCGCCGATATGAGCTGAGGACTAGCAGGAGAACTGATTTTTAGGGTGCCGTAAAATTGACAGAATCGAAAAAAAAAACATGTTACTATCATGCTGAAGTGATAGTATTGCAATAAAATTGTTTTCTCACTTATCTTTAAAGATATCTATAAAGACGTCCCGAGTTTTGTTGGTTAGTTATCTTTCTAAGTTCAACACAGACATTTTCTTCATTATTTTTACACAGTAAACGCTCGTTATCTGGTGTACCGTTAATTCAAAAAATTGTCTATTTCGGACGTGTCCTGTGGTCCAGGTCAGCATATACATGGTTCTATAGCACCAAACTTTCGTCCCTTCATTAATATTTGGCCGTGATACGGTAGTATTCGGATGATCCTCAGAACGCACCAAGCACAAAGCGTCGCGAATACGTGACCCAAAGCAGCCAAAAACAGCATACAAGCACAGCCGGAAGAGCCGATGACTTTCAGAAAGACGTTGCAGCCATCCACAATCACGTAGTTATTACGTAATAAGGTACGGCTTCAGAGCACGTTTCGGGCCTAAGACATAAGGACTTGAGCAGCGTTCACTATGCGAACAAAGTCGCAAATCATGAAAATAACGGCTTTTGACCACACTTATGCAAAATACATACTGTGTTTATGTATTCTTTTTTCTCTCTGATCTTTATGCCCCCCTTTCAATTCCCCAGCGTAGGATAGCAAACCGGGCATGTGCCTGGTTAACCTCCCTGCCTTCTCTCTTGTTGTTCTTGTCCTCCTCCTTAAGAAAATTAAAGCGCATTGCCGATACTTGAGCTTTATCTCACAGAACATGAGGACACAGAATAAAGATGCACTAAGGCCAGTGCAGCTGGTGCGTGTGAATCTTCTAATTGAAATTTCCATTGAACCTTTCGCTTGTGTGCTTCGGATGTGTGCGCTTAAGATTCAGTATGCAAAAAGAAAAAAAAAACCATGTAGCCCGGATTTCCATACTATTGCATTGATGAAACAAGCATTGGAAAAGGTTTTCATGATACCTTCGAATAGATTGTGGATGTGGTTATAAAAGGGAAAAGAAGAGAAAAGCGACCCCCGTAACTGTCTGCATCATGTGCGACGCCTCAACAGTAGCTCAAAAGTGAAGGAGGTAAGAAGGCATTAAAAGGATAGTATTAAAGGTATATATATATATAGAGAAAGAAATGCGCAGGGACAGCGAGCGACGACGGAAATAGAGAGAAGATAGGAAAAATGAAACATGGTCAGAGGGGTCCTAGGATGAGGCACCACTGGCGAGAACTCTTGTCGGCAACAGGAGATGGCGTAGGATCAACCCAGTCGGCCAGAGCTGCGCTGTCGTCGGAGATCGCGAGGGCACAACTGGTCGGCACGAAATCCAGTGAGCGAGTCTACTTTCGAACAGTCGAACGGCATTCAGTTACTTCTGACAAGCATTGTTTTCCCGTGAAGTCAGAATCAATGAACTTTCACTGTATTATACCTAAAATAACACTTGTGTGATAGTTAAAATGCGCAGTGGTTATTCGGTCTTGATTTCAGGTTAGTGAAATACAATGAAAAATATTTTTGTTATACCGCACCTTACCTAAAATGATTCATTCGTGTAATGAAAGAGGTTAGCTAATAAGCAATATTCAAATTATCCGACGAACACACACTGCAACATTGCACCTGAAAAAACAGCATCTACCCTGATGACCGTCACAATGAATGCTGGCGAAAAAAACTTATACGAATGTTTCGTTATTGCTTTTACGAATGTTTTCTTTTCTTGAGAAAAACATTTTGTCAAATAAAAAATCCATATTTACTCACTTTTGCATTGGATGATAGGAGTAAAAACAAATAAGCCCTAAAGCCAGAAATACCAGCCGTAACTTTAAGAATTAAAAGTACAAGATTTAAGAAGCGCAAACTTTCTCAAATGCAGAATGAATGAAGATGCAGGCACATGAACACTGCATTGTATGACACAAGGTTATGATTACCTGAAGGAACAACCGATAACTGCACTCTTAAATTCACACTCTTTTGGATGCAATACTAATGTCCATATAAAATTTACGCGAAATAGGTTTGTCTGAGTAAGACGAATCGAGTTACAGGATATGGTGGAGCAGCTGGTGTAATATAGTAGTACGTGTAACAGTAACTTTATAGTCTCCCTTCACCCTCAATGCCCTACCAGATAATTATATCACCATAGTAGAACAAGAGGAAAACACAAACCAGCAGAATTTATTTGAACAGTAGAATCAAACGGTAATTCAGTCGGCCTACATAATCAAGTAACTGTAAAACTGATCTGTCATTACTGCAGCTCTTCTCCACACTACCTACGCAAGTTACTTGCTCCGGGGTCGGGGACTACGCAGGCATCCTCACCACTTATTGTCATTGATGAACCTGTCGTCACGAACGTCCAAGTTGTGAACCCTGCATCTAAATAGTTAAAAAGCGCAGACAGCGAACAGAGGAGACGTTCACACGGGTAGGACGCACGTATCAGCTGTTTGAACAGCACGTATCTATGTTGTTTGGGCACCTCTTGTCTCATCTTCGCCATTCACCACCACGTTGAACGAAAACCAACCGCTCCAGCTGGGAGCCCTCTTGAAGTGTTTGATTTGAATAATCAAATGATTCACAAGTACGCTGTAAAAGTTTCCGAAGCCATGTGGGCCAGCGGATGTCACATGCACAGCGATCCCATATCCAGATATTAGAAGCAGAGAGGGTGCAACGAAGTAGAACCTTGAACGACAAGTTTTCGGAAGTATTGTGTTGATAGCTAGGCAGACACGTTGAAGTTTAAAGATAAAGCCTTGCCTTCTTGCCACTGTACTCCTTTACTGCTGGGACCATCGATGCGACAGTCACGTCCAACCAAGCGGCAGAAACGAGACATCGCCATTTCCCGTGCTGCTATCGGGCGTACTTGAACCTCCCACGCTAGACTTGAGTTGGGTATAAAGCCCAGACCACTCAGTGGCAGAGATCTGATCGCTGTAAGTGGTTCTTCATATCGTCTCAGGAGCCTGGTGCTTGGCGTTAAGCAAGTAGTTTTGGAGGTGCTGATGATCACCGCAATGATGAAGGTAAGACCTTTATTGCAGACAAGAAGATAACACCGTTAGTAGACAGCAATTCTCATTAGAACGTGGTTTCTACTAACCTCAAATTGAGACACGCGTTGCTGGCAACCAGCTCCAAGTGCGAAAATTTACTCAATTGAATTTTGTCTTCTTGAAAATAAACATGGAACAAATTGAAATGATTGGAATAAATTGTAGTGCATTACACAGCAATTCATTGTAACGAAAACGTCAACAGTTACTTAACTAGTGTTTTGAGTAATGGTACATTTACTCGCAAGGCTGTTTCGACAACCAACGCCAATTACATGCAATCGTTAGCTACTGGAAGCTAACGTTCCTGAAGAAAAGTAAAAAGATATGACGTGAAGACGTACTACAGCGCAATCTGTTTCCTACGAACATCGAATTTCAGAAATAATGAAAGAATAAAAGTAATATAGGGGGGGGGGGCATGTTCACATCCTAAAACAACAGTATGGTTATAGGAGACGCTATAGGGAAGTGTACTGAAATTATGACCTTATGATGTTTTTTAACATGCACGTGTTAATGGGGTTCTAGTATTTTGCCTCCGTCGAAATGCGACCTCTATGGCCAGTATTGAACCCGCGGCCTCCGGATCAGCAGACAAGCCCCCTAGTTTTACTGAGACGAACAAACGTTATGAGCGTAGTATCTTCAAGAAAACTGGAACACAACTAAACGCTTTTGATTTGCAAGTACTCCTCATCAATGGTACAGGGCCCTCTTCGCTAATAATTTCTGTGGTGTGGGATTTTTTTCGGAGATCTCTTGCGAACAAGTTACGGACGGCGTCGCTCAATTTTAATGCGATTGCAACTTTACGATGGTGTAGTAAACAAGTGTGCTTCACAACTTCACAAACTAACTGAAAAACATCGCTATTTACATGAAAAGGTAAATAAATGGTTGAAATGTGAACGCAATGCACTATGTCATATCACCCCTAAAGGGTATTTTCTTTTGTTCAATTCTATAGCAATGCATGTGAGTTAGAAATTCGCGGCTTTGCTGATAATTCTGGTGTTTTACAAGACGACATCATTCTTCTATACAATACACATAATAGTACTGCTGAACTGGTTTCAGAAAAAATTCGCACTTAAGCACTTGCAATTTCGCGTTTATTTCAAAATACGTCCTTCGAAATTGACCACTGAAGTCAAAGTGAAAGTGCTTTCATTCCTTGCTTAAGATCATCGTTTGAAGCGCGGCTATAACAGTAGTAGATAAAGCTCGTCATTCACGTTGAGTGAGCATCTTATGTATGTTCGAGGGGCTATGATCATTCTAAGGCAAAACTTCGTTCCTTAGGACAGTGACACAGTAATATGGAGCTGCAGTCAGGCTGCCCTGCTGGGTGCCTGGCCAAATTGTCAAACAAGGCTAATGTAATGTTCCACATTATTTCAATTCAAACACCTCTAACCACACCATTTAAGAAATCAAAAGATAAGCATTTGCAGCAACTGGGAGGCCGAATTGGGCCCAGTTTGAAGAATCAGTGAAACCTGGTTGAACGGGGGCGGATGGTGGCGAAGGCTCGCGGCTGCCTTAAATAAAGAGGCTGCCCACCTCTAGCTCACTGTGCTCTTGCTCAAATAAAAGTTTGTTATCTCTCTTTCTCGCAGGAACTTTTGTTTGTCTTGCGATAAATGTGTAGAACAGATCCATTTATACGACATCAAACAATTGAACAAGCAATTCAGGGCACAGGAAGTGATTTACAACTAGAATTGTGTTTCTAATACGTCGCAGTAAATACGGTTACCTCTCGTTAAACTGTTTTGAATCTGTGCGCCATGCCTTCCTCATGCTGCCGACCTCTTTTTGTTGTTGTGGGCATGCGCTGTATGTACCTTGTGGCGTTGGAGCGATAAAACTCCAGTTAGTAAGCGCCTTTGCCTTGTCTTTCTTTGGTCCGTCCTCGTCAAAAGCCTGCTGTTCTCGCCTTGTTATAATAAACCTGGCATCTCGAGAGGTGTTACTCCACCGATTTAGCGAGCACATCATAGATCGCTCTGTTGACGAAGAAGTAACTAAGTTAAGCTAGGAGAGAAACGGGATATCTTAAAGTGGTATTCAATGTTTCATTCCTGCAATATGTTACATAACAGCAACTTGACAGACTTGGCACAAGATTACGAACAAGAAAAAAGAAGGCACTGTTACTTTTTTTTTATCATAACCTTTCGTCTCACTTTTCAAGTAGCCATACACAAACAAGCCCAACATAGCATCTTATTAAATAGCGCTCGCCTCTATCTTTCAAACGCAGTGCTTCATCGTCATCGCTGTCCTTGCCTTCGTGGCCAGCGGAGCCTTCGCCCAGAAGGTTGAAGGACGAACTCTAGTGGGACCTGGACTCGGAGGCTACGGCTACGGCGCCGGTCTTAGGCCCGGACTCGTCGGCGCGGGGCTTGGAGGTGCAGGTTACGGAGCGGCTGGCCTCGGCGGTTACCGCAGACCCGGTTTCATTGGTGCACCAGTAGGAGGTGCAGGTCTCATTGGCGCCGGTGGTCTTGGATACGGCGGGCTTGGCTACGGTAGCGGCCTCGGCTATGGAGGTGGCTACCAGTCCGGCTACGGCTCTCTGGCGGGAGGCCACCTCGGAGGATATCGAGGGGGTGCTGCCGGCTTCAACCAGGGATCAGCGGGTTTCGCAGGTGGTGCTGCCAACAGACACGTCAACGCTTACAACAACAACCGAGGTTACAGTCACACCTCGGGCTTTTCGTCATCTGGCAGCAATACTTTCGGCTCCGGACACAGGCAGAGTTCAGCCGGTTTTGGGGGTGGAGCTGCTGGCCACCAGGGAGGATATGGACACTCCGGGTATGGTCAGCATGCCGGCGCTGGTCTCGGTGGTGGATACCTTGGCTAACATCGTGAAGTGAATAAACGACGTCCTTTTTTCGCTTTCAATTAATGCTCTCGTGCTCTTAGTTTTCCTATTCGACAAGAAAGACACCAGATATATCCAAATTCGGCAAGATTACAATGACAGAAAAGAAAATAGGTAGTGCTCAATTTTGTTGTATTCTTTAGTATACTTGAAAAATGCCCTCTGTACCCATGACATTATCAAAGGATGTGGTCACCTTATGAATAGGTTCATTAGAAGTGCCTGCGAAGAGTTCTCGCCGTTTTTGTGGTTGTTTCTTTTCTAGCGATTAATTGTATAATAAAGAATACGCCAAATTACCAAAAACATGTCCTGTTCAGAGAGAGCGAGAGAGAAAAAGTGAATAAGGATGAAAGAAAGGCAGGGAGGTTGACCATGGCTGAGCCCGGTAGGCCACATTGCACTAGAGGAGGGGGTAAAGGAAATAAAACTTAGAGTGAGAAGAAGAGAAAAGTCAATGCTACGGTAGGCGTAACGGCAGTTCAGTTCCTAATACCACAGAAGATGAGGGACACATGTGCCGTAATTTCATAAAAGCAGCGCATTCATTGCCTCACGCAACTTGTATGCTCGGTTCCATCCACTCAAAATCTTGTCGATGCTTGTCGATGGTCAATGATTGGTAGTGCTGCTATTGTTCTGAAGCAACAGACTTCTGAAGGGTTGCGAGAACTGAAGTGACGGTGTCCAGCAGTTGCAACGTGCTTGAAGCTGTCGGTGTCTTACTCAGCAGAACGCACATGGCTTGCTTGCTTGATTACGCCTATACGGCACTGGCTAGGGTGCTGAACATGCCGATAAGTTCTCCGTCTTTGTCCGTGAGGTTATGAGATACCACTCACTGTATGAGGTGCTTCTCACTATAATGAAGTGTCGCTCACCGTCGAAACCTCATGTCGCTCATCAGGTGGATATGTCTGTGAGAGTTTGCGGCCTGCGTCATCTGCATTGCTGGCAGAGGCGTTGTTTTCCTTATACGCGGCTGCGTTCGGACTGGGTAGTAGGAACGAAGTGTCAGCTCCACCTTTACCGGAAGCGTCTTTGTCCTTACGTGATCTCCCCCTATCTTTCTAACCTGCTTTCAGGCAAGTTACATATGTTTGTATAGAAGTAGGTTGTCGTAAATGTTATCAATTTGAGTTGTCTTCCTCAGAGGCCCACTAAATAGTAAAATTGTACAATTAATATTTTTTGTCGATCTTGACACTCACCCTTTCTGTTTGCTTCGATCAATCAAAATGAATATTACGAATATATAATAAACTCCCGTAGTCCGCACTATTGTGAAAATTATATGCGTCCAAGCGATGCGAAGGTTGAAGCTTTTGTTAATGCGTGGAACAGGTTACTTTGTTTGTTTTCTTTCGTCTGGCTTTTTCTCACAATCGCTGCACTTGCAATAAATAAACAAACATTGTACGCTATGCTTTCCTTAAATTTAGGTTCTCATATTTTTGGTGGTCGCAACCAACGAAAACAAGCCCTCCTTACAAAGAGTAACGATTGCGACATCTATCAGTCAAAATTGTATCACAGGGCATCATGTGTTTACCCACAACGACGCACGGTGTAGGTATTACGCTACATGGACCCCCTATGGTTCCTTGACCTGTCATCAAATATAACACTATCGTTATTACTCCGCTTTTTGTTTATTCCTCTGCTTTTGAATAATGCCGCCAAAGGTAGCTGTTGAAGATGTGATTTCAGGCGTAGAATCAACATTGCGACATTGCTGCTGAAACCAGTCGGCGCAAAAAGTCGTAAGAACCGTGGCGGACTAACAGGATATAGCTATATTTTCTCAGCCTCAAATGGGAACGGATATGAAGGAGAAGTTTGGTTTTTCGGAGAGGCGGACAGCCGAGGAACGCGGGTACTCGCTGACGGGAAGAGATGGTAAGTTTCTAAGAACACTGCGAGGATGCGGATCGTTCAGACGCGTTTAGATCTAGAGATAACATCTTGGTACTCGAGGGGCTAAGTTCCTACAGTTCTGGAAGCAATAGGTCCTACAAAGACCATCGTCTCGTAGAAACAATTCACTGTCTTTACTTTTACATTTTTGTTTTACAGTTTTACTTTCCCTGAGCGCTTCCCTTCAGCTTTAGTAGGGTATAAAAAGGTGGGTATTGAGCAATGAGGATTCACTCACGGCCCACAGATCCATCCTCCCATTCAAGCAGCCCTGCTTCTCTACATCGACGTGAAGCTCGGAAAAGGACGACAACTTAGGCTGCAATGAAGGTGAGGCAACTCATGATGGATGGTAATGTGTTTAGTGCGATTCGAAGGTGGTTCGCGCTAGTGTTTGATGTTTCACAAATAATGAAATTGAAGTTTTTAGAGAATAATGAATCGGAGAGCTGAAACGCTTACATTTTAGTACCTTACTACCAATTCATTGATTCCTATTGTTCATGGTTTTTATTAAATTAACAAAGAGTTCTTCTGCAATACGCTTAACTGCATTCAAATGACATAGAACTTGAAAACTTGAATATTAAGGATATAAGTAAAATATTGTGGATGAATACGACTTGAAATTGCAATTAATGAGAGGTGCGTTCACTTATCTACTTTTGTGCTTACTTTTGACGCAATGATTTAAAATTATAGTTACAGTAGTGAAATATCATAATTAGGTAACTTTGATTAGATAATTTTACTACATTTTAGTGAAATCAGTGGAGAGTGCAGTTACAATAATAAATTTCACTTAGAACGTTGTAAGGAAGACAGTAGCATGAAATGAAAACAATGTGAACCAAAGAACAAACACAACCCACTAATCGAAACAGTAGCACAAATTGTTAAATGAGAAGAGGAAGCTAAGAGCAAAAACTACTCGCTGAAGCGAAATAAAAGGCAAAAGACATGAAATACAAAAAAGGAACTTCATATATTAAACAAGCAAGCAGTGCCCAAGTTTCTAGCCCGTCAGTTATCATTACTGTGTCACCATTAGTATGTCAGCAACCATTTTCATCATTAGTATGTCAGTTATCATCATCAATAGTGTGTTTTAAAGTAACGTTTAGGGACGTGTTATTATGTTTAGGAGAAGTTAAACACAAGGTAAGGCTTCTCATGTATCTTTACGCTTAGTGTCTAGAAAAAAAAAGAACAACGACCATTCTGTGTTTAGAACAAATCATAAACAATTTATAGCGTAGGGTAGCCAACGACAATTCCTCAAGATTCCAACAAATATATTTCGAATATAAAGCACTTCTTATCAACAGTATACGTGTTAATGCGAAAGTGAGCTTTTACATGGAGCGATTTTGGCTTACTCGGCTAAATAAATAATATTAATGTTTATCCCTCGGAAAAGTTCAACTTGGAGGTTCACCAAAATCACCGAATGCGCCACCGTTTAGCCCATCAAATATTGTGTAATAAAATTTGAAATAGTTGATATATTAACATGGGCGAGTGAAATCATGCTCAAATCGCTGTGTATTCTAACATATCAGTTCACCAAATTTGCTGTGTTTTGTCACTGAGAAACTGCTAACATATGCAAAGTACACATCTCATAATGCGTGAACGTCGCATACGCAAAACATATGGCCTCGAAGACACCAAGCACGTGTGCGAAATAAATGTCTTCTGGAATATATGTGATATGCAACAGAGAGTCCGGTGTTTATTTCTCCATGAGTTCAAAGAATCCCAAGTCTGTCATGCAGAAGAGGTGGCAGTTAGCCGAAATCCACAAGCATATATTTGCAGACTGCACTTATCTTCATATCATACGGCACAACGTGCAATAACAGAGCCCGTTTGGGTTTAATGCAGTTCCTCGTTTGGACTGTGTGCGCTCTTGTGGCCTGCGTTGCCTACGCTGAGGAAGCTGTCAAGAATGAAAAAGTCGAAGGACGTGGAGGCCTTCTGGGCGGTGGTCTCGGAGTCGGCGGCTACGGTACAGCTGTGGGACCCGGCCTCGATGGTGCTGGTCTCGGCGGTGTAGGATTCGGATCGGCCGGTATTGGAGGTGCTGGTCTTGGTAGCGTAGGTATCGGAGCAGCTGGTCTCGCTGGCCATGTAGGAGCCGGCTACGCCAGCCCAGTAGTAGCTGGCACCAGTCTCATTGGAACCGGTGGTCTTGGCTATGGAAGTGGCATTGGAATCCGTCGTCTGGGGTATGGTGGTCTCGGTTACAGGTGGTGGCCTTGGTTATGGCAAAGGTTTCCAGTCTGTCTATGGCTCTTCGGCTGGCGGCCAGCAGGGCGGCTACCAGGGTGGTGCTGCCGGGCACGACCAGGCAACCGTAGGCTTTGGTGGTGGTGCTGCCCACAGGAACGTAAATGCCTACAACAACAACCAGGGATACAGCCACATCTCAGGATTCTCGGCCGTCGATGGTAACAACTTCGGTTCCGGTCAGAAGCAGGGCTCTGCTAAATTTGGAAGCGGAGCTGCTGTAAACCAGGGAGGATATAGACAGTCAACGTTCGGCCAGAACGCCGGTTCTGGGTTCGGCGGAGGATACCTCGGTTAAAATTTGCTGTGAATAAAAAGAGTCCTTCTATGTCTAATACTAACTTCTTGTACCATTTCTGTGTTGTTCAAAAGCAAACACACAAAAAAATCACCCTCAGGAATCCTCATGCATTCGCGAAATTCGCTTCGAAGGTGACAGCTGTTTTTTTTTTCGCTGTCGATTCAATTGATCCTTCGACCCTCAAAACTTTATGCGCCCCACTGTTTCCGGTATCGCGACCTTTGCAAGTTTTCTGGACATCACGTGCCTCTAGGATTGGCCCACCTGTGCGAAGAAACAAACACATGTGGTGACTTCATGTGACGTCACGCTATGCCACATCATCATGACGTCGGAATTGTTGGCCATCTTTGACGTCATGATGCCGTCACGTTGTACTTTTGTTCTTTTAATAGAAATTGTGCATGACTCCGCGGAACCTATCGAGGTCTAAATCATTGAGCAGATTTTCTCAATAGCAGCCCCTGCCACCACAAAACAGCGTCTTGTGTGACAGCACCTGTTCGTACTGCTCGTGCTGTGCTAACAAGTTTTACAGCGTGTGCCCACTGACGATGGTGTATGAAGCCATTTTGTTAGCTCATGCTTGCATTTCTGTCGCACTCCTTACGCATCATACTAGACATATTCAAAAAGAGCTACTTCATTTCTTGGTATGAATGTGCACTGGAGAATGACCTCACACATTTTGATCTGCGGCCACCCCTTTAGCTAAGGACGAAAAACTCCTATGGCAGGACCATTCGTGGTTTTGTGGGCCCTGTGGCTGTGCCAAATGCACATAAAAAAGATGGACAATGCCATACCAATTGCTTGTACTTCATGAATCAAAAGTTATTGTATCAGAGTTGCTGTTGCATCATTTCTCTCGTATTTTGAATGTTACAACACGAACAAGCGAGAACTTTTTCTTCAGTGTCATGAGGCCACCGTGATTGTTTATATAGAGCAATACGTATTGGAAGATGTCCTGAGTTGTCTGGTAGCATTTATACGATGTTTATAAATAGAACCGTAGTATTTCTGAAACAAGGTACATTATTAGGGAAAATTGAATCGAACGTAGACTTGTAAACTTTACGTTCAATTTAACACGTATCTTTGGGTCAAAAGACGTTGGCATGTCGCTGCGATAGTTGTTTTTCGTGGAGCCATTTCATCCTGTATGTGTTCTACATAGCACAAGTATTTTGAGCACTAATACGCAGGAAGATGAAGGCACAGACGTTATGACACATGGTCACTGCTAGGGCGTTGCGATGTCCTATCTACTAGTTACGCAGAGTGTTTCGTCACGACGCTGCAGCAATTATTCGCAACTCGACCAAAGTCTATGTATACTAGAAACAACTGTAGAAAAAACGAAGATGGCTACGCCTAACAGGGTAAGCGTGGTACTTTTACCTAGCGAGCGTTGGGCTGTAGTTTCTTCACTATGGCAGCAGATCGCGCTGCTTCCTCGAAGACGAAAGAGTGCTGGTCCCATACCACTTCTTTCGCATTGGCACAAAATGATTTGACTGGCAGAACAGCGGAAATAGTTGCGTTGTGCGCGCAAACACGGAGTATCTATGGCAAACAGCAACCACTTTACTTCAAGTTGAGGAACCTCTCCAGTGAGCCCGAGGTTGAAGAAGTGCAACTGCTCATGTGTACCGCGCCTCTACGAAGAGTGCAAGCACTTGAGGGCTGCGTTGGCTGCACTGCTACAGACAAGGCCTTAACAGTTTTCGAAGGAACTCAGCGCTGCGACTCGTGTTGCTGATTGCATAGATGTATCCGCTTGAGTTCCGTTGTGCAGTCCGAAACCTTAATATAAACGTCATTCACTTGATTACAAAACCGAGCTGTGCCTGGGGCCAGTGTATCCTAAAATAATGTAAATCGTAAGTTTTAGGCCTCCTTGTTGCGATTCCACCCTCACGCAGGATAACATTTCTTTAGGAGTAAAGTTCCTTAGGGTGCAAGCTTGTTCGCCGCTGTCCGTCATACTTGCCCCTAGTACTCGGAGTGATCAATAGATGGCACTCCGGCTCTCGCTCCCACAATCAGCTCGTTCACGTGGCAGCAACTCGGGAGTGGCGGGCGTCATGATTCTTGTCGTGATTCGCCAGCTGGGCAACCAACACGCATTCCTCACGCTTTCTGCCGCGGAAGTACACAGGGACAGGCTCCTCAAAACTCTGGAATAACTGCAAGTGGGATTCGCGGTTTACCAATGTACCTCCGGAGCTTCGCCCATTCATCACCATTGACTCCATGGACAGCTGTGATTCTTTTTATTCGCTGGGGAATTGCGCGGCATTGACCACATGCCTTTTGCACGCGACGCTGATACTATAATCACCACACAATCACGAGCTCTTTAGCATGCATTCGCTGAGGTGTAATTTTGGATGAACTTATATTCAGTCCAAGTGGAATAAAGTTAGGTGCAAGTCCGCGTTAGTTTTTTATGTACAGTACACGCACTCGTTGTTTGCGCAGTTTACATGTGTTGCGTTTAACATAATTCAGGTGCCCGCTTTTCATGGACGTTGAATTGAGGGATTTTCAACGTAATCGCTTTTAAGCATTGTTGTTTCAATGCACCATGTTGAAGAAACAGTATACAATGCCAGTTACGTAAGCCGGGAACGCCAATAGATGCTCCAGTAGTGATGATTGCTGTACTGTTCTAATTGAAATCACTGTCACTAAAACGGTTCACCGCCAGACGGGTAGTTTCACTTACTCACAATTGAGATAAGGTATCGCTGTCGAAGCACAATTTGACCATATAGGCCTGCGGACTGCTCATTCAGTCCAAACATCGGCGACGTTTCAGAGAACGTTATATAGGAGTAACTATGCAAGACAATTGACATGGCAACCGTGATGATTAAACTTGGAAGGCACTTTAGGTTTGGCTTCAAGCGTAGAACGCGATAGCATATTAAGACCACGTGCGCATCGACTTCAACCGTGCCGCAAGAACAGGAACGTTCGCGCGCGTGACATTGGCTGTTTGAAACTGTCCTTGAATGTCTACTGGATATACAGTTGTCAAGTGCCGACTACGCCATATTTCTTCCTTGAGCTAATTAGCGGAGTAGTCTCTACTCGCCCGTAAGAGGCCACGTGAACTTGCACTGCTGCGAACTTTTTAACAGGTTGAAAGCTTTATGTCACTTACTTGTTTTCCAGGTCAAATGTTTTCGACGCTAGTTGTAACTGTGGGATTCTGCAACGAAATATTACTTGCGTTAATGAGGCTCCTTCCAATGCAATTCATGTAGTGCTTTAGTCCAAAAAAGTTTAAAGTGTTGACAAGGCTTAACAACGCATAGGGCATGAGTTCGATTATTACTTTCCAGTGCAAAACCGCAACTTTTTTCATTATTTTTTAGCATATTTCTCTATTTTTTTCTAGATGTAAGATGATAATTATTCGCTCACAACCAATGATGCCTGCAGTGCGTATACAACAGGTAGCAAATCGAGCTCATCCCCCATCCTACACACACAACTGTTTTTCGCCATAGCACATAGAACTACAAATGAACATTTCAGAAAAGTACCTCCCCTCCACATAAAACAAAATTTCGGCCTACGCCCTTTGACGCCGGTCCCAACACCAAGGCTAACACCGGAGTTAATGCGAAACGAGCTCTCTTAAGCTGCTGCGTTAAAGAAAGCTATCATCAGTAACGAAGAAAAAGAACGCTGATGCTCCGGCAAAACGCGTGAAGACTATGCATGTGATGCTTTGCTTCTTGTGTAAAGATAACAATGATTGATGATCATCAAACGAACAAGAAACTTTCTGTAGAGAACATGCAGCAGAATATGAAACAGCACTCACTGAACAGTATTTTAAAGTCATTTCATCGCTCCCTCACTATAAGCACAATCACATCAGCAGCAGCAGCACAACACATCCCAAGCTGAAGTTGGTTCACTAAAATATTTGTGTCATGGGTATCTTCCGAAGGATCTTGGACTCCAGCTGGAGAACGTAATTGGAGCCCTACACAGGTAAACCTGTATTCATTTTTACAGCAATCTTTACGAAAACGAAGCGCTTCGGGACTGACTTAGTTGTTTACTTGTGTTTATCTACACTGACGTTTAATGAATGTTTTATAACTGACCGAAAAGATGCGCCCACGCTGACCTTTGTTACTGCTCCCGATGCATTGATATTAACGTGGGAATTTAAGATTGTCAGAATTATGATAACAAATGTAAAACATAACAAAATGGCTTTCGAACTTTGTTGAAACAAACTGTTTCAAGACACTAATAGCGTGAAGCCATTAGCGTACTCCAAAAATAATCACCGTTAGGAAACATGACGATTCTTGAACCCCCGACATGTTTTTTGTTGTATTTCATAACATCGTTACAAAGCTTCGCTAAGTGGACCCGGCCCCAGAAAGCTTTAAACTTTCAGAACTTGATGAAACACTGTCAGCCTATGCGCTATGTTGATTACGGTGATTGGATGCTGGCCAGGACAGACGTGGGCCGGATCCAGGCCGCTGCGCTGACATTTAAATGTAGGTGAAATTCCAGACGTCCATGTTCTTTGGGATATCATTCTGTGAAGACACCGAGAGGCTGAAATTTCCGCAGCAATCAACTATATGGCATCTCTCTGATGATATCGTTATGATGGCACGTGAACCTCTAATCAATATTATCATCTGTTATCCTGGCTGTCTTGACGTTAATGTATCGAAAAATTTACGTTGTGAACAATCAAGACAAGGCCAACACAAATATACATTCTTCAAGCAAAAGACATCCAACTCTGTCATTTGAGTACTTTTGCACTTTCAGAGAAAATAAACCAAAATACGTTTGGAGGTCAAACCCGTCCCTGGAAAGCTCGGGAATACTATGACATGTATTTAGAGTACAGTGAAAGAGTCACATTATCCTATGGCAGTGGACATCCTTTCTGTTCTCATTTTACACAATACACCACCTGTAAAAAGAAAAGGAAATTGCTAGGATGCGAGGGGGAAGGGTGGTGTGCAGAGAGCTTATTTGCATGATGGTAGACATGAAGGCTGCTTCATTGGTAGTGGAAAAGAGCAAGATTCAACGAATGGCAAAAGACATCGGCAAGACGCTTTTAGACTTGGAGATAACGTTTCCAGTACTTCAGACAGGATTTTTTCGAGGAGGGAAGCATGACGTCTACAATGATAAACGTGTCGTGGGAACTAGTATCCGTCATTTTCTGTTTTGTTTGTGTTCTTCCTAACCACTTTTGAACGAGTCGTTGGCATATGGTATAAATACTGCGACACTGCACAGTAGACGTTCAGTCACCTCCAGCGCTGGATCTCCAGGTTCTGACTCAACGAGAACATTGTGTGAAAAACCAAACCCTCGAAAATGAAGGTAAAATTTTTTCCCCGCTTCTGACCTAAGAACGTAGCTGATGTGCAGATGTGTTTGTAGCTCCGTGTTTAGTTGAGAAGTGCGACAGGTTCCACTCATACAAGAGTTGGTTTCATGCAAATCAGTAGGCAAATGTTGGCCCATATGTCAAAGTTTATTGCTTTGAATTAGGCGTTGCAGGTTCGACTAAGTTATATCGGTATTTTGAGCAGCTGCGTGCCTTTCGTGGTCAGGCTAGTAGCGACAAGGTCTTTTTCTGCAATGCTGGCATCTCGCTAAGAAATGCTTCACATTTAGTATTTTTATGTAATATAATCAAGGATGCTCAAATGTCAGAAATTATTAAGAAGATTATGTAGAAAAAAGGAAATGTCTTGCCTGGAGTAGCAAGTTTTTGTCCGCAAAAACTAAAAAAAAGTTTCGAAGTGTTGCTTTACCTCTCAGAAACAAATAATTATGAAGGAACGTGTAAAAAGTTCTAATCAGAGCAATAAAAAGTTTCCACTAACAATAGCCAATACGTATACATTAGAATTATTTGAAAGCGTTCAAAATGGTTGAAGACAACTAAAATAGGGTTTTGTTACTTTACTATTAAAAGCTTTGTGGCTGTTTTTGCAGTTTCAAAGAAACTGCTGCGATAATAATCATACTTGATCAAAATGCAAGTCACATTGAAATTCGCCGAATATGCGTATAAATGAAAAACTTCTAACACGTTTCTCAAAAGCACATTGACGACTTGTGGTGCTAAAAAAACAACTACGATTGACCACTTATTCTGGCATATTATGTGCCTGGAAGGTACACATACAATATTTCACATAATATTTCACAGTACAAAGACTCTACAGTGTGTTGTCCCACTGAAAATAGAATAAACAGTCATGCTTCTGTGGTCCTTCATAAGGCACAGTATTCTATTGTGTGTCCCTATCGATTTCTAAAACATCTGTGCGAGTTCTGATAACGCAGACATGTGATGTCATAATGTTGTGGAGTTCTAAATATTACCTCACAGAGATACTTGGGAGCACTCAGCAGATTTCATCTCTCGATCGAAGGAATGATCTACCTATGAAAGGCAATTGTGACCCAATAGTTATAATAGTCGTGAATACATACACTTGAGTCACGTGAATTTGTTTGTTTTAAATCACAGCTCTTCATCGCTACCCTTATCTACGCCCTCGTGGCATGCGGTGTTTTCGCTGAGGAAGCTGACAAAGAAGAAAAGGTTGAAGGACGTGGAGGCCTTCTGGGTGGTGGTCTCGGAGTCGGTAGCTATGGTAGTGGTGTGGGACCTGGTCTCGTCGGCGCTGGTCTCAGAGGTGCAGGCATCGGAGCAGCTGGTCTCGGAGGAGCTGGTCTTGGCTACGGGGGTGCTCTTGGAGGAGCTGGTCTTGGCTACGGCGGTGGTCTCGGCAACGGCCAGGGATTCCAGTCCGGCTATGGCTCTTCGGCTGGTGGCCAGCAAGGTGGATACCAAGGTGGCGCCAGCGGACACAACCAGGGATCCGTGGGCTTTGGCAGTGGTGCTGCCCACAGGAACGTGAATGCCTACAAACACAACCAGGGGTACAGCCACACTTCGGGATTCTCAGCCAGCGAAAGCAAGAACTTCGGTTCCGGACGTAACCAGGGTTCTATCGGGTTCGGCAAAGGAGCTGCAGGTCACCAAGGAGGGTATGGACAGTCGACGTACGGACAAAACGCCGGTTCTGGCTTCGGTGGAGGATACCTCGGGTAGAACTGACACTTAATAAAGTTTTTTTCTGCGATATACAACATTGGTGATCTTGCCTTCCTGTACCAATTGCAGATATCGGCTTACTATCTGCAATCAAAAATGCGCCAAACACACAAACATAAGTGACAGTTAAAGGCTTCGCTTGCCTACAAACTTTGGCTAGTGTAGGATAGCAAGCTAAAAGTTTTGTGCTTGTTAAGCAGCCTGGCTTTCACTCAACCTTGTCTCTTTCTCTCTCTATGGTTAGAGTATATGAAGGCACCAGAAGTTACCATGATGAATATATATATATATATATATATATATATATATATATATATATATATATATATATATATATATATATATATATATAAGACGAAATAAAAATCGTAGAAGTACGGATACTTCCATGATTCTAATCTTGTCCCGTATTTCGCATTGCTTTCACCGTCTATCATGTGACAGTAATTTGTGTGTACTGGTAGAAGTTAACATACATCTTACCAAACTGAGCACGTAGCCGTTTGCCATATATATCTGTAGCCACTTCTACAGACTACATTGCACGCAAAAGTGAGAAACAGATGTTTCGCAATCAAAGAACAATATACAAATTATTTTGGCTAAAGCACAGATTTTTCGCGTGATGACGCCGTATAGCATGATACACATTAAAAAATCATTGTTTCAATTTGTAATTTTTCATAATTACTATTATGACCACTGAATATAGCTAAATATGGCATGTGTGATAATATTAGAATAAGAACTTATTAAAGGCAACTGTCATTCATGTCTATATTCATTTAGTAAATTGGAGCTTCGGGCACGGTTGGTTTTACGATGAAAATTAGGAACAACGCGATATTCTGTGTGTCACCTTGTAGAACATTCAGCTGCTCGTGTTTCATAAGGCTTCATTCAGTCCCGCTATTTTGTAGCTTGAAGTGCTTCCGTATACCTTTGAGACAGCTTTTGATTAACACAACCTTTCTGTAGTATTTTTGTAGTTTTGGTACGTCAGCGTGTGTGTTTAATTAAAGTATTAGAGGTATTTAGTTGAGTCCCCAACGCAGCTCGCTGTATTCGTAACTAAATATGTACCCTTTTGAAGTGCATGTAATAGAAGGTAGCAAGGTTTTCTTTTGTCAGAACACTTAAACTACAATACGTAATTCAGAAAACGAAATCCCACTTGACATAAGATTTTATACGTGATGCAAGTGAATAAGTTCGATGGAGGTCTGTATACTAGAAGTAGAGAATATAAATTACAATTTACCGCTTATGATGACTGACATACGTTTGAGAATTACTCAGCAAAGTTCGAAAGATTTGAAGGCAATAGTGACACAAGCTACTTTAGTGCTTTCAGACTACAAATGCATTTTCCTTGTTTAATAAACAATTGTATCGGGCCAGTTGGTAAGGATCCATCTTGCTAGGAAGCCCAGCCACTATAACACACAACACACAACACAAGCGCTTAACTTCAACTAAACGTTTATTGCAAACTTCAGAGTTTTTTAAGGGGGTGAAAAGAGAAAAAAAGAATAACAAAATGTAGACAACAAAGAGCACACGTGCCAGTACCGTACATTACTATCCGTTATTATTTATCACCCCCCTTTGTTTAGCCTCAAACCACTCGTTGCATCATCTCAACACATTTTATGTAAATATACCTGACGAAATTGGATACATCTCACAGTTTATAAATATTTATCGGTTAGGATACCAATAAGCCCCAAACTAAAGATAAAAAGAAAAGGAAAGGAACCGCCAAATAGTTCGCGCTCTGTCGGCTTAGGTGTGCTATACGCACGTAGAAGCGAAAATGTGTGGTCTCATCAAATTTAAAATTTTATATGTAGTTAAGATACGCAATAGGCCATTTTAAATTACAGAAACAACTACGAGAGCTCCAGCAATGAGATTAGCCTGTAATATATATCTCCAAGAATGCACACGACGTATGGCCTGGGTAGACGTAATCAATCGCTTGACTATAATATTCCTGATTCAATGAATTTATTATTTGGTAATACGAGCTCATTTCAAACCTCTCCATTTGTTTTATATCATCAGTTCTTTGTCGCCGCCACTCCTTGCGTCATAGTGGCTTGCGGAGCTTTCACCAAGGAATCTGCCAAAAAGGGAATGTATAAAGGCATGGACGTCTTCTTGGAGGTTCTCTCATAGTAGGAGGCTACGGTGATGATGTGGGACCCGGTCTCGTCGACGCTGGTCTCAGAGGTGTAGGCATCGAAGCCGATGGTCTTGGAGGGGTTGGTCTCGGAGGTGCTGGAATCGGAGCATCTGCTTTGGGCGGCTACGGAGGAGGTGGTTTGGCCGGTTCTGGTGGTCTGGGATACGGAAGCGGTGTTGGACACGCTCATCCTGGCTATGTGGTCACGGCTATGGGGGTGATCTCGGCCTCGGCCATGGATTCCAGTCCAGCTATGGCCCTTCGGCTGGGGGCCAGTAAGGTGGATACAAGGGGAGCGCTGCCCGACGCAGGGATCCGTGGTCTTTGGCAGTGGTGCCACCAACTGGAAAGTGAACGTTTACAACAACAACCAGGGATGCAGCCACACCTCAGTATTCTCAGCCAGAGACAGCCGGAACTCCGGTTCCAGTCATAACCAGGGTTCCGCTGGATTCGATAGAGGCGGAGCTGCTGGAAACCAGACAGGACAGGGATAATTGTCTTTCAGACAAAACGTCGGCTTCGGCTTCGGTGGTGGTAACCTCGGGTAAAATTGAATTTTAATAAAACGTTGCTTCTCCTTGGTATACCGTTATTGTGTTCTTATTGAGTGTGATAATTTAGAGAAGACTAATAATAGCTGTTGGGCATTAGAAAGCTATGTAAACTGTGCCTAATTATATGTATACGAGTGCTTCTAGCCTTTCGCCTCCATTTGAATGCAGGCACCACGGTGGCAATTCGGATACCGTAACATTCGGGTAATGTACAGTAATCGGGTAGACATCTGCAATCTAAAAAGTTCATCACTCAGAAACATTGAGCAAGATCGGCAATTTGCTTGCATTACGATCTCGGATAAGGTATACAGAGGCTGCGAAAATGAACGTGATGAGTTGGCCTCCTGGACAGGGTCAAAGCCTTCGTGAGAATTTACCTCGTGAAGGCGTTGACACATTTCAAGAAGATTCACGTCATGAAAAGTGGCATTAAGGAAGATTAAGGGCATTAAGGAAGACGCCCCGGTAGATTTCGTACTTCGGCTTCACAAGAACGCTATGAATCCCTGTATAATAGCCGACACTCTTCTGTGACCTATTATTCTCGTTACCTAGTGTGGCTGTAGATCTGGGTATGGTATAGTGCATTGTGTCAGAAAATACTCGCTACTATGCGGAATCGATTGCTGGGATAGAGTGTGCGAATTAGCTTAATTATACAATTGGACACATCAGTTACAGAGGAACACGGTTCTACAATACTGAAATCACGCATATAGCACACTTGAAGCCCTTTACTCGCCGGGAGAGCTTTGTTGACAGGAAGAGCAATACTACAGCAGGTCTAATGTAACGCCGAGAAGTAACAGTGGCAACAAGCATGGAGGAAAAAAGAACGAGGAGTGACTCTTCGTCGTCCAGCTGCTACAAATAAACATTTCCTACAAACCCCGTAACAATGTAAACAACACACTGCTCTCGCACTCGCTCGCTTGAATAAACACCAACACGCCTTCTGAATTATAATCATTCTTCCTGAGTAAGAGTCTATCCTAAAAAAACTCATCAATATGTTACGCCGCTAGAAAAGAAAGGAAATGCTGTTTGATGACATTACGAAAGCTAGAAGGGTTCATAATTTTTATAACAGGACCATTACGAGTATGAGTGCCCGTGAACTGCAGTTTGTTTACATTGCTTCACGGCGTTATATTAAATTTATCTGAAAATTTTCTGCCGTGCACCAAATAACGAGAGAACAGGTGTAAAGAGATGGTATCATCGCTCAGAGTGCAATGACTACATTCAGCCTTATTCTATGGCCATACCAATAATTGTGACTGCTGAAACAAGGTCGTTCACAGTGATTCTGGGGTGTCATTTTCATTTGTGATATGGCACACCAGTGTTCGCGTTCCAGTAAAATTTCGACGTGCGCACCTATGAAACTGTCAATTTGCGTCAGTATTCATGAAGTTTCAGGCAGAGTGAAGTAGATGTACTTGTGCAAAAGCGATAGACTTATGACAGCGACGAGTCGGGAAACGTCAAAACAAAAGCATTACAACGCAATCAAAGCTGCATTATCAGAATCTCACAAATGTATTTTTTTTTCACGTGATAAGGTTAATGACTTCGTTTTCCAAAAACTCCAGCGTCGGTGTCAGTGTTGGCGTCGGCGTTAGAATAATTTGTTGTGAGTGACAAATTATCATCTTGCGCATGACCGCAAAATTCAGAAAGTTGCAAACGAAATTGTTAATAAAAATTTTCGGGTCTGGGTGAGGACCGAAAGGAGGCCTTCTGCGAGGCAAGCAAGTGTTCTACCACACAGCCACCCGCATGCTTCGAAATGCAATAAAAATAACGCTCATGCTGTACAGGCGCAAAAGTCCTGTATAGACGCTTCACAATACAACAGGAAACATCACAGTAATATTGCATGGAAGTACATCACCATCGGGCATCAGAACCTATGATTATCATTCTGTTTCGTGGTTTAAAGTCGGCTACCTATTACAGATGCCACACACGTTACTGCACGTATTTCTTTAGGACCACGTAGTGGTTGCATAGCGAAAAGATTTCACGCACGTAATCGCTCGTGGTTTAAAGCGTGCTACCAATTACACAGATTGCAGCTGTATGCGAAAGCTTTGCTGACACAAGCCATGGGCTTACAAGTTTATCGATTATAGTGTAGTATTCCACAATTTAAACTTCTGGAGTAACATGATGCAATAAAAATTATGCACTAAATGATGGAAGCACTAGAAACAGCTTATCGCTATCACGTTCAATTCGTAAAGGCGAAGCCAGAGGGTACCGCCATTTTCTGTGTTTCTTCAGAAAAACAACTGGACAAGGTCACGCCAATTAAAATTCATGGCGTATCCACGCAGCGAATAGTGATGAATGGGTGAAGCAATAGTATCATTCGGTGTTGCCGCAAATGAACCTTGACATTCACCACGCATGTATATGAGTGACGAAGCAGTGCACTCTACAGTTGTATATGATGTTTAGTGGTCTTAACTGACCTTTTGTGTTGCCTTCTTTATTACTTCTTTCCCGTATAAAGAACCAGCAGAAAGTTGGCAAAGAAGAGGTCTGGGCACGTTCCCCTGGCGGATGTCGGTTGTCTTAGTCATACAAAATGCATCATAGCGCATATCCGGAGGTCATATACTGCGCACGTCACTCGTTATCCATGGTCATCGTTATATTCATCGTCATCATCATCATCATCATCGTCATCGTCTTGGCGTATAGTAGGTAGCTTGCATGTGCTCGGCTCTTGCGAATGCTAACGCCACCAACGAACAAGCCTCTACCTTAAGAAGCTTTGCCCCTAAAAGAAATGCGAGAGAGAGAGAGAGAGTTCGAAGCAATGCATTAAACTCCTTATCAACGAACCTTATATTTCTACAAAATGTTACACATACACATATTGAGCAGTTCAGTAAACATTCGTCTATTGCCATTAGCAGCACTAGAAATTTTTCAGTGCAGCTGACCAGCTAAAACGTTTTGCTACTGTTACTTCTCGATTTTGGTGGACTACACAGAGATAACACTGACTTAAACATTTCATTTCATGAAAGCCTACACACGTTCAGAGTAATATTCCTAAATAGAAGCGTTTTTGATGGTTCTATTAAGCAGATACGTCAAGTAAAGTTAATTGTAGACTTGCTTTGCTTATGCGAATAAAAGCGTATTCTGACAAATGGACACTACCGCGGCTATTAGTAGCATTCGCTAAGAAGTACTAGAAGTACTAAAAGTAATGTTGAATATACGTTATACCAAATGAAATGAGAAGGGTAGTACGGCAGCAAATTAAACGCCATTACTGACATCATTCACTGCCCCCCCCCATTCAAAGGATCGTTGTCAGATACATTCATTATTGAAAGCACGGCCAGCTGCTCATTTGAATTTCCGACTCTGTTTTAAAGCTCGATGCTAAATGTGCCCAAAAGAAAACAGTTGAAGATGTGAGGGTTTCGCGAAGCGCTGCCACAGACAACTGTACTTTTCAAGTAGGAGACACTCGAATGTGCTATCTACGTACTTTTTATCTTTCCCAGAAAATCAACCATGACATAATCGGACGTTAATCACTCCCTCTTAAGTTCAGAAATAATGTGTCTCCTCTTTCGAGTACACTGAAACCTTTACATCAGACTTTGGCAATCGACATCCTTTCTGTCTTTATTTCACAAGTACACTACGTGTTGACGAATGAACTAGCTCGGACGAGAGAAAGAGAGGAGAATGGTGCATACAGAGCCGGTTGGTTGTACGCGGAAAACGCGAACTCTGCAGCGTTGGGCGGAAGAGACGCAATATTCTGCGAACACCCCATACATCGTCGAGGCACTTTCTGATTGAGAGATATCGTCTGCAGTCCTTCAGCTTGGATTTATCTGAGGAGGGAAGCACCACGTAGGCGAACGTGACCATCTCGTAGAAAGAATTATCAGTCGTTCCTACTTTTGGTTTTGTTTATATTTAACCCTTTTGGCAAGTCTAAGGAATAGGGTATAAATACAGCGACACTGACCAGTAGAGATTCAGTCTGTGCAGTGGTCAATCCCCCGGCTTTCGTTCAGAAAGAGATCTGGTAAACACGAAAAACCACTAGAAATAAAGCTAGGAATATTTTTTTGTACAATGGTAATGTAAGTAATGTGCTTCAGAAAGTATAGCAGTGTCACTTGTTAAACGTTGGCCTAAAACGACATTTATCAATATTTAAACTTCGCAGCGTATTAAAACAGCTACAATACGACTTTCCTTGGTAAAACACAATTAAAGACAGTTTCTAGAGAGTTTTTCAGGTGTAGCAAGTGAATAACTCTAAAGGTCATACACGTTACTCGTGTATAACTTAAAATCTCATCATGATTGGCATGCATTTCAGTTTTATTAGGGTTAAATTATGGAATGCTAACGTATTGCTTATGACTTCATTAATTTAATATTGTAAATTTTTATATAAAACTAACATTATAAATTTAATATTATAAATTTTATTGGTATTTCAAGAATTCTAAGGACATTATTGAATAATTTAATCTTATAGTTCATAAAAATGCGATTGCCACTGAACTTTGTTGAAAGTACATATATTCAAACTTTTTGCAGTTTTCTCATATAGGGGCACATTGACGAGTGCAGTGCCAAAAAGAGACAACTATCATTGAGCTTGTACTGCGTATACCCAAAATATATGTCAATAACACCTAAAAGAAGCTGGTCTAGGCACTCTCGCTGAACTTTCACAAAAAAATTGCCTTTCTGGGGACACTCATCGAACACTACATAATCTTCTGTGACCCTTTTGGATATAGAAACATGTGTCCGAGTCACGACCGGGTGAACATTAAATAAAGTAGTGATTCATCATCATCAGCCTTACTACGCCCACTGCAGGACAAAGGCATCTATCTCCCTCGCGTTCCACCAGTGAAGTCGGTTCTGTGCTTGCTGCTACAACTTCATACCCGCAAACTTCCTATCATCTGGCCACCTAACTTTCTGGCTCCCCTTCACCCGCTTGCCTTTTCTGGGAATTCAGTCGGCAACCCTCAATGACTAGCAGTTATCCTGCCTACGCGCTACGTGCCTAGCGCGTAGGCAGGATATTTGTTCTTGATTTCTTGTTCTTGATTTCGACTATGATATCCTTAACCCCTGTTTGTTCCCTGACACACTCCATTCAATGATCTTCGAGGAGCTTGCTGGGAGGAGCACGGCGCGTTTATTGGTGAGGCCATTTCTGCAAGAAGGCTTGGTAACCAGCCAGCGCATGATGTGTACGTCGGAGGCAGCGTTGTTGGGCACGTTCCGCGGCCGGCACGGCACAGTCTTGGCCATGTCAATGGGCACGTTAACCACCTGCCCCTCCATGCCATAGTGGTCGTTGCCGTGAGCCAAATGCCTAACGCTCATAAATGGCAGATTTGGAACTATCAGGCGTACTTCAGCGGGGTTGAGAGCAGGCAGGTGAGAGGGTTTGGGAGGATATCGGTACCTGTGTGTAACACTAATTGTAGGGAAATTGTCACGCGCTGCTTGCCTACGAAGCCACGGGAACGAAGTGGATGTAGTGGCGAGGAGAACAAGACGTGGGACATCGGAAACCTATGCCTTGGGTAGCGACGCGCTGTCAAGTGAGCAACATAGGAATCACCGGAGTGGACGCCATCAGCGGGGACCAGACAAGTGCACACTGGCAACACTGGTGTACATGCCAGCCGCCACTGGACAATACGCGAGCATAGGTAGCTTGCCGAGAAAGCTCCTAAAAATTACTAGGGTTCGCAACACGCCAATGCTGGGTAACAGCAAAGCTGGTTCGCAAGAAAATAGTCCTGACTCAGCTAGCCTTTCATCCACTTACCTGTTCTTCCCCTTGCTTATTTACCATGATGTACATGACTACGCTTGCTTACTTTTAAAAGTTTTTTAGTCTGTATCTTTTTATCTCTTTCTTTTAATGTCTGCAGGGAAACCTCGATAAGAATAACTGCACTGAAAATTTGCAATAGTGCGTGCATGCATCGGAAATTCAGCAAATCCCATTGTTCGGCTCTCTGGTCGACTAAAGAATACAAGCGAGCGGCAAACATCAATTAGGGGACGTACGTTGTAGCTCCTCTAGTTAAAAATTGATACCAAGTGGTTGCGAGGTGATTGAATGCGTGCCAGTTCATGGTGACGTCCATTTTCTAGCTACGGCACACGTCAACCACACCAGCTCTGCTGCAAAATCTTTGTGATGCAATGACTGACGTAATTTAAGTGGTAACTTGTTGATCTTCCAGGGTTCTTCATCGCCGTTGCTCTCTGCGCCCGTGTGGTTAGCGAAGCTCCCGCCAAAGAAGCTGCCCAGAAGGAGAAAGTTGAAGCACGCGGAGGCCTTGTGGGTGGTGGTCTAGAAGTCAGAGTTTATGGCGCAGGTGTGGGACCCGGCATTGTTTGTACTGGTCTCAGAGGTGCAGGCATTGGAGCAGCTGGTCTTGGAGGTGCTGGCCGAGTCGGTTCAGGCATTGGAATAGCTAGACTTGGATGTGTTGGTCTCAGTGCTGCCGGTATATAGGAGCAGCTAGTCTGGGAAATGCTGGTCTCGGAGTTGCAGGAATCGGATACGCTGGTCTTAGAAGTGCTGCTCTTGGAGGTGAAAAGATTGGAGCAGCAGTGCTGGGCGGCTACGGAGGAGCTGGATTTGCCGGACCGTTGCTGACTGGCCCCGGTCTCATTGGAACTGGTGGTCTCAGATATAGAAGTGAAATCGGTCTCAGTCATCTTGGATACGGTAGTCTCGGCTATGATGGTGGTCTCGGCTACGGCAGAGGAGTCCAGTCCGGCTATGACTTTTCGGCTGGTGGCCTGCGACGTGGCTACTAGGGTGGCGCTGCCGCTCACAGACATAAATTAGAGGGTTTCCGCTTTGGCGGTGGTACGTTCGCGAAAAACGTGAACGCCTACAGCAACAACCCGTGATACAGCCACAACGCAGGGTTCTTGGCCCGTGACTGCAAGAACTTTTGTTCCCGACATAACCATGGTTCTGCCGGGTTCGGAAAAGAAGCTCCTGATCAACAAGGAGGATACGAGCAGTTGACGTTTGGACACAACGTTGGTTCTGGCTTCGGTGAAGTATATTTGGAATAAAAGTTAGAAACAATAAAAGAATGTGTTTTTTTTTCTTCTCGCTCTTCCTGTACTTTGTTTCTAGTCTTTTAGTTGGCAGAAAAAGAGCAAGTATAGAATCCTACCTCAGAAGAAGGTAGAAAGGAGTAAAAATTGACAAACGAGTGTGCGGTATTGTTTATGTAGAAAATTAAAAGTTAATATTACTATTATAATTTTTAGCGCTTCAAACGATAAATATCTCCGTATAGGGTTACTTCGATTGGCTGTTTATATTGCAGTATTATTTTCATTTACAGTGGCACACGTTATCTTTCGTCCCCGCAAAGGCTGTCCTCGTCTCGTGTAGGGCAGATTAACGCATTATAAGCAGCAAGTTTTATATAGTTCAATTTTTATAGTCGCAAAAGAGTAGAAGACCTCCACTTTTAAAATACACTAAAAGGCAATATTGAGATTATCACAGATTGTTTTCTCGTATATGTCTAGAAAAGTAAACAATATTTTAACAGTTTTTAGGTAGCTAAGTACCATTTTTACCATTTTCGTCAGTATTTTTGACAGTGCATTAATGTTTCAGTACACTGCATATTCAAGAAAAGTACCGTGTATTATATTAACGTGACACGAAGTATTTTTTTCCACTCTTGCGGTGCTCTAAGTGCCGACACTTCTTTAAAACATAACATATCGTGAAGATTGCTCTCTAGATGTTGTCGCCGCAGTGATCAATGCCATGTTCGCATGCATGCCACCGTGTGCAATCAAGAAGAGCAATAAGCATGAACACGTATTTTAGATGCACCCTTCACTACAATTTAAGCATGATTCTCAGAGACTGGCTATTTTTTTACGATGTTTCAGACAATTTTGAAACATGTGAAATGGTTGTGAGATGACAGCGTTCATGTGGGAAAACCATTTATAGGCATGTGTTTTTTTTAAAAGGTCCATTGTTAAAACGTTTTTGTGCTGTTAAGTGACGTCAAAATGAAAGATACTTCGCAGTGAAAATATACGCAAGAATACATCGACGTGTAACATAGGTTGCGTCATTGGGCTCGTTAGTTCTCTTCTTCTTCTTCTTCTTCTTCTTCTTCTTCTTCTTCTTCTTCTTCTTCTTCTTCTTCTTTTTTTTTTAAGTGTGGCTGGCAGGCTCATAGTCAGATTTCTTTTTGTTTTTTGGGGGGTGATGAGGAGGTACTTGTCCATGGTCTTTAAACACTTATTCTACTCGTACTGTTTGGTGAAATACCTCTCTCTACGAATTCAAGGGGAGGGGGCCGGGCTTCCAGGGCACCCCCTACCCCTGGTTCCGGGTTTCGCAGCTTCTGTGTTGAGCTAAATCACTTGAATAAGCAGGCAAACGTCATGGCCATTTACAAGGTGAAGAGCCCAGCTGAAATAAGTTTGCTAATTTTTGTTCTACTACAGCAGTTTTCACGTCCCAAAGCAACGATATGATTATGAATACCTGCGTAGTGCAGAACGCTGGAAACATTGACAAGCTGGTGTTCTTTGACGTGCACCGAAATCCAAGTACACAGGCATCTAGCATATGAGGCCGGCACGGCCAGGATTCGATCCTGTGACCTTCGGATTAGCAGTACACCCCCATAACCGGCAGACCACAGTGGTGGGCACAATTTCGCTAATTTTATTTTTGAGTACAATATAGGCAATACAATTGTTGGTTACTGATACAATGCTATGAGCGCATTTAGAAAAACAACAAGGACTCGTATTGTGGCTTTTCTTTTTTCTTCAAACTCTCGTTATTGCTGATATTAACGCTGAGCTTGTTTCTCAGTAAAGTTGGTGGCCTCTGTTTTGACTGGTGGGATCGGTATCCAGTTTACAGGATACCGATCACACCAGTCATCTAGCAGTCCTATACTACTCTTTTATACTACTGCAAGCACATATCACGCACTCTAAGACCTATTCTTGTAATAATATTATTTAAAATAAATATAAATTGATAATGATAATATTATATTTATAATAAATACTGCCATTCTGTGACAGAGATTCACCTTTAGTGACTAAAAGTTGAGTGAGAGCCACGATGTGATATTATTCTACGGTGCCCACCATCATTATCATCACGTGAACATAAAATTTACGTGAGCAGCTGTGCACTTTTTCGAAGTCCTAGCTAATAAAAGTGATGACAAAATATATCTCTGATTCGTGTCATTGGTTGACAGCTGTGAACCAGCCACTGGTTCCGCAAAGCCGTGAGTGGACGCGGGTGAGGTTCCTCACTTCTGCCGCTAAGTGTTAACATCTTTTAACAGTGCATGCATATTGACTCCACAGGGAAGAGCGTCGGAGTGGAACGACAAAACAAAGAAAAACAATTTTTCTTACCAGAATGAAAACTTTGCCCTGGAGTAGAAACAAAGCATTTTTATTTGCATTCAGTTAAAAAAAAAGCTTGACAATCCAGAAGAACCGAGGTCATGTTGTGAGCCCTTGAGGTCAGGCGAGAGCGTATCTTGGGCAGGGATTCCAAAGTAAAGGCGCGTAAAAGCGTTGCGGAAAACGAGAAGGGGAGCAGCCGTTGCTGTTTACACTAATGAGAGTGGATCTTAGTGTGCCAGTCACGCAGACCAGCGTAGAGAGAGATTTAGCGCTTCTGAATTCTGTTTCATCAGAACAGAGGTGTTGCATATCCGAGACTGCACTTGCTGACGTGCTTGCTCCTTTAGTAAAAGCACCGATCCTGCTGAGAGAATGGAATATTCATTTAAGAGAAACTTACGTTCGATGTTTTTATGGTTACTTTTATTTCAAATTCTCTGCATAAAAATAGAAATTGGTAGTAATCGTTATGAAACATATGTATTTCTTTGTTCCGGAATAGATATGGAACAGAACTTTGTTCGCTGAAGCGAAACTAAAACTAAGATGAAAAATATTTCCTTGCAACAGAGTGGTATATTTCACTCCGACATTCTGAAAGATTTTTTCCGACACCTTCAGCCCCACCAGTGCTGGAAACCACTTTCGTCTGACTAATAGTAAATAGGGTAGCACGTTAGTTTCAGTGTACAAGTTTCAACATACGCCCCATTCCCACTACACCCCCTCCGTGCCGGGTCGGCAACTATCTGCAACCCCTTTTGCAGCCTTCGCCACCTCAATAGGCATCCATTTTCGCACAGTCATGGTGACTAGGGATTCCTTTTTTCGTTCATGCAAACAAACAGGGTTTCACACTTACGTTTAACATAGCTAGACAATATTAGGAATCTTGCGTCACCAGACAATTGGTTTTGAGTGTCAAGTTCAATACCCTAAACCTAGATGAGAGCCGAAAGAGGAAAAAACGTAGTGGGTTAATCATGGTTAACAGTGCAAGTGCCTCATACTGGCTGGCCGACATTTCGATAGGAGGACCTATCTTTTTCAATGGCACTGTGTCATCCTTGACGTGTTAGTTTTAAGGGGGTTAGTGGTGACATCAACTTCAATACCCTGTTAGACAAACAAGTTTACTGTGGTTAGGACCAACCAAGGTTAACCACGTTGAACCCCGGACAGCATCAACCATGGTTCATCAATTTTACACAGTGCAAAAACGTCCTTGGTTAAGAGCGGCTAACCCACCCTTGGTGGACACCTTCACCACTTTGGTTAACTGCTAAACCGAGGTTGCCAAGCTCGGTTTTATATAACCAAAGTTAACGGCATAACAATGGTTTCACGCACACTGCAACATAAGTAAACCGCGGTTACGCTAACTGTGGTTTAAGCAGCCTGTGTCGCAAGGGTATAATAATGATTCGAGGAACCAGCCATTTATCTGTCACCAGAAGATCGACCCGGAGAATATAACCGGTTCTTGAGAGGCGGTGAAGGCGCGCTTGGGGTTGTCCTGGGCGTGACCTTAGCGAATGTATAACGTCTGCTGCAGTGATAGGGACACCGTAAAACGGACGTGCGAGGTGGCGCTGCCGTCTTCGGCCCTGACTTAAGCAAGCCCACTGCTTCTGGCCAATGACCTCCTCTGACCGAGTTAGGTCACCAAAGAGCTCGTAACTATAAATATCAAAAGTACTTAATAATAATAATAATAATAATAATAATAATAATAATAATAATAATAATAATATTAATATAATAATGAAAATCTCATCTGCTCATGTAATACTAAAAACCGTCCTGATCGTGTGGCCCAGATAGCAGCCCTTCCGCCATTCCATAAGCTTATGGTAGTATATTTGCGCCAGTACTGACTACAATAATTAGAAAATGCCTGAACGCTTCCACATTTCCAAGGATGTCGAAAACTGCGCGTGTTTTCCAGGCATTCAGGTCGGGTTGCAAAACTGATATTTCTAATGATCACCCGATTTCTCTACTGTATGAAAGATCGCAGATTTTTGATTACTTGATTTGTGAGGTTTGCGTCGTAAAACCACCATGTAGCTATGAGAGACGCCGTATAGAGGAGGACTTCGGAAATTTCGATCACCTGGTGTTCTTTAACGTGCACCCTAATCTGAGCACACGGGCCTACAGCATTTTCGAATCCATAGAAAATGCAGCCGCCGCCGCCGCCGGGATTTTATCTGCGTTTTGTGGGTCAGCAGCCGAGTATCTTGGCCACTGGACCACCACGGCGTGGCTCGAAGATACTTGAGCTGGCTCTTCACAACATATTGTAAGTTAGCATGAATAATTCATCCATTCGTAACAACACGGGCTTTTCCCTGGGCGCTCAACTACCACAAATCTTGCTAGTTTCATGACGCATATATCTCCTTCTATTTCTCACAGACGACAGGTTGATGTATACTCTACTGTGACCTGAGCAAGGCTTTCGACGTAGTCAGCCACTCACTGTTTTATTGCGATAGCAATCATATGGACACCCTCCGCTGGGTTTTGCCGCCAATGTCGGCGTCATTCACCCTATATGTTTATCTATCTATATATAACACTCAATAAACAAAAAAAGCCGCCCGCACTCAGCGCCCAGCAGGTCGTGATGCACCGACGTGCACTTTATCTTCCACGGGTTCTTTGCCCCGCAAGGGGGGAGGGGGGGGGGGGGCAAGGGAGATGCTGTGCACGCGCGCCCATCGTTTGGTGAAGAGAATCGTGTACCTTCGGCTTTTCTCGGAACTAATGCGTTTGTTTCTGGACCCGCGAAGTTCACTTCGGTCACTGCACAGGCCACGTTTGTGAAAGGAGCACGCTTTTCATACACAGCGAGGTATAACAGCTGGAACACTCATTAGTTTTCACTCATCTCTACCTGTGATTACGTTTTTTGCGTCGTTGAAGACAGCGCATTACGTGTCGAGCGCTAAACGTTGTTAGTTTGCTCTCGTCTTGTGTGTGTTGTTTTCGTGCGTCATTTGTGCGTAAGCAGCGCGTTGCATGTTTCGATCTGCTTGCCGTTCTTAGAGTTATATTCCGAGTGGTAGCTAGTGCACTCAGTGCTTCACCCTTGTTGAGAAACTGTGACTTCTTGCTTAAACTTGCAAACTTTGATGTTGACTCGTCCATTGTGAATATCCTGCACAGCTTACTGCTTAGTAGATCATGTTATGTTGTCATAAATGGCCAAACGTGTTCCTCGTGCAAAGTTACTAGTAGGGTCTCTCAAGAGTCTGTATTAGGTCCACTCTTATTTTTAATTTATTTTACCAACGTTTGTTTTCCCGTTCATTATCTTTTTGTACGCCGATGACCTCAAGATATTTAAAGAAATTCATTCAGTTAACGACTGTCACTTGCTGAAGTCAGATTTGTGTTCTTTCTCTGAATAATGCGACAATGATAAGATTTACCTGCATACCTCAAAGATCAAGTTTATGAGTATATCTCGCAAAACGTCCATCGTGTTAATTTCCGAACTATGCGATACTATGTGGTCATACAAGGTTTATTAATTCAGTGATGTTGGTGTTCTTGTTGACAGCATGCAAGTTTTTCTGATCATACTTAACGTGCTGCCATGCGTGACCTTTGTTCTCTTGGCTACATTTGTAGAATCTCTCGAAAATTCAGTTCTCCTGCAGCCTTCCACAAAATGTGCAGCGCCATATGCCTTCCTCACCTCAACTATGCATCTGTGATCTCAATCGACATCACTAAATCTGGCGGTGACGCAATTGAGCGAGTACAGAAAAAATTTCTAAGCATTTACAATCATCGTTTCGCTGCAAATAACTCTGGATCTCGTTCTAATACTGCCAGAATATTAATATCATTGTCATAACTTGACTGCCGACGAAATCGCGCATACCCTTTTATTTCTTCACGAACTAGTTAAAGATGCTATCCTGCATTTTGTTTCTCAGTTGTGTGAATTTTCAAATTCCTCGCAAGTCAACCAGAAAGAATCAACCATTTAATGTACCTGCCAACTTTTTTCAACACTCTATTGCTCACAGAATAAAAAGTCTATATAATGTTGATTTTCAAGATCTTGATGCTTTTCACAGTCCACTGTCAACATTCTTATCTCAGCTCTGCACTGTTTTAACATAGTTTTCACAATGTAAAGATTCTTTTCTTTCCGTCTTTCAGGAAGGTTTTTGCATAGATGTCTATCCTATATTTTTCACTTCCTTTCTATGAATTTCTTCCTGTCTTCTTATTCATCCATTTTGCGCTAATTTATTTTTTCTGTGTATTTTCACTGTTTATTTGACTTTTCTGAAGAGTGCCTGTATTACATTATCTGTATTGCTTTATTGTTATCTATTTTTATTATTTATTTGTATTGTTTTATTGCCGGCTGTGCCTGCACTAACACCCCATGGTTGTTCCAAGGCACGTTAAATAATTGATTGATTGATTGAATAATTGATTACAAAGAGTGATCACCATTCGATGACTTTTAGCTCAGGGTGGTACAAGACGCTACCCGTGAACATAAAATAAATGGATATACACAGGTAATACAATATACACGACTGACGCAAACCATCATGGGCAAAACAGAAATGCTGATGCAGGAGGGAAAAAAAAACTACTCCATCCTTCGAACGACTAAAGGAAAGTTCAAGAACTAATTGTTGACATTAGTAATGCACTATATACGACATTCACGACCTTATCAGTGGCGCGTGAAGCGTTGATGCACTAAATCCTACAAGATTTATGTTATGCAGGGTTAAATCAAATGGCTGACGACTTTCGTTCAGATAAAACCAGCAACAACGAGATAAAATGACAAAATGGGCAGGCTAAAAAACACATGCCTACTATTCACATAGTAGAAGTGTTGAATTTTTTAATTCGAAATAATTTCGAGGAACACAAACTAGCACACCCTCTAACAGGAAACCACTTCCGAATTCACAGACTAATGATACTTTCAAGAAAACAAAATTCTGAAAACATACGTTGCGAACGGATATTCTTTCGGTTTACATTCAGCTTCGGAAACGAAGAGGTAGGACGAAGAAAAGGAGGGTTTCGCAAGCCGGGATTTCCATCAGCCGAAGAAATATGGGCACTAGGACATTGGCTGGAAAAGACGTACGTTTCGCCGAACACAGAGCAGCAGGAGGCCGCGACCCCCTGAGATTCGAAAGATAACGTCGCTACTCCTCGAACGCGGTTTCTCCTATGGTCGAAACACAGCGTGGTCGACAATTATGAACTCGTAGAAACAAGTGTACGTCATATCCTGTTTCGTTTGTGCCCCCCTATACCGGTCAATGGTACGTTTGAGTCGAATATATATAGAGAGGCTCACAAGAGCAGAAAGTCAGTCACTGCCAACGATCGAGCCTCAAGGTCCGTGGTTCCGCGAGGAGATTGGATCGAGAACGAACATCTCAGCCACAATGAAGGTGAGGGTAGAGCTTCGTTATAGTTTACGCAAGTCTCGATGAATGACCGTGTCGATTGTAGTGGTATATCTCTTATTTTCGTGTACTGGACCCAAAACCCGTTTCCTAAGAACTTGCCGTTGGGAATGATCGAAGAAGCTGCACTACCATCTGATAAAAAAATGCTTAAAACAGTAAACTTTGTGCTAAAAGACACGGAAAAACATCTCAATATGTTGCATGTGAAAGAACGTGTTAGCATAACAAGCGGTGACCCAAAAGAAGCCACTGAAATAGACTACATGTGTTAAAACATCCTTTTTTGACCATATTAGCGTGGATGCTCAAGCTTGGTAAAGTTATTTGTGACTTGAAGGGCTGGTATAGTTAAACTAAGCTTTGTGTATTTTGTTTAAACTTACCGCTGTTTCCCATCAGTAACGTATCCCTGAGCACTATGGATGTGGCCTTAAAAGTAGCGCATGCAAATTAACAACTACAGAATTTCCTTGTTTCGGGGCGCTTTCACGATGTGGTTTTCATGGTGCCTTTCGGAGCGCCAAAGAAATTACCGAGATTTGGTGATCTTAAGCACCTCTTTATTTTACATATTTGCTGAAAGGTTTTCGACTAAAATTGCAGGTCAAACTATATCCAGATGGAGTACAACTAACGTGCACACTGCCTCTTTTAAGTGGCTCTGCAGGCGTGATACTGTGCGTCTCATGCAATTCTGAGAGCTTGTTTGAGATCCATGGTGATTCAAAGAAACTTTTCAAGATTATGAAGCTTATTCCGTCCCTGAAATAAAGCTTGAAATTATGCAAGCTTGTCAGCCCTAAAGAGACTCTCCTTTTTCATTAGATTATACAAGTGCTTAACAGTGGTGCTAATGGAACAATGCAGGTTACGCGTAGACATTACTAAATGTAAACATTTACATAATTACGCAACGCAAATGTACTTTCAACTCTAATATAATCAAGTACCGTTTCTACATGCATTCTAACGCAGTTCCTAATTGCCACTGCTGTCTGCGCCCTCGTGGCCTACGGAGCCCTTGCCGAGGAAGATGCCAAAAAGAAAAGGTAGAAGGACGAGGAGGCCTTCTGGGTGCTGGTCTTGGAGTCGGCAGCTACGGCGCTGGTCTCGGAGGTGCAGGTCTTGGAGGTGCAGGTCTCGGAGGGGCAGGTCTCGGAGGAGCAGGTCTCGGAGGAGCAGGTCTAGGAGGTGCAGGTCTCGGAGGGGCAGGTCTTGCAGGGGCAGGTCTGGGAGGTGTAGGTCTCGGAGGTGCTGGCATCGGAACAGCTGGACTTGGCGGCTACGGGGGTGGTCTTGGTGGCCCGGCCGTTGTTGGCGCTGGTCTTATCGGAACTGGCGGTCTAGGATATGGCGGCCTTGGTTACGGTGGTATTGGATATGGTCGTCTTGGTGGATTGGGCTATGGCCGCGGTCTGGGCTATGGTGGCGGCTACCAGTCTGGATACGGCGCTTCGGCTGGTGGCCACCAGGGAGGTTACCAAGGGGGTGCTGCTGGATACAACCAGGGATCTGCTGGTTTCGCTGGCGGAGCTGCCCACAGGAACGTGAACGCCTACAACAACAACCAGGGGTACAGCCACTCCTCGGGATTCTCGGCCAGTGACAGCAAGGTGTTCGGTAGTGGACAGAAGCAGGGATCTGCTGGATTCGGAAGCGGAAGTGCTGGCCAGCAGGCAGGTTACGGACTGCAGAATTTCGGACACACCGCCGGTTCTGGCTTCGGTGGAGGATACCTCGGCTAAAGAACGTAGCCAATAAAACTGATCTCATCGTACCTATAGTCCTCTTTATGCCTCTCCAGAACTGTGAAACTATTCTCATTTTCTCATATGTATGTCTACGTATATTGCAGAGTATCGAGTGGAAAGTCCTGTCTATTTTACCTGAAGCTATTAAGCTCAGGGGCCATCCGTGTGCAAGTGTGATCTACGTATTTGCTGTAGCTGGAACTGCCAGTCTCCTTGTAGTAAAGCTTAGATTACGCTGCTGGTGATACTGACAGGTTCTGAAAAAAATATGAGTAGTAGAACATGAAAGAGGGTGTAAACAAACAGAGATAGATGATGAAACGCAAACTCAGACAATCTATCGCTATAAGGAAGCATTTCGACGAGACTATTTTCAAGATAAAGATGCCATTGCGGTGATGCATCTTTTTTGACCCACAGTCACTTCTTTGGAAGCATCTTTCTACCAGCCTGTCTCGCACAAAAAATGTACCCTACAGCCATCTGCGATCCGAGACAAGCTAGGCAGCCCCGACAGGGATTCTGAAATATATTAAGGCAGAAAAGGACAAAGGCCTAACAGAGAAACTTATCAGGCATTGGCAGGATTTCCTTTTTTTTTTGCGAGTATTCATAAAAAGGCTGAGAAGTGTGTTCAGATAGGTAGCGGTATAAAGCGATGTCAATTCATTGTCACACATATACCATCTCAACTATACAAAGGTATCTGACTAGCACACCAAGCTCCAGGCAATAAATTTGTATCGCCAGAATTAAACTCATTCTCATCACGTGGCAAGAACTATTCACGAACATAATTAACACACACTACTTAGCGAATAGTACATGATAAATTGATTCTCATTGTGTTTCTTGTTTGTGCACTCAATATTGAAAACCTAAAAAGGCCATTTAACGACATTTGCTATCAAACTTTAACTGTGTTGTTGCCGCCACTGGAAGTTTGTGTTCACATTCTACTGTAGCTCATAGGTGTGGTGGCAACTGCAATGGAGCAGCATGTATCACTTCGTCTCTTTTCATAGTATTTTTTTTTTAACACGATAGCGTTAGAGAGCTCGTGTCGCAGAAATTCCGCCATCAGCGTCAGTACCGCTGGTTGTTAGCGAAAAATCGTCCATGAGCGAAAAATAAAAAAAGAAGGAAACAAAATGAAGAATAAAATTTTCGGTCCCATTGAGGTTCGCGTGGTAAGCAAGTATCTTGCCACAAAGCTACCATGTTACTTATAGCTGCTTCGGAAAAAGAAACACTACATAAATGTCACGTAGAGAAAGGAGTCTTTCGTTCGACAGGTGTCACGACGAAAACAAGCCCATTCGGCAATTTGTACCACCAAACTTCGTCAAAAAAGGCTGGGATAGTTCCGCCATCGCCGCTAAAAACACACAAAACGCACAACTTTTAAACAGCTTTAAAAATAGACAACTATGTACATCTAGTGGGAAACATATCACGCCTCTCCACAGGCATTGATTAAGCAAACATCAAACGCTAGATAATATGTTGCCATCTTTGAGGAATTGTGAGACTCTTTATGGCCTCTCCGATGGCAAGTGCATGGCGTGTATTTTGGAGGCCATGCGACTCTTGCTTTGGATCGAAAACCTGCATGTACCATTTGCGCGCGCGTGTGCGTGTCTGTGTGCCATCTGTGAGACATTGTGAAAAACGTGTCTCGACTACATCAGAGAACAATTCTAGCAAAGGGAAGTGGCCACACTGCACAGTCACTGCCTTACATAGATACGTCACGCGCATGGTGTGTGTGTGTGTGTGTGTGTGTGTGTGTGTGTGTGTGTGTGTGTGTGTGTGTGTGTGTGTGTGTGTGTGTGTGTGTGTGTGTGTGTGTGTAACAAATCATATTAATAAGTATGCACATAACGGTTGAAGGGCGCACTAGAGACCAGATTTCGCTATTGCGTTCCACTCTTAAAGGCGAAGCTTAAGGGTCCCCCCAATTTTTTTTTCCTTGAACTAGATGTAGAAGAGAGTCCGGCTGGAGTGTCTCTAAGAAGGTATAGTTCTTACCAAGAAAGGCCACATTGCACGAGAAAGTTCAAGTCCACTAAGTACTTCAGTGCAAATATGTTCTGCTGAATTTTACAAGCTGACCGAAGCAATAGGAAAGGTAAATTGAGGTCAACTTGCTCGCAGCACGAAACCACGAAAAAAATCCATGAGGAAATAAGGAAAGATTTTCTTGTGACTGTGCTAGAAAGAATTTCCTTTCAATTTTCCTTTTCAGTGAGGTAAAAGTCTAGCAAAAAGGACTAAAGAAATAAGACTAAGAACGTGAAAAAAAACAGGGTACCTTGTTTTCAATTTTAAATTGAACGATGAAAGTAGGTAGCTATGGACTATTTTTTTCAGCTGTCTGAACACTCTTGTTCACTAAGTGTTGCAAAGAACTGATGTGCAGAAATGATTCATTGATGGAGTTCTTCTATTCACATAATAAAGCAACTGTGAGTTATCTTTCTAATGCTCCTTAAAAGCTATAAGCCTACAAGGCTTCAGTTACGCCATTTACGATGACTGAGCTCAATCATTTCTCTTTTATGTATCGATCATGTGCATGTTAATACATCACTAACTTAGGTTCGGCTCTTCTTAAGAATGAATGGGCAATGCCACTAAGCGAATTCCGCTTTATCGACACCACGCTCTCCTAAGTGGTGTCCGAACTTTACTTACTCCCCACCTAAACGCCACAAGCAGCCGACGACACTTCAGTAGAACAAACAGAGTTATCAGACAGTCTTAATGAAAGTTGGAAGTATTCTTGATCAAAGACACTAGGCGTGCGGACGGACACAGACAGCACAAACGCCCCCTGCTGACTGCTCTATCTTGGTTTCATAACTTAATACTCCAGATTGGGTAAGTTGGTGCACTATAATGTCGTAGTGCTATAGCGAAGCTCAGGTTCAGCATGAAGCGAAAAAACAAACAATGAAGGAAATGACAGGCAACATGATCACTGCCAATGAAGCAGAATGAGCGCTCTCCTGTCATTTCGTTCTTTGCTATTTTTTTTCTTTCCTTCATGCTCGAACTGAGAGCGGCGCTGTATTATAGCTTCTGTCCACATCACTAAGTCTACTGATTTCCATAAAAATCTCTATTAACTAGCCCCCGTTTCTGTCATTCCAAGCTCGGGAGTATTGTTTTCCTTTTTTTGTCACAATAAACATTTCGTTCATAAACAGGAAAACCAAGCTCTCTTTATGCGAGCGAACCAGCTCACAGAATTGCGCCACGAACACGAAAGTGACATCTGGGTCGATAACTCATACCACCACCATTGGCAATGGTAGACGACCTGAATCTCTTAGCCGACTTGGAGGCTATGTGTGTGCATTTAAAAAGGAAAACACCGGTGCGTGAGTTGAATAACAAACTCCGATTACGTAATCGCGCATTCGAGGTTATAAACGGAATGAGCAACCACACGTGAAAAGACCTTCGAGCGCGTTCCAGCTATAGACATTTGCACGGCAAATGTTACGGAGAATCGAAACTATTCGAGGCTACATTTTTGGTTGTACAAGAAGAGCATCGCAGAGAGTGCAGCTTCCCGCACAATAATACCCGGATTCTCAAGCGATGTGCCCACGAGTTGCCAGTCATACGTATTTACTTCATTTAGCGTGGCAGCTAATGTGCGCACGCTACGTTTTGTACCCTTAAATAATATTAATGCCATCTGTCAAGGTCAGAAGCAAGAGGTCAAGTACACTTCTCGAAACTTTGCTACCATGACATTCCCTGTAGGAGCACTCGTTTTTTTTTTTCTTGCGTGGCTTCAGATCACGAAGTGTTTGTGAATTACGCGCCATAAAAGCTAAAAACAGCGGAGAACACTGTAAAACACTGTGTGGAACATTAGCTGTGTGAAACATTTGCGTTGCGTGGAGGAGATTGGGCGTCGACGGGTTGAAACTTCGCTGAAAGTTTAAATCTTTGCACACACACACACACACGCACACACACACGCACACACACACACACACACACATGTACAAACGCACACAAACCCACACACACACACGCACACACACACGCGCACACGCACACGCACACACGCACACACATTTACACACACACACACACATACGCGCGCGCGCGCACACGTGCACACACGGGAATGAGCATAAATAGAACATAACACCCCCCCCCCCGCCCCCCTCGAACTCGATAGATACTCCTGGCTGCGTGTCTGGTTTAAAACGCTCGACAATGTTACACTTGCGTGTACTGTTGATGATTACGTGCATGCACACTAAAGAAAGTGAACCTTCCTCCTAAAGTTCCTTTACAATTGTATTGTGTATGTGACCACCATGCATACATACCGCAGTGGTCAGACCTATTAGTGCTCTGGTTCAACAAAGCAGCGTCAGTTTTTATCCCTGGAATCGTTTAGTCCAATATTATGATTCCCAAGCACGCTAAAGTTGTCAAGACCTTGACAGCAGTAAACATTTAAGATTGAGGGAGCCATATCTTCACACTTAGCACAAAAGAGAGTAGAAAGAAATTGGGGCAAAAAAGAATTAGGTACACAGAGGAGGATCATAGCCCCGAAAGAGAGCGTAAGGACATCAGTACGGGACGCAATAAACAAAAGTCTCATGTAACGGGGCACTCAGTGCAGTGGTTGAGTGGCACTTCGCGTGTGAGGGAACGTATTTGAGTCCACTGTGCTTGTGCTGCTCTGTCGAGTCCACTGTGCTTGTGCTTCTTCGCTGCTCTGTCCGATCGGCAGGCCCCAAGAGAACGGTCGGCCATTAAATACAATTCTGCATCACTTCCTGTATGACTTTCTTGTTTTTTTTAATCCGCACCCAGATGCCAGCTTTGAGTCGGGTATAAGAGGGAAGCCATTGAACGACAGTCAGTCTCAACGCTGTATACGAAGCTAAGTGTACTCAGAGCGCCATAGCTTATCTGTACTATCTGTGCAGCAGGTGAATCTCGAAAGAAAAAAAATGAAGGTAAGTGCTTTGCTTAACCGTTTCTGTTATGTATTTCCAAGTAATGTGTATTGATATTCACTTTAAGCAAATACCCGTAATTCACAATTGTTCCGGAGGGAACAATCTGGAGCGTGACTTGCCGTTACTATTTGTTTAATTAACTCTTTATTGAAAATCTTCTTAAAGAGATGTCACGTGAAAACTTCGGATATTCTTTACTCTACGTGAGAATTACTTATCTCGAATACTTATTGTCATTGCTTGAGCATGCGCTTATGTAGCTATCATGAATCAAGTAAAAATGCCTGCTTGAATTAGATGTGATTGCTTCATAATATCTTTTTATTATAGTATTAACTATTTTTCTTTCAAAGAAACTTGTGAGCTCATCTGATTTTTCTATATGCCTCCTGCAATCTCTTAAAGATAGTTTTATTGAGTCACGCGATTTCAATAGATACCAGCGATTCCTCACAGTACCCCTGAAACACAAGGTGAAAATGATAGCGGTCGCCTTCAGCTCGAGTGCCCAAGAAAGTGTTAATTCATCGTTATTATGCCCTTTCCCTAATGGTTTATGTGGAATGCATCTAGCTTAAATTTTGCTGAGATGGCATATTTCTTTCTTGTACATAACACCCGATTTGCCAATAACATGTTGAGCCTCGTAGTTAGCCAAACAACGTGTGGTGTACGGAGATTGTTATCCTTTCAACCAAGTTGTTTAGATGAACACCATCTAGGCGCTTTCTTTATTTCATTCAAATGCAGTTCTTCGTAACCACGGCTGTCTACGCTATAATGACCTACGGAGCTTTCGCCAAAAAATACGCCAAGGAGAAAAATGTAGGAAGTTACGGAGGACCTCCGAGTGCAGGCGATCAAAGTATCAGGGACATGTGGCCTATATACCCATCGATATTCTCAATGGGTTGGTCCCGCGAGCAGCTGGGACCGGAGGTCTCGGAAAACACATCAGTGACACGCCATCTTTCAGCGCTGGTCTGATCGGTACCGGTGGTCTCAGATACAGTGGTATTCGGTACGACCCTCAAGGTTATGATCCTTAACGCCAATCTGGGTCTGGTTCTTCCCCTGTTGGCCATCATGCCGGGGCTGAGATGAACATTGGTATCATTGGTCTCATTGGCACTGGTGGTCTCGGATACAGTGGCGTTAAGTACTACCCACTTGGCTACCACAGAGAACGCCAATATGGGCTCGAGTCTATGGCAGGCGGCCACCGCGGAGATGCTGGAAGAGGCATTGGCCTCATCGGCACCGGAGGTCTCGGATACACTTGTGTAAAGTATGGACCCGTCGGCTATGGTTTTTGGACTGGTCACCATTATGGAGGAGCTGGGGTCAACATTGGTCTTATCGGCACGGGTGGACTCGGATACAGTCCTATTAAGTTCGAGCCCCTAGGCTATGGTTCCTCGACTGGCAGTCATTATGGAAAGGCTGGGATCAACGTTGGTCTCATTGGTACTGGTGGTCTAGGATACATGTACGACCCCCTCGGGTATGGAAGTGAACGTCAGTATGAATACGGGTCTTCGACCGGCAGCCACAGCGGAGTGGCTGGGACTCCCATCGGTCTCATCGGCACCGGTGGTCTCGGATACAATTGTGTTAAGTACGCAACCCTCGGCTATGGTTCTTCGACTTCTGGCCATTATGGAAGAGCTGGGATCAACATTGGCCTCATCGGTACAGGTGGTCTCGGATACAGTGGTGCTTACTACGAGCCCCTAAGCTACGGTACTTGAACTGCCAAAACGAAGCTATCAGTACATAGGAAACGTATGGAGTGACATCGTTTGGAACCATGCAAGTTCATGCTTCAGCCGTGGATATGTCTGGTGAAAGCTTAACAGTGTAAATAAATGCTGTTTTAAGTGCCTGTTGTACTTCATTGGCAGCTTCTTCACCACTTGGACTGACCAACTGACCAGGGCACCTGAGGGCTTCATGCGATTTGAATATGTAAGACCGTGAGTACACAATGTCAGCGTTATGCATGTATACACCTGTTAACACAAATACCGATCATAGAGTGTTCGGTAGAAGGCTGTATTTGAACTATGAGCTGTATTTGGAAGATTCAACCCTCAGAACCTGTGCGGGCACCTGATCTTGTGAGATCAAACATCTTTGACAATGCTCTGCATGAAAGCAGACACTTTGCAACATTAAGCACGCTTTGCACTGCGCTGGCCGTAGTCTATACAATATACCCTTTTCAATATAACCTTAAGGTGGTTTGATGAAATCTCTCAGTTTTGATGAAATGTTGTCAAGAGACCATCAGATTGAATGCGGGTTCCTGCAGAATGATCAAAAAGTTGTGATCAACGGCATTTCGATACGCATGGTCAGCGATCAACATCGATGGATGTTGTGTGCGTGAAGTTATGTAAACTAACCCAGTTTCATCATAAAAATAAAAAACTGCGTTTATACAAAGAACGAAGGAAAGAAATAACGCACACGGTTTCATTTTTGTGACTTCCTTCTGTCGTCGTCTGTACAGGCGCTTTTTTGCATTTTTATCATGGAACCGCACAAAATTGCCCTATGTGCATGTCTTCTTGAAGAGAAATGCAAGCGTAAAACTTGAAGTTTTTTTTCTGAAATTACATATTTCTTGTTTTTGTTTGCTGTCACAAGTTTTGTTTCCTTACTTAAAACAACAAAAAATTTCAAGATCATTTTAACCTTGAACTTCATTAAAATCACTCTTAAAGTGCACGAGGAGGCTACGAAAAACTAAAAAGAGCCCATTGTCTGGAGTCTCTTGGAAATCGTAACCTCTCTGCTCACCATTGCATTTCGCAAGAGGAGTTCACAAAAGCCAGGTGTTCAAGTTGATATTTATCGCCAAGCTCTCATGATATAGTAAGTTATCTTAAAAAACGTATTTTTTCCTCAAAGATTATCCTGCTATGTAAGCTTTAAAGTGAGTCTTTCTCAAGATCTATTTTGGGCAACTTGAGTTTCAACATCGTGTTTTCTTTTTTCTAGTAGTACCATTAGGGTGAAATTTCGCGCACATATTCCTTAACGTGTCGAAGGTGCTTGCATATTCTTTAAAGTTGATATGGGGAGTGTAAGTAATACGAATCAAAGTAGGATATTAGTATGGGTGGAGGATTCTACAATTTTCACATTACAATTATTCTTGTCCATTGAAATATCTCATAGGCACTTTCTTGATAGTTATTTGCATTCTACAGCTGTTGAGGAGCAACGCGAGCCAGCAATGTCTCAGAAACATAAATGTTTATTGGCGTAAAAAGTTTGTCTTTGAACGAACTAAATTTTGCACAACGTCAAGGCACAAAACGAACTTTTTGAACCTTACTGCAAAACTTATTACACATTTGAAATCAGTATAAAAGCCCATAGGTACAGCACAAAATGTTGCATTGCTCTAGCCTACAGCTTCAGGAAGCCCTTTCTGAAATGGCATCTCCCCTTAACCTATTTCTTTTCGGTTCTCACTACACTGTGAATGCAATGTTCTGGAGCCTTGTGTGGTAAATTAGTTAGTTAGCAGTGAATGGTTTAAAGGGTATTAACCGGAGTTAATATACTGTTTCTCCAGACATGCACAACTAGGAATAAAAGTACCTGTCGGGGAATAAAGGAAACACCAGATTGGATATGTGCCCCTGCTTTGACGGCCACCACAAAGAGACCGACCCTGAAAATGTTGAAGACGCAGCCTGGAACACAAACATGCCGAATCTTGAAAGAAAAAAGATTGTTCACTCACTGAAGTGGGTACACAAAAGCGAGAACAAAATGGCTTTAATATGCGGGCAGTTCATATCAACAAAGGTAAGCGCGCAATAAAGAACCATAACACGCCTACAATAGAAAGCATTATATGTGACAGGGCCCCACGTATCTGGGCTTTGCTCTAAACTTCTGGTGTGGTACCATGGTCCGTACCGTAATTGAGGCCACCTTTCCGGTGAACTACATCGTCGAGCTCGTCACACAATCGCCCGACTTGCATCGTCAAGGACGTGAGACCGTACAGCCGACCATCTCAATTTCTTATACGACCCTCTAATCTACCTACTCTCCAAGTCACCAACATGACTGCGCTTCACCCCAGCGATATTGTTGATCGTTGTGGAGAAGACAGTTGTAGAGAAGATGATGAAAAAAAATCGGCAGACCAACGTACCTCAGAATCGATGTTATGCAAAGCACGAAGAGGGAAGGCTACCATGTTGAAATTTTTTTATTGGGCGACACGTCATGAAATTGAAATAGCACTAAGTATACGTACAAATGTTGCACGCATAGACACATGTTGAAGACTTGCAGATGCTTATATTACCAGTTTGCACTTGCGAAACGATGCAACTGGAACATGCGTATCAGCAACACCAAAAACTTATGTGAAGCGCTGATGCTTGCGAGGATGCTGTCCCTCGGCAGTGCTACATAAATCAACTTCAGCACATAACAATCAAACACGGCTGACGTTAACCCTACGTGACGGCTGTACCAAAGGAGTACATATTTATGTTTATAAAATAAAGTAGACAGCACTACAACCACTATGGACGTTTCACGAAGATCAGCGTCTATGTGAAAAGTAGTTACGAGACCTGGCGTAGCTCTGTGGTAAAATGCTTCATTGCCTCGCAGAATGCTTGGGTTCAAGTCCAGCTGGGAACTCGACATTTATTTTTTGCATTCGTCGGGTCGACGGTGCCAATTTGAGGTATTTCCTGATGCTTGCGCGTTTAAATTGCCCATGTGTATTCTCGTCATTCCTGGGTAGATACTAAGTGTCAATCACCAGTGGCTCATACCCGCAAGCCAGCGGCACATACCCGCCTGTGGGTATGTGCCAATGTCAGACAGGAATCGTTTGACGACGTACGCGATGGAATTGTAATATTATTCATGTCTTAACCAGCGCATCATATTCGTCAACCATTTTAATCTCCCATAATAATTTTAGTTCACACCAAGTTAAGAAGATGACCACGAGAGTGCCCAAACGTAAGTGGCTAAATAGAATGGAAGAATAGAATAGAATAGAATTAGAATTACCTGCCGCGCCACGAGGGCAATATTGCAGGGGGGGGGGTAACACGATTAATCACGTAAAAGCACATATATTTACACAAAGACATAGATAGATAGATAGATAGATAGATAGATAGATAGATAGATAGATAGATAGATAGATAGATAGATAGATAGATAGATAGATAGATAGATAGATAGATAGATAGATAGATAGATAGATAGATAGATAGATAGATAGATAGATAGATAGATAGATAGATAGATAGATAGATAGATAGATAGATAGATAGATAGATAGATAGATAGATAGATAGATACGCTCAAACTCGCCGAAGTGCGCTAAGAGATGCTCCGCATTTAAAAAACCCCTGCAGCTGAATGCGCGAGAGTGTGTGCCATCTTTGCCAGCCTTGCCATATTTTACCGTATGGTCTTCCTTCGTTACGACCACATGACCTCTATAAACGTCATCACAAGGGTAACAAATGAAAAAAAAAGATTTCTTAAACTTTGAACTTTTACTTTCATCGAAAGACAACAATGTTTAGCATATCTTGTGACTGTTGTCACATATATTTGGAAACCACTGATAATTTTTTGCTGGAAATGAACACCTTGGTTATGTCATTGGTGTTTTTTGTTCATGTTCTATACGAAGAGTATATAAATGGTTTTAGAATGCGGCATAGACAACAACATGTACTAGTGTCAAATCCTTTCAATGTGCTCAACACATTGAAACACAACACAAGTTTCAACAATACGGGCACATTTGAAAATGAAAAGAACAGGTTTACATGTACTTTTGAGCACCTAAATTTCTACGATTTCTCGAAATGCAAGGTTACAGGCGTTTACAGGCCTTGCCGTACACTTCATGCTGCCTTGTGACAACACGCAGCAAAGGCGAAGACAGATGTACATAAAAATCACACCCAGTTGTAGCGCAAATAAATGCAGTTTTATCGTCTTGATTCACACTGAGACTGAAGATCTATGACTACCTAACTGCGTATAGCTCGAATTTTCGTTCACATAAAACGGCCATTGCTAGCTAAGAGCCAACAGCGCTGACACCAACGCCAATGTCGACACAGAACTGTATGCGAAACGAGTGATATAACACTACGATATTAAAATTAAAGCTCATCTTTGTGAAGTACGCAGCTTCACTGCGCCAATGGAGGCCAAAGAAGAGAAATGCCTACTGCGTTTACTTTTCAGTCTTCGAAACATCGACACCGATTACATTGTTTCGGTGCGATATCCAGGGAGGAAAAAAATGCAGGTTCAAGGCGTTTTATGAGACCTAAACTTCAACCCACACGTCATTCAGTGTGTTTCGCTTATTTGTTTTTTTCCCATGTGGCCGCTTGGCTGACTCGGCTACAAAATTTAGTCAATAATTTTTAGTTTTGTCCCTGTGTTGTAAAGTGGACAAGCTAAAGGTGACTGATTTCTCAATAAGAGGAGCTCAATCCATGCAAGTAAGTTTAAAATATTTTTTATTCACACCAGTCGTATGACTAATAATAATAATTGTTGAGATTTAACACGTCAATAACACCAAATGATTATGAGAGACACCGTAGTGAAGAGCTCTGGAAAGTTTGACCACCTGGGGTTCTCTAATGTGCACGTAATTCTAAGCACACGGGTCTCAAGCATTTTAGCTTCCATCGGAAATGCGCCCGCCGCTCCAGGGATTCGGTCCCGCAACATGCAGGTCAGCGGCCGAGTGCCTTAGCCACTAGACCACCATGGAAGATCACGTTTCGTACCTAAATACCAAAATACGACGCATAGTGTGAGAGTGTCAATCTGCAAGAGTAACTCTAATTCACAATCGCAGTACGTCAATAGCCAACATTGAACCTATAATATCAGAACCATTGCGAAAATAATTAGCTATACTTAGCACCTCACGTTGTACTTAAACTAAAGGTACCTTATGTCAGTGAACATATCCTTCTTACAGAACTTTAGTACCAAGATAAATATCTCCCGGGCAAGATGAAGCAGTAGAGCGATGATAAAACGTTGTGAGGAGAATGCTGCTGGAGACAACAGTTTCAGCTCATTTGCTCGTCTCGCTCAGGCCAGCAGCATTGCCTTGACAAAGGAGAGGTTCAGTTGTCCAAATGTTGATTCCAGCGGCGTTTCCTACCAAACAATTTTTCAAAACATGATTTGATTAGGTGTATTTTAGTGACAGTGTTAGAAGTAAAGACCCACAAAATTTTGACAGTTGGGTTTAACATCCGCTCGTGATTATTGCTTGTTTAGCACGACACGGTGAGAGAGCGCGTTTGTATGTGGCGTAAGGTTTTGGACTGTGCCCTCTTGGGGTCACCATCTGGTGGAGGGTGAAGCCTTCATTCGTGCTTCCAAGTAATACGTGACGCCTTTATAAGAAACCAGTGCCTGGCCCTGGAAGTGGCCCGAGGTGGGCACCTACCAGTATGTTATACTTCGGGACACAAGATGCACCTGGTCATTCCCCTTGTTCCCGATGTAGGCAGGCATCAACACAAGCTGGATGGTTTCCTTGACCCGGTCTTCTCAACGATCTTTGCCACTTGTAGTGGCCCCACCTCCTTTAGCGAAACCGGTTATAGCACATTCAGAGTCACTTATGACCGTCCGAGCGAAAGCGCTTGCTTGTATGTCCGGCACGATGACAGTGCTTTTCACTCTCCCAAACAAGTGGGACTCGAACGGAAGCAGTGTTTGGGCTTCGCGTCTCTCCTGTCACTACATTCCCTACGTTATACAGGTTACAAGTTCATTTCAACAAACTAACTGTTTATGTCCACCGTAAGATCTAATTCAGGTGTCTCAAATATACCTCCTCTGAGCCGCACGCTGCCAGTGCACTTCTCGCTTTTAGGCCCGGAGCCCATATTATCGTTTAGGTCTCATACGTTTATTTTTTTGTTTTCTTAATGAGTATTTTTGTAACTAACGTGGTTGCTTGGGCGAGTTAGTACGACATGATTCACATAAAAAACAGCGCCAATAATGAGAGACAAGAGAAAGAAGGAGACAGACAGCTGCACTCCTTCGACTATTTTTGTAAGCTACACAGGTCCGACTGCTCAAAAAAAGCATTTATTTCTCGTAAGAGGCTTCCTTCGATCACCATGTGGTAGTATATGAGCTAGAAACAACCGGGTGTCTAGATTTGATTCATTTTTGAGATAATGTCAATATACTGTTGAAGTGCTGGCTGCAAATTGTGTTCACAAGTGGCCCATATTTTACTTATGAGAAATGTCTTTTCTCAGTTGATAACTCTATCTGTAGCTGAAATTCTGTGCAGTCATGCAGAATAAATATTGTGTGAATATGAACGAGGTGGCCGTAATTACAAAACACCCGAGGTGTTTCACTCTATGCATCACCGCACATCAGGTGGTTGGCCGCACTTAAAATGCGTCACACGAACGTCTTGTTTTGTTGTTTTTTTTTCGTTCCGACCCATCTCAATGTGAGTGCCACCGTCTTGATCGAAAGCACGACTTCGTGCCCGACGACTGCGTCACCTTGATTCCTCAGCCACCACCGTTTGGGCACGCTGGCCGATGCATAGCGTCCTTGAACAACCATTAGAAGTTTCCCGCGTTCGCAAGTATTAAAAGGGGGGTTTTCTTACTGACCGGTTCTCAAATAATCACACCTGCCCTTGAGAGGTCTAATGCATGTACGCCACGCTGCACGAAATTCCCAATGCGAAAAGAAAAAAAAAAGAAAATACAACCGCGAGATGAACGGAAGCCGGGAAAGACGCTTGTGCAGAATTGTCATTAAATTTCCACGAACAGTTCACTGACTGTACGCAAGTCGCTTGCAAGGAGATTCGTGTTGCGCCCGTAACCTCCGTTCTTGCGAAACACAACAATAATTAGAAGAACGAGGAACTTAAAGGAAAAGGTGTTGCAACGGCATTTCCTTCAGACAAACGGTCTCTCGGTCGCCTATTTTGAATTTTTTTTCACAGTACGTTTCCGGGGAGCTGTGTTATATAAAACGGGTGTTGGCCGTAGGCGGGGTTCGTACTTACTGTCCAGCGTCAGCGTTATTGGACCTGGACAAGGCGGCTCCTCACACACAAGGTTCAGCTGAGATCGCCAATATCTGCCAAAAATGAAGGCGAGACAGCTTTTGTTTTGTCTGCGTTGTAATATGGTGTCTTCCTTTTATATTCAACACTGTCAAAGCCATTGTAACGTCTTTTCCAGGTGTCTGTTTACAATATGACGCGTAGTTCAATATTTCTATGGAGCCTATTTTTAGAATTGATCTATTTAAATGCACAGTAGTTTTGCGACAAGGCTGCCAATTTTAATGCAGTTTGCGGAAAGGTCTATAGGAAAGATGAAAATGTATAAATTCATGCAGTTTTTTTTATATGCAACATCAAAAATCAAGCTCTAATCAGAAACAACAAAAAGCGTGAAATAATATAGATGGACGGATAGGTTGCACCTATAAGACATTCTTGAAGACTCTGAATCTTGTGTGACATACCAACCGAGGTTATTAAGGTTGTGTAACGGCTATAGAGGTTTATGATCGCTTACTCTAAGCAGCTCATAATATTATTCCTCAACGCGAAAAGCTGTTCTGACTTCAACCGCATGCAGGCTAGATCTCTAGTATGGAGTTTCTTGAAATGTTAAGGTTTTGAGTATTTCTTATTCAATCTTTTTTTTCGGCGTTGCAATTAAAAAACGAGACGGGCTAAAAGAACTTTCACTTTTTTTTTAATCTTCTGTAGCAAACACAATTAGAACCAGATTATTTGTTGAAAAAAAAAGAGAGCCCCATAAAATAGGTCAGTTCAAGCAGAATCTTCCAGTAATGGGCAATGATACGTTTCTTTGCAAAATAGATGCGATCATATTTCATCTTCACGTACCATTCGGCATATTTTCTAATTTCGAGCTTATAGTGACATAGTAATCCCTTTATAAGTATTATTACGTTGACTTTTTAGTAATAGGCAAATTTTCAGAGAGAAATCAAAAGTCAGTCAAACTTTCCATTTTTATCAGACAGCGAATTGACCATGTGATTGTGGTATCAGGTGTTTCAAAGCAGAGTTCTGTTTAGTTCTGTTGTAATTGTCTTGCAGTGGAGAGGTCAATATTCATATTACCTCCGCAACTCCATATTGATAAGCTCTGCAGCAGAAACAAAAATTACGAAGATTACCTCAAATGAACAATGACAAAAAAAACCCCTAATAGTTGTTTCTCGAATTCGGGTCCTGCCATAGCACCGTGAAAGTTCTTTATATTTTGCCACTGCCACTTTTCGACATTTTGAGGGGTAATTGCTGTCCCTCTTCGTGGTCCTTTTACCACAGGCTAGCAGAAAACCTATCAAAAATTAATTACGGCAATCATAAGCTGCTTTGAGAACGTTAAAGCTCGGCTACTTCAGCATCATTTCAGTTTTGTGGAGCTCCTGAGAGGCGTTTCTGAGTGAGAGGATAAAAGCCTAGCCAAGCCAGGACAAGCAATGAGATCGCCAGCTCTGCCGTGACCCCACATTGCGCGACCTCAGGCGAGCTACAACGAAAATTTCTCTGTAGAATCTGTTTAAGCCTGTAATATTTTCTACAGAGTCAAGAATGAACATGCGCTCATCCACCTGGAAAGTTCATGACGTTAGAGAATTCCATTCTTACCCAAAGAGGGTCCATAATACTTCAAAAATAATGTAAATATTGAAACATGAATGTTAGAGTAAGCATGGGAAAATGTCCCTAAAGTTAAAATTAGAAATAGGCATGTAGAAATTCGCATTATATTCAATGCACAAGAAAGTAAAAATGGCTGTTGATGAAGCTTGCCGAGTTTCACTTCCAAGGCAGTGATGATGCCGGTCAGCTTATACTCTCACCACAGGACTCAAAAGAAAATAAACACTGCAGGAGAGTGGTGCGAGGCTAAGGTTATCTGTTGACAATATAGAATTCACAGAAAAACAAATGAACATGCTAAGCAAGCAACTTTTTGATATCGTAACGTTATGGGTCTTTCTCCCCCACTTGTTATGGAATACGGCAATGATAATAACGAGGATCCCACTCTTCCAAACGCAGTGCTTTTTCCTAGTTGCCGTTTGCACCCTCATGGCATGCAGCGTCTTCGCTGAAGACGCCGATAAGAAAGAAAAGAAAGACATCGAAGGACGAGGAGGCATTCTAGGTGGTGGTCTCGGAGTCGGCGGCTACGGTGGGGGCGTAGGACCTGTTCTTGTTGGCGGTGGTCTCGGAGGCGGCGGTCTTGGTGTTGGCACAGGCTATGGTGGAGTAGGTCTCACAGGTCCTGCGTTGGCCAAAACTGGGCTCATTGGAAGCGCTGGCCTCGGATATGGTGGTCTCGGATATGGTGGTCTTGGATATGGTCGCCTCGGATATGGTGGTCTCGGCTATGGAAGCGGTTATGGTGGCCTTGGTTACGGTGGTCTGGTTACGGTGGTCTGGGTTACGGTGGTCTCGGCTATGGAAGTGGTCTTGGCTACGGTGGCGGCTACCAGTCCGGCTACGGATCTTCCATTGGGGGCCAGCAGGGAGGATACAAGGGCGGCGCTAGTGGACTCAACCAGGGTTTCGCCGGCTTCGATGGTGGCGCTTCCTTCAGCAAAGTAAACTCGTACAACAACAAGCAGGGTTACAGTCACAGCTCGGGTTTTTCGGCGAGCGACAGCAAGAGTTTCGGCTCCGGACTCAAAAAGAGCTCCACCGCATTCGGAAGCGGTGCAGGTGGACTCCAGGGGGAATACGGCCAGTACATCGTACGGACAAAGCGTAGGAACTGGCTACGGCAGTGGATACCATCGCTAAAGGTGGGTAAAAACCTTTGCTGCTTTTCGACACGTGTGTTTTGCTCTCGGGATACATACCTATAGCTTTCGGTATAGGCTTAATTTTTTTCATATTTTAGCAAAGATAACAATAATATGTGTGCTTCAAAATCACAGAAGAGACAATGCCTTGAAAATAGCCGTACTAATATTATTTTATCGGTGACCTATTATGCTGTACAAATAGAAACTGCTAGTTTATTCGCGAAAGTACAAACACTATGCTTCGCAGGTGAAGAAATAACCACAGATATACCACAACATCACGATATAAATATGAATAGAAATACCACTATTACAACTAAATCAAGAATGCTTTGACAGCGCAATAGATCTGAAAGCACAAAAACAACATATCTTTTTCGCATAATTATGACTTTATTCAGCGGATGGAACAGTACCATGAAGTGCCAATAAAGGCGAAAAAATTATTTGGATTATAGCAGTACTCCAAATGGAACACCAGTGGAAGACGTAGTACAGTGTTGTTTCCACTAAGGCAACAAATTACTTTGCTAGACGGTTCATATTGAAGAAATTCACTTACTGAAAACGTTAGAAATGCGGGAAAGGGAAGAATGAAGACGTATCCACGAAGTGAATGATGGATCGTTAGGTGTGGCCGTAAATTACCAGTAACATTGACCAGTCACGCAGGTAAATGAGGGCCGAGTGGTGTGCAGCTACATAAAATGTTTATTGGCTATAACCGGTATGTCGTGAATTTCGTTTTGCCTTCATTATTGGTGCTTTGCGGTAACCCACCCAGGCTGAAGTCGGCCAAGAAAAGGTCCATGCACGTTCTCCAGGCAGTTATTGGTTGTTTGCAGTTAACGAAATGCATTGTATAGTTTATCGAGATGTCATCTACTGCAGAAGCCAGTCGTTGTCTGTGATCGTGATCGTCATCAGCGCCATTTTCATCGTTATTGCGTACAGTGGGGTACCTTGCATGTGCTATGCCTCAATAACGGAAAAAGAATGTGTGGTCTGGAACGCGTTTGTTCTTCATCGTCATCGCCAGTGGCGGCTACGGCTATGGCGCACAACGCCTACGCCGACACCAACACCAACACCAACGCCAACGCCAATGGACAAGCATCGGCAAGAAGGAGCTTCGGCCCTAAAAGCATAGTGTTTGGAAACAATGCGCGTCAGCTTAGCGCCCAAAAAAACTGTATGTTCAAGAAGAATATTGAAAAAGCGCGAAGTTCCTTTGGTCATATCACTATATCTACCAAACATAGTGTGGGAGTTTTTTCTCATATTTAGGTCTTACTTCTACAATTAGCCATAAATATGTGTGTGTACTTATGACGTTGTACGGGAGCTTGTCATTTAAAATAAATACAAATTGCACTGCTTTATATCTTTTTCAGGTTGAGTCCTACGTCCTGCTTTGAAGCCCTACTTCGACGATGCTTGTGTTCAAATATGGTTTCTCATCATTTTTCTCAACTGCCAATAAAGCTTGTTGCCCCAAAACGCACAGCTAGTGGCCAATTTTCGCTGTGCCTGTTTGTGCGTTGTTAAACACGAAGCCTCATTGAAAGTTTTACCAAAGAACCACAACATGAAATTACACATTTCGACTCAGATAAAGGCTTGTGGGACACTATTTCTTAGAAACACCTAGTTTTGAGTCTGTAATCTACACCACAGGAACGTCCATAGGATACACAAAAGGTACTTAGAATAAGCACGTCAGTAGTTTGATGAGACACCATCTTTTCTGAAATCACAAATCCGAGACACATTTGTTTATTATATTGGCCTTATAGTATCGCTTGAATATGAGAATACTAAATCCAAATATACATGGTTGCTTTTGGTAGACAGCGATAAATGCTTTTAGTACGAAACGGCATTTTCATGAATGCCCAGAGTCGATTGAACTTCTGTTGTAGCAGGCTTTAGGCTACAATTTAAAATTTTTTGCCCTATAGAGGTTACAAATTTGTCCAAACGCTGTAACTTTTACTCCTTAGACTGAGCAACCGTTATTGCATTAGAAGTACAAAAGTTGTCTGCCGGGAAAAAAGTTATACTTACAATTAAATTAAAAAGAGACAGAGAAAAAGAAAGCAAAAGCAGGAAGGTTAACCAGGTTCAACTCGGCTGGCTATTCTACACGGCGTTTGTAGAAGTGGGAGGACATGAATGTGTTAAGAAAGAAGAAAATAGAGGTACTTGTTAAGAACATAAGCTTCTGACACGAGCAATAGCAGTGACAAAAAGCTAAGCATATTCTTTATAAACTTTTTCACTTGTACCTGTTGCCTTGAAGGTTATATATCCACAAAACTCGTTCTGGAGAAAACTTTATCTGTCACAACCAATGCTAAAGTGTGCCTTTTATAGCATTTAAATATTGGTCATGGCATCAAAAAAAAAAAAAACCTTTAGAATGAGCAACGAAGCGTCGCTCAAATGCTCGGGACATATGTTGAGCAGATTTGCAAAGACCAATTTGGTGGAGCCCCGCATCTTTCTCGTTAGGCATGTACGACATTCGACACTGACATGTTGATGCCATAGCTATTTGCCTATAATTCATGGTACGTGCCAGCGTATTTACTGACGGTCGCATATATTTCAACAATTTGCACCGGTACAAGCATCGCGCGTATGTGGGTATTACTGCAGACAAAACTCTTTGGATTTAACCTGGGATATCACTGACGAAGGTTCCGAGACATGCTGAGGTGGCACATATTCAAAAGTGAAAGGGGCGGCTCAATTAGCGTTCACCCTTTCTTCTCGAAAACATTTCAGTGGCCTCTACATTCGTCACGACCCCCTTTCCCGTGGCTTGAAGTATGCGTGTACTTTGCCCGCGTGCCCACGCCAGCAGCAATATGGAAAAAACAAGATGCATCAAGCACAGAGAGGTGACACGGACTTTGTTCACCCAGTGAAGGATGGTCACCGGGAAAATATAAACAATGTGTACGCCGACCAGTAAGAACACGGAAAGATGTAAACGTTAAAGCACCGAGTCTTTGTAATTGCAGGGACAAACGTTGTACAATATGCGCGAACGTGAGCTGAAAGTGATGATAAACCGAATAGATTCAAAATATTGCTATAGGTGCGTCCTTTACGTAGCGTCAACTTGAAGTTTGCGACATCACAGTGGAGCCATACCTATTTGCATAATCGGCGCTTCCTAAACTTCTTGATAGCGCCGAAAAATTTCTCATGGCAAATGAGGCGTGATTTCGCCAGCAAAGTTAACTAAATTGGGTTGTCGTATTGCACAGGTGCATTAAAGCAGGGAAAAAAAAACCCAATGAAAACGTAGCGCTGCGTGGGTTTTATTCGCTTTTATATTGCACAGCATTTCTCTGTCAATGAACCATGTCGTTGTTGCAACTTTGCTCGTGAATCTGACTTCCGTTCGTAATATATTGAGTGTCAAAATGTTATTCATTTAGGTTTCCACCTTTCCTTTCTTTTCTTCAAGTGATAATTACTAACCGTGGTTTCTATTCCTGAACAAGCGGCAATTAACCTGAGAAGCAGAATGAGTGGTCACTGGAGCTTCGTATGAATGAATACTCACAGGCGATGTCATTGACTGTTTCCTGCTTTCTATTTTATTTTCGTATATTGACGGCGCCACCACCTGCGGCACGCTGTCAAGGACGATCTCTTGCCCTTTTCGCTGTATGTTATTGTTGCCACACATCACGGCTATTGCTTGAGGACAACTTTAATATATTAACGCGATAGCAATTACATGGGCAGTCTCGACTGGTTTTTGCCGTCACCGCTGCCACCACCGTCATTCACGTATATGTATATGCATGCGAGGAAGGATGTGCTAGCGTCCTCTTTCTGCGGATCGAACATCCCCTTTCAGGTTTAGTTATAATATATTAACTTTCCTGAACAGTAAGAGAATAAGTTTTGCCGAAGTTGACCTTTGAAATAAGCGTATAAAATGCAAATACAGCAAATTAACACAGAAAGGACATTTTAGTTTGCACAAAAAACAATATTCTGCGCTGTGCTGCTGCGCGGATGAATAAAGTTCTTTAAAAAACTGCATGACCCCGAAAAACTTAACTCCAGCTTACAGAAACTGTAAAATCTGCTCTATGAGTTACAGAAATGTGTAGACTCTTCTCAAATATAAGGATGGTCAACATATCTGTAAAAATTTGTAAAAAAAAAGGTAATCTGTTCGAGTAGGTCGTCTATGTCAGACACAATCAAATAAATCCAGAAGACGATTAAGCCAGGGAGAGTATAGGGTACATTATTTGCTGTCTCTATTTGCAATCAGGTAACCATGACGCAAATTTAAATTTAAATAAAAACAATCGCCCTTTTTGTCGATGGAAGCTGGAATGGAAGGCTGTGAGTTCGGATGCCACCGAAGGAAAGGGTATATATCTCCGCCATTTTATTTAATTTAGTTTTACGTCATAACTACATGCTGTAAATAAAGGCAACCATTAAGCCCCTTTCCTTGTCTAATGGCATTTTGACTTATTCGGTATTGTTAGTCGCAGTGTTTCGGCGCTGCTTTCGAAACTTGCACCTCTTTACTAGTACCAGAGTGTTCCTCTTTAGCAAGCGGGACTCACTCTATACAACACTTCATTTCGATTGTTACAACGTAATTGTTGCCTACGATACAATTCCCTAGGCTAACCCGTCCGCAGAGTGCACCTCTTTTCTCAGATACCAAAATGCCGCGACACCCATTTCGGGCCTCCTCGTATATCGCATACACGTGTCCGGGCCATCGCCAGTTCCTCCGCGAAGTGCTGCGGATGGCGCACCGGAACGGAAAACGGCGGTGGCCGGAACGGAAGTGGCGCAATCTCTTGGAAAACACGGTGTTTAGCGACGCGCCCTAGACGTGAGACGGCATCTCAATTTTCGACCATGCTTCGTTGCGCTTTCGGGAGCCCTGCGGGTAACTAAAGAGCACCAACGAAGTCGCCTAAACAGTGCCTCGGCGCAAGTGCACCGAATGGCACGGGCTGCGGAGCGGTTTGCGAGTTTTTGTTTCGGAATAAAGACACACCGCTTCCGCTGCACTAGGTATAAAAAGTTAGCCGCTCCTACACTGAGAGTTGCAAGCACCTCGGCTCGCTTCTCCAGGGCGAAGAATCGCGAGAACTCCAGAGAGAAAGCCTCCACGTTATACGCGGACCAAGGCAGCTATGAAGGTAAGAGTGTGAGAACAGGGGGATTTATTTGTAAGGTGTGGACAAGTGTGAATTGAGGGTCATGATGACACGTTAATGGCAGAAGGAGAATGGCGCAAAGTACAGTTTAGTGCTAAGACGTAAATGCGTTTGACGTCATACCTGGAGACAGGAGAAAGTAAGGATATGAACAGGCGGGGCTCGCTGCCCTTTTTCCCGATGAGCCTTACGCAAATTTAGCGCAGTGTGCCAACGAAAAGAAAAGCACGCAATATGTATGACCCGCTACATATTCAAACGTAGCGGATGTAGGTAGAACACATGTGTACCTATTCTCATCAGAAAGAACAGGGCACATCGCGATAAAGTGCGCACGTCTGAAGCAAGCAGTTGTGAAATATAAGTAGCCAATATGAAATATCGAAAAGAAGGCGGAATTTTAGGGGAAGATGCAAGCTGTTACACATGAAACATTTTAACATAGAGTTTTAACAATGGGGTCATTTCCTGGTTAAGTCTGGTAAGTGTATTATTTTAGACCTGGTTTTTTGTTTGGACCCGGTTTTGAACAGTTACCAGCTAAGTTCTCGGCCTTCATTGACCCTGTGTCATGGTTGGGTAGCTGTAATGTACGCTGCTTCGAGATGTCTACAGATTACGGGGTGCCGCTAGCTCTAAAGCGACAAGCGGTGTTCATGAATTCTTTTCGTACTGATAAAAAATTTAATAATGATATACGCTGCACACCACACGTAACGCACTGGCTTCTACAAGATATGTTATTTTCAGTAATACGAAGGTCGTCGTCATTTAGCAACAGTTGGTCATAACATGTTCATTCAGTCACCTTAGCAAGACGTGAGTTGCAAGATGAAGCTGAATTTTGTATGCGTTCGCGACAAAAGTGACAACAGCCGGCTCAATTTTGCCCCCATACACTGCAGTTATTGCGGTAGCCGTTGTATTTGCCCTGGTGACAAGAGGAGTTCTTGCTGAGGAGGATCCCAAGAAGAACGTGGTCAACAAGTTGGAGCTTCCCAAGAAGGACGTTGTCAACAAGTTGGAGCTTCCCAAGAAGGAGGATGGTCCCAAGAAAGACAAGGACATCGAAGGACGTGGAGGCTATTATGGTGGCGGTCACGGTTACGGTGGTGCCTATGGTGCTGGAGTGGGTGGTTATGGCGTGCCTGGTCTCGCTGTTCCCGGCGTCGTAGGCACTAAGCTCGGTGGAGCCGCTGGTGGTCACGGTTATGGAGGCGGCGTCGGCTATGGTGGTCACGGTTATGGAGGTGGTGCAGGCTATGGCGGAGGCTACCAGTCTAGCCACGGCAGTTCTTCAGGCGGCTATCATGGAGGCTACCAGGGCGGTGCTGGCGGCTACAACCACGGATCGTCTGGTTTCTCCGGTGGCTCCTCCCACAAGAATGTCAACGCTTACAACAAGAACCAAGGCTACAGTCACAGCTCGGGATTCTCGTCAAGCAGCGGGAACACCTACGGTACTGGACACCAGCAAGCAGCGTCCGGGTTTGGTGTCGCTGGTTCCGGGCACAAAGGTGGCTACGGGCAGTCTTCCTATGGCCACAGTGTCGGTGTCGGCTATGGAGGAGGCCTCGTTGGCGGTGGATACCATGGCTAAAGGTAAGCTATGAAGCGTAAAAACGAGGATATATCAGTTTAAATTTTGTGACGACTTAGCAGCTTTAAATTTGTAGCTGGTGCATGACACTCCAGAACTGTGATGACTTCACAAAACAACGCTATTTACTTCGTTACTCACCGAATCAATATGAAAGGTTATACGCCATTCATTCTATGAAATAGAACAATTTTTTTCTCATTGTACACGAAAGAGTGCAATGAAGACCATCGGGAAAACTTTCTAAATATTCACTCTGCAAATATATTCAACCGGTGAATAAATAAACCCACACTAAAACAATTAACCGTGATTAAGTACATAACTAAAAGGGAATTAGAGAAAAATATTTTTATATGAGCAACGTATTCGGTACTCACTGATTAGCGTCACTCATCGCCTATTACTTCATTTATATAACAAAACTTTCAAACTCCTTCTTTCTCACTTCAAACTTTCAATTCGACGATGTGCAAGAACTCGATAACAAGTAGCAGTCCCTACCACATCCACTTTAGATGTGCTCACCTCATTTGTAGCGTAAAAACCTTCTGAAACCCAAGGAAACAGCACGCATATTCTTCCGATTCAAGCATGAGGTGCTCACTCCACTTCTGTCACCAGTGACAGGGTACGCGACAACCAAGCTCTTACACTGCGGAGCTTTACATATGCTGCCCAGCTTAGATGGCTGCTTCATGAGATTCAGCTGCAGTGAGCTATTTCATGGAGCACATCAAACAATTTTGACACGACTGAAATATTTTCACCTGGAAAGAGAAATATTGCAAATAAAAGTATTGATTGATTGATATGTGGGGTTTAACTTCCCAAAACCACTATATGATTATGGAAGACGCCGTAGTGGAGGGCTCCGGAAATTTTGACCACCTCGGGTTCTTTAACGTGCATCCAAATCTGAGCACACGGGCCTACAGCAAATGAAAGTATGTACTTGTTTTGTGTTTAGGGCTGCCTATGTATAGAGCACGATTTAACCTCGTACTCCGACCAACAAAACTTTTAGCGCGAAAGGATCAAACCATGACAAGTGTACAGAACTGTTTATTCTTTTCAGTTTCGCCATCACATCTACGCAGCTACCTCGTCGGTGTTCTTGCCGTGGTCTGGTTCCTGGGAAGCGCCCGAGCATTCAATAAAACTTGTTTCATAAAGTACAGCAATCGTGTCTTTCAATGACAACGAAGCATTTGAGAAAATTTAGGACCCCAAAATTTACAGCCAATACAGTTGCACGCTTGGAAATCTCTTACTGCTACTCAATTTCGTATAATATAGACACTTGGTCAATCATCAACAAAAAAATGTCACAGCTTTGCCACAATGACGAAGTAGTGAACGCGTTAGCAACATATCGGAAAGTCATCCGCAGAATGGCAAGTAGATTGAAACGTGCCCCCCGTTTCTCACGCACAGAGGACGCACAAAACGTACTCACTGGTATAGATTAACGTGAATGGGCGTCTCTGTTGTTACTTCGCGGTGTCTGAAAAACGCGCCCTTTTCGCAAACGGAGGTTGTGCAACGATTGCAGTGACCTTTGTGCACCCGGTAACTACAACACACTCGTTCGGACGAAACTCAAAGGCTAGCCAAGACGTACGATTCTCCCCACTTCAAGATAAGGGCGCGTGATCGAGCGTACACCCCCTTATTTTCTACGTGGGCCAAAGTACCCACGAGAGATGAGAGCCGCGGCGCGCTAACTGTGCCATCTTGCTGATAATGCTAAAACACGATAGTTCCCCCCTGAGATGCCCGCCAACAGCGGTAAGTGGTAGATATGAATAGCTTGCCATTTGAACGTTGAAGGAGGTACCTCTGAGTGGCTCAGTGATTAACGCCTCACATTCACGACGCGGAGGTCCCACGTTTGATTCCACGCACCGGAGTCTTTTTTTCTGAATTTTTTATCTTTCTAGCGTTTTCATATATATCGATACGTATACATATACGGTGCATGACATCGACTCTGGCGGCGAAATCCAGCTAAGAGTGTCAATATCTATCGCAATAAAAATTAATGGCAAAAACTGTACTTTAGATGTTGATAATGACATCATGCACAGATGTCCAAAGTGTCATAAAGCGTACGGCCCGAAGATGTTAACAATATAATTATGGCAGCCTAAATTGGCCGAAAAGTAATCATGAAGATTTTTTTATGAAAATGCGACAGGGTTATAGAGGGAAAAGGGCTATGGATTTTCGTAGGAAAGGCTTCAATTCGCCCATCTTACTCGACCGGATATTAGCACTGGTTAAAGTGTTATTTGTGTTAATTTCTGTAATTACTGATATAATTGTTGTTTGCACACATCTGAGGATGCCTTCTGCCACAGGAAAGGCAATGCCGCAAGTAGCACGCAGATACCTTCTTTATGTGATTTTTAAAGCGTATTGAACACCTTTTTGAAACACCTTGGATATGTAGGCACTTAACGTGACACTAAATATAAATACTAAGTTGATGTTGATTGGTTAAAGGGGTCCAGAAACCTTGTAGTGCTGCTTTGGGCCAATGAAGTGCTTATATTGAAATAAAAAAACGCATTTTAGTGGTCCGCATCACATTAGCACACTTCAGATTACCCGCCTCAAATTGGACACTTTTATGTCACTCTTGCCGTGCCCTACGCTGCCCGGCTTTACTGCGCTCCCGCCGAAAATAGTAGCAGCAGAGTGAAAATAGCGGGAGCCGCAGCAGCAACGACAGCCATTGAACAATTTTCCGCCATGTACTCGAAGATAATAGGCGTACTTGGTTACAATGAGCTTCGCTATATGGCGAAACATGTCCAGTTTTACTAGTCGAAAATGAAACTTCAATCACTCGCGCAATTCGCCATAGTAACGTCCAGCGGTTCTCTGTTCTATATATCAAAGAGAAACAGACAAGGAGCATTTTATGACATCTCTTGATGCACTGAAGGTTCTCTTTTTATTCGCTGCTAGTTTGGTTACTAGTGATTAATTGTAGTCAGATGCACTGACATCATAGGGATCATTTTCAAGCTATCGCACTCTTGGCATCGGTCGTGTGGTACATTTAGCTAAATTTCTCGGTAAAAGGGCACTGCTCTTAATCATTGTAATTTTTAGACGTTGTCATACATAGAGCGTTCACTTCGAGATAAATTGTTATTAGCCTTTCGTACCCCTTTAAACAAAAGTGCGAGCTGCTTCCGGATATGCACCAATATGCTGGAAAAGGAATTGATGAACATCAAACCATGAAAATATCCGATTGACTGCAATGCTTCATTGTGGGCATTGGCCAGAATGGCAAGAGCCAGCCGCTTGTTTGAGTGATTGGAACGGAGAACGTGCCAGTTTTCTCGAAGAAGAGAAAGCCACCACCGTTATCGGCGCCTGTCACGAGCGTCCATGTCCTCGTGCCCCATGTGCCAGCAAAACCTCGACGGCCATTCTCTCGCTGAACGTTGCTAGGCGCGGTCGTGCTCAAGCCACGTATCGCGCGGCTCTCGGTCAAATCGTTCAACGATGCCATGACGCCGGCTGTCGATATCTGGCTGCAATCACCAGCGCCACCGAAGCCTCCGCCTGCGCTCCATCGAATCTCCGACCTCCAGGACCGAGACATGCCAACTGTCGCTGCTCCTGGAAACCAGAGGAGGAGGAATACGAAGAAGCAGATGTATTCGTTTTCTGGCTGCACCGTGATCGGCCACTGTCCATACGCTTCACCGCCGCTGTTGTCACCATCTAACACGCAGGCAAACCTTCCAGAACTCGCCCTTCTCACGACGCGACGGCTAGCGAATGAACATCAGCGTGACAATTCGGAACATCCCACCGAACGTTTGGTGTCCCGACGACGTCGAGGTGGACACCTCACGATGGATTCAGGTATGACATCGAGTTCCTAATCCGAAGCTCGGCTGCATCACCGTCATCGGTTGGCGCCCGGCCTTAAAAGGTGTTCGAGGGAGTTGCTCCTGACGTCATCACTGGAAGGCGGAAGCGGTCTCGTTGAAAGGGTTGGCGGAGCCGAAAGCTCCCGCAGAATCTGCCACATTATTCATGCGTTGGCGCATGCCGACTCGTTGGAGGACGCCGACCATCTGGGAGGCCTGCGGGACGCCTGCATCTCGGGCTCCGACTCCAGCTCTTGATTACACCAACTCGCTTGTCAGGCTGGCTGCGAGAACTTCGTGGAATGAAACGCGTGGACGCCGCCGTAGCTGCGCTGTGCTGGTTCGTCTTCGGCGAACCAGCGCAGCGCAGCTACGGTGGCGTCCAAGGTACTGCGTGTCGGCCACCACTATTTTGTTCGTGGATTTTGTACCGTCACCGATTAAAGTTAGTGTTATTTGTCTATTTTTGTCTTTCCAAGCTGGCAACAGCTCTGTGGTAGTGCCAGAGGGAAGCACGGGGTGAAGTGGGAGGGGGGAGCTTGCTCTAATTTACGCCCGCGCTAAAGCTCAACCGTACTGGTTTGCCAAAGCAAAGGTTCCATGTATCGAACCTGACAAGCAAACTGACCATCGAAAACGTTCAGAATTTTTAGGTAGCACATTCTTTTGAGCATGTTTGCTATGAAGAATTTAGTAGGGAAGAATGACGGAACAAGATGAATCACTTTTTTTAGAATAGAAATTGGAGCTCTATTTTTTCCTCTCTTTTAACTCCTCGCGGTGGTCAAGTGGTCAGGGTACTCGACCGTTTATTAGGAGTTGCAGGTTCCAATACAGGCTGTGGCGGTAACATTAGGATGGAGTAGAAAGACTGGAAGACCATGAGCGTAGATTACAGTCCTAGATATAAAAATGGCATAGATTTAGGTTCCCGTCAAAAAGAGCCCACGCACTCTACTTTACTGGAGTCCTCAACTAATGTGTCCTGCATAATATCGTATATACTTGCTACGTAAAATTGCAACAATGACTGATCCCTCACCCATTTTTTGTTTTGGTGCTGTAGCTTCTAGCGACACTTCGTTCCTTTATTGGTGGCTATTCAATCCACTTCTTGTCAAACGAAGTATGTACTCGCTGCCTGGAAACCCCGAATAAAAAAAAGCTCATTTCTAAAGCAGTGAATCGTTCACTATTAAAAGAGGTACAGGCCAGACATGACGAAAAGACTTAGGTCTTATATATTAAGATAAGAGGGAACCGCGTGGGCCATTACCCTGCCCATTTCGCAAGGCTAGATACGCCGGCAATCTATAACAACCTGATGCTAATTATCAGCACATTCGAAGCATGGTTTAGTAAAAATGACGGTGCATTAACTGTCAAGAGAATGAAGTAAGATGTCGTTATGGGGTTGGCGGCGTACTTGCAAGATGTATTTACCGGAAACAGAGACGAAAGTATAGGCGGTTGACAAACACACACTCACGCACCTGTCATTCGATGATTATGATGATGATGATCATGATGATGATGATAAAACCTCTAACATGACCCCTACCTACTCAAGGGGATCGGCCTATCAGTTTCTGTGGTTCTTCGTCTTCTTTCACTTCTTCTATTCATAGCAATATATCTAAATGAGTTCATTGAAACAGCAGATTGTCTGCCTGTGATCAATTATAGGATCGTTGCGATGCCTAGCAGAGCAGTTCTAAACCACGCACTTGCTCATATATTGCCCATGGCAATTACCTACTGTGGGGGATCGGCCAAGAATGGAGGGGTTCTATAAAACAATCGTGAGTTTTAAAATGATGAAGGTTATATATAATAAAGATTACAAATTATCTAGGAAAATATGATACTTCATCTAATGCATAAATTTTTAATGAAGAACTTCTTTCTTCCATTGAAGCAACATCCTGATTTTTATATGTACATAAAATTGTAAATATTTTAGGTCATACAACAGATTATTAGTTAACCAATTGCTTTAGTTATTATAGTGCCTGGCAGCAGTGCATACCTTCGAACTGGAGAACTCAGAAATAGAAGGTCCAAAAGACAAAATCACAGGCACAGATAAATATATACGAATGCAGCGTAAAGGTATTTTATTTAAAGGATTTACCGTACTGTAGTGAACCCCCTGCACGTCAAAAGAAATCATCTAATGAGTTCAGTTCCCCACAGAACGCGCACAGTGGTGAAGATGTTTGAGCAGACCAAAGAGCAGACCTGTGTTTGTAGAAATTAAAATTCTATAGTCGGCAGCGCAACCTCGTCACAGCTACTTCTAGTTTACGAGCTTGGAAAAAAGTCCATCGCCAGGGATACAATAAATGGCGATATTCGATAGAGTTTGTCAATGCTGTGACTCCAAAGGTTTCCTCAAGCGCACGCCTGCGGAATTGAGCAATGATCACTTAAGCAGATTATGAAAAGTGCGGTAAAATTGATTCACCTATGAACAACTCAGCTGAACAATCGGCCATTTCATTGAGAAACAACCCTTGTCCAGTCATGCTATTATGGCTATATATAAAGTTAACAAAAATAACCCTATATTAGGTTCAGACATGCTAGCATGGCTTCAGGGAAGCACGGCAAATCAAAGCCACGTGTATATTTTGAAAGGGGAAGAAAGCGAGAAATGCAAAGAGAGAGAAGGAAAGATAAAATGTGAAGAAAAATATAAAGTTAGCTTAAAAGAAAAAATGCAGCAAAATATAAGAAGGAAAGTATAACGAAAAAGAGATGAGGAAATAAGGAGAAAATTGACGAGGAACACAGAAGGCTTCCCTGCTCAGCACTTACTTCATTCAGTCTCCACACTTCTACTAAGGAGCTGCCTTAAGCTTTTTTTTATATATATAACTGAAATGTGGCATGACTACTCATAAATTTACGTGGGGAGATATGAACGCCTACCAGCGAAATGTTATAATATTATAGCCTGCGTTTTTTCTTTACTTTATTTCATTTACATTCTGTTTATAGTAATAACTATCAAAGAAACATTACGTGGCCTTTATAATCAATTTAATTTTTAAGGGTAGTAGCCTTCAGCATACGGCACACTTTCAGTTCACATGCGATCACTCTATAGCGAAAAAAAGACCTACAATAAAAGGGTCTGCCCTTTCGGAGAACTCCTGTAATTATCTCAAGCGCCCTCGATGAGTTCAACATCCGTCGCCTTAGCGTGACCTCTGCAATCAACCCCGCGAACGTGCCGACCCACTTCCGAAGCACGGAATGGGGGCCATGTATAAAGAAGTGCGTACTCTAAACGTTCGCATATAGGCGCAGTCATCCCGACTGGTGATAATTCGTACCCTGCAGAAATTCAATTTGATCATGTTTTTTTTTCTAATAACGTTCAATTACTTCACCATAATATTTTACATTATTTATTGCAAGATCACCTGATCAGCACTACAACAAGTCTTGTTATTGCTGCAGATGCACGATATTGTGAAGAAAAGTCTAGTGTTAGTATATTTAGATCGAATTTAAATTGGTTTTATCCCCTTCGACTATACCCGGTTTCAAACCCGTTTTGTGGCTAAATATTTGGCAGTACTACTCGCCTTACGCCAGTTACATACGCGGCCATTACATTAATGCTATAATAACAGATTATCAACGGACGCAATATTTGTGCTGACTTCCAAGTAATAAAAACCTTCGCGTTTGAGGAAAAGTCCAGTTAGTTTTGGTGCCTGGACATAGGATTGTTTCTCAAAGATGTACAGTGCTCGTAAAAAGTTCACTTGCCAGGTTCCCATAGCAATACATGGCATAGCAATAGGTAACCTGTGGACTTTTGACCTGCACTGTACATCTATATAGATATAATAAAATTTAGCTACCCGTCAGCGCCTCTTATGTGCCCTATTTTCTTCATCCTCATCCGGCATGCGCGGCTTCAAGAAAACATGAAACATGAAGACGTAATAAGAAATGTTTATTTCTTATCACAGAATGGGACCGCATGAGGTCTTCGCGAAAGGAAACATGCCAGAGAACAGTGATAAATAAGTCTCATGAAAATGCTAGGTTAAATTTTTGAAATGTATGGAGTGAAGAGACATGCACGAGCAGGTCTGCAGGCCACATATGGCACGATGGACGTGTGTTTTGGACCCAGGTGCAGGGCTTCTTAGAAAAATTCTTTGGACACATCTCAGCTCCCGTGAGGGCGCAGCACTCGAACGCCTTCGGATATCCTCAGAAAGCGACAAACTAGCACTCCATATCCCCGGTTTAACGACAAAGTACGAACAAGCAACAAGCAAGTCTTCAGATTGAAAGATCAACAGGCCGGGAAACAGGGATGGGCGGAAAGACGAATGTACTCCTGCGTACGCTGATTAGAGGCAGAAAGGATAGCGACACCGTCTTTTTGTGCTCTATACACATTATTTCGAACGTGGCACAAGGCAGGTGCTTTTTTTTTCTTTGTATCAAATGAAAAACACAACGCTTCCCTCAAGTCTACTATAAAAGAAGCGCCAAGCTCTAAAGGTACACCCACATTGTCAAGAACCTTCTCCGAAGACACCCACCTCCACCAAGATGAAGGTACGTTTTAGGTCCCTTGCATTAACTAGATCTTGGTCTTGGCGTGTAATGCAAAACCATTCAGGGCTCTTCACAGTGCGCCTAGCGTGTTATTTAAGTTTAGTCCACAGCTTTATATTACCACAACAAGCCATTCCCCTTTTTCATCGCACAGCTATCTTTCTCCTTCGTAAGTTTATTAGCGCATTGAGTTCTTCAATCACATTACAACGCCACGTATTCACTGCCGTATTGAACGCAGGTCTTGATTTTCTGCCGTTTTTGTTGGCTATGGTTGTTAAACGTCATACTAGTTTCTAGGAATGCTTTTATCTAAAGGTGCCATTCATAACCACCTTAGCACAATAAAATGGCCCTGAGGCGTCCCGCAACCTAACAAAATTTAATCGTGGAGATCCCTCCAGGTGCAGGGGATCAACGGTATCACTTCACAATTTGTAAGCTGTCCAGAGTCATTACGTTTTATAGGGATGCTCTAGATTCATACCACTCTTCTACTTCTTGAAATAATTTTTAGGTGGTCAGATAGATTATACTGCAGTAGCCTACTGAAGATGTTTTAGAAGTGCAGTAAGGTACGCTCTGAAAGTTCAATTTTACTTCTTCCACTCCTACCGTAACAACAGCTTTGAAGTTGCAGTAGTAGCTGGAAAGGTGTATATTCTGAGCGGTCATGGTCTTTAACGAAATCGCGGGGACAAAGCCATATTATGGCCTCATTCGGATGGCTTTAAATTAAAATTGTACGAGAAGAACGTGCTATGTAATACAAGTTATCATTTAGGAGCCCTTACTGCATCGAAATACGGAGTTTTTACACTACTCTTATGCAGTCTACAAGGCAAAAGCCCTAATTTCAATGTATTACATATTTCCAGGTAGCTTTTGACCATCCCATCACCCCTCCCAGGTGCCAGCTAACGGCCCTTTACAAACGCGTAGACTTTTCTTTTTCTGTACAAGTCACTTGCTGACGCGATACAACGCGTACTTGCTTTGAAGCTTAACTCGTACAAAATCACTGGCATTTGACTAAATGCGTTTTTTACGTTAGCGGGACTTTAAATTGAGGCAATGAATAAGTTTACGTTGAGAAAATTTACTCTGGAAACTTTAATATTGTTCATTTTATCATCATAGCTTTGATACCACAAAAGAAAACCCTGGCCTAAGTCTCATATTCAGATTTTGTGCGAAATATCCGCGCATGACGTCACTTATCTCAATTTTAACTTTTTATATTCTGGTGACATTCGCTCAAAGAAAATTTCTTAAAGTTGCTCTAACTCCCTGGGGCTATAAACTTTATGCTTAATAGTTGGAATGACGCATGCCTTAGTAAATGTCGTCAAAATCTATGACCTTTTGGTGACCCGTTCGGGAATATCAAGTTGGCGTCGCCGCCTGCAATTTCTTTTTTTTTTCGCCTTTTGTCCCATACCAAGCGCCTTTTTGCGGAAAGCATAGCGATTCCAGTATTAAAAAAAGGGCTTTACTTAGTGAGTGAACAATCTCATTTGTCTGTGGTGTTCTTTAACGTTGTCAAGTGACTGAGTCGTGTGAACGAACGCAAGACATCCAATTCTTCACCTCGAAAGTGACATAAAAGTACCGCCTCAATTATTAACGAGCGTTATTTGTTATGAAGAAGTTGTACTGTACGAGGTACGTGGCCACACTGTAAAATCGCTTGCACGATCGTTTTCTTAGATATATAATGGTGGATGCACCTTTCTGCAACACAGACTTTCGCCGCCGCTGTCTGCGCCCTCCTAGTCTGCAGCGCTTACGCTGAAAAGGACGAGAAGGTCGAAGCGCGCGGAGGCCTCTTGGGTGCTGGTCTCGGAGGCTATGGTGTTGGAGGACCCGGTCTTGTCGGTCCTGGTCTCGGAGGCGTCGGACTTGGACATGGTGGAGGATTCAGTCTGGATATGGCAATGCGGCCGGTGGCCACCAGTCTGGCTTCCGGGGTGGAGCTTCCGGACACAACCAGGGCTCAGGGGCTTTCGCTGGTGGTTCCTCCAACAGGAACGTGAACGCTTACAATGACAAGAAGGGCTACAGCCACAGCTCAGGCTTCTCATCGTCTGACAGCAACGCATTCGGCGCTGGAAACAAGCAGGGATCATCTGGCTTCCAAGGTGGTGCTGCCGGACACCAGGGAGGCTTTGGACAGCAGTCATTCGGACACCAAGCCGGAACTGGCTACGGTGGCGGATACCTTGGCTAGATGTGACTGTTATGCTGAAGGTAATTGTTTAATTGCACAATCAAGCACTCAGACTGAAGCAAAGAGCCTTTGCAACGAAAAAATTGTATACTAAATGCTTCGTGGCTTGTTCACAGTTTTGTGGTGCACGACGTTCACAAGAACCTAACCAATCTAACAACATATTTTTGAATACATCAAGTACTTTTCTAAAGCACATTCAACTCCATAAAGTAGTTTTCAGTAAACGGAGGTGTAGTCATTGCAGTAGGACCCGCGCGACACGACACGAAAGCTTACACTGAGCGGGTTTTTTTCGTCAACGCCTTATTTTATCGGGCGCCACAATATTTCGAACGCATCTTCTTCTCCTAGCATGACTTCTCATTAGGTATGTTGGACTGTCATAGTAGAAACTTCAAAATAGACGTATGACTTTTTTTATTAGAATGTATCGGCGTAGGGGCTTCATTTATGGGTGCTAAAAAATAAGGGAACATTCTTAGTCTTCATGCTCACTTCGTTTACTCCGAGTAGGAAGAACAAGGGATACATGCTGTAATCAGGGGTGACGCTAAAAGATGGGGGGAGGAGTGCCGAGGTCGATACTTGCAAGAGCAAGCAGAGTCAGAAGACGACGCATAATCACCTTCACCCCCAACGTTTAAGGCAAAGGCATGTGATGCAAGCCCCCTTTACCCTAAAATAAAACAGATCTTGGCGCAACTCCTGGCTCTTCTCTGTTTTTAGTCTTGGAAAATAAAAACGAAGGCCAAAGAACGGGTGATACTCAGCGTTCATACGTGAAAAAAAAGAGTTCAGTTAGAAGATAAAGAAACATTTCACTTTTATCAGCAGTTATGAATTTACCGTATAGTAAGAAAATTTGCAGCACAAACGAATATTGTATGCTAAAACAAAAAATACCGATGCCAGGTGACCTCAAAATGATCATCACAATTATTTGCAATGATAATTCGACACGCTTCTGTTCTTGATTTTGCGCAAGAAGATTTTGTTTCATGTTTGAGCAGAAGAAAATTAAGCAAAACAAACTTGTTGTTTAATGCTTACAATTGCAGGGCATATAAACATTGTTTTTTTTCTCTCTCTCTCTCTTTTTGCAGAGTGTATGCTCTACGTGGAGAAAAACGCCAATTGCCGATATTTCACAACGGGGACCTCAAAGGTGAAAATAAACAGTGACGTTGGTAAAGTTGAGAAGAAACTTGTGTCTTTCTCTATTCACATGTCTCCAGCAAAACTGCATAATTTGCCTATCGCGCAATCAACAACGTGGGATGAAACAGTCGATGAAGCTTATGATTATGGTTCTGAATAATAAAGGAATTTCATAGCCGCCCAGTCAGCCACCATGCTGCTACATCCTATTGCTTTCACAGTTTTACCGGAAAGACTTGAACATGAATACGAACGGGAAGCCTGGTTCAAGTTTTTTTTTTTTTACTGATGTGGCTCCCTAGCAGAGATATCTTTGACAGTCGTGAATCTACATCCTATAACATAGTTACAGAGACCTTTCTGCGGAGCCAGCAATATGAACAAAACGCCCCCTTTTGGTTGGAAACGTGTACCAAGGGATACGACGTTCTCGATGCCCTCACAATATTCCTTGACAGCTGATGTGGACTGCCTTGGTATATGTCGAAGAAAAGGCGTGATATTTAAAAATTAACTCGCCGACCTTCTATTTCATCTGGGCAAAGCTTTCCGTCTGAGTGAAGTCACGTATAGCGTGTAGCAGTAATTAATAAGCCAACAGCTTATACAGGAGATAAAGTTAGCTTGAGTAGTTATTGAGCACCTAGGCCCACTGTTTTAATGTTTCACTGTACTGTAATTGAAAAGTTTATTATGCTCGGACAATGTTATTTCGAAGTTAATAGGGAAGGGTTAATTGTGAAGAACGATGATTTTAACAGAATGGCAATGGACTCTGAGGAACAACCAACCAACCAACCAATGTTGATCAGAAGATACATTCAAACATAATATGTGATGCCACCATTTTTTCACTGACAACAATGCAGCTAAATATGCATGGGGTCTGCCCGAAAGCCAGATGAATAACAAAATCGCCGTCCAAGCGCCCCGTACAAATGCTTAACCAGCGAAAGCTGAAGCATTCGCTCCCAGTGTCTGCCAGTGGCTTCAGCCCGACGCTGCACTGAATCCTTACACAATTATTGGTTACACGTTCGTGTTTCTTATTGAGGGTAGACACATGTTTGCCTTGGGTTTTTTCACATGCTGCACATTTCGCCTCTCATGATCACGGTCATGGAAAAGCGTAACGAGTGGTTAGATGGGTTTCGCAATGCGTTAATGAGAGTGGTTGTTCTCGAACCACAGGTTGTCATAGACGTCGCAGCCGAAGCCAAAGCGCCACTGGATAAACTCGCACTCACGCAAGGATGACATTGCGAGCTAACTCCACGGCGTTAGACATAATGAGCTGCAACTCACAACGCAGCCTTTGGCGGAACGGGCTTGGGTACGACGCTGCCAGACACGTAGCTGATAACAGTCAATGGAAACCACTTATATGACAGCGCTGCCGGATGATTTTTCGTTTCTCTTAGCCATATACCGCTCTTTCTGTAATAATCACCCCCCATGCACTCGTTACAGATGGTTGACAAACGAAGTTAAAACAAGCAGCCGCGGCGTTTATCAGTGTTCTAACCGATGGCTTAATAAAGTGTTTCACAATTATTTGTGACGTACGCGCAGAAATGTTGATTGGTGTTTGGTGGCCGTTTGTTCTTTTCTACATTTTAGTGTACCTGTGGTATGTACACAGACACTGAGGTTTGTGCAATTTCTGTGACGCTGGGAGTTTTTACGTAGCCACATGTTGCTTAGGTCACTGTGTAAGTCATTTTACATTATTTGGCGCGTTCTTGTAATGCCATTCTCAACAATGAATCATGGCCTACTGAAAAAATGCCACGCTTGCACGGAAAACCCAGCACAGTCACAGCGAAAGCTAAAAGAACGGCTTTTCCAGAGCTCGTTGCAAACTCTTTTCGGATCATACAGTTTTCCCTTATTAACAAGACAGAGCTCTGGCGCTGAGACCGTTCAGCCACCATGCGAATGTTGAGTATAGTGCACATATTTGCCTAATCTCCTTGCTTGCGACTTTGAACGGGTTTGTGGCTTCGTATATTTTTGCTTCTTGGCATTCGCTTTGGATAGAAAAATAGATCATTGTGAACTTCGTGAGCCCATTAAAATTGATGAGCCTCTAACGTAATGGTGGATAAGTGGAACTGCTGCCCATGTGATGAACTTCATTTGCGACAAAGTGGCACCAAGCCAAACTGAGCCAAACGGAGTCAAAAGAGCCAAGTTTCGACATTTCTATGCAATAGCCATCACTGACATGAAGGCTTAAGGACGATGCGCCGCTCCCGTAGAAACTACTGCCAGAGTTCCCTCTCGTGTGTTTATTGGATACTGTAAGATTGCATCTATCAATGCAAGTGCACTTACAAAGTGCCCACTACCGAAATAAATTAGATTTTTGTCAAGTCTAGAAGCACCCACTACGCCCCGCCGCGGTGGTCTAGTGACTAAGGTACTTGGCTGCTGACCCGCAGGTCGCGGGTTTGATTCCCGGCTGCGGCGGCTGCATTTCCGATGGAGGCGGAAATGTTGTAGGCCCGCGTACTCAGGTTTGGGTGCACGTTAAAGAACCCCAGGTGGTCAAAATTTCCGGAGCCCTCCACTACGGCGTCTCTCATAATCAAATGGTGGTTTTGAGGCGTTAAACCCCACAAATCAAGCAGCACCCACTACAACATTATTCGTCATTCTGCCCAGTAATTACGTACGTGCTACACACTCTCATGGCGTTATCAGTACTTGGTCGAAGTGGTAGCAGATGACAAGGAAAAATCACGAGTGTGCCTTTTGTAAATGGTTCAAAGCTTTAAACGGCACCCTAGTACATAATTCATATTGCGTGACACCCGGTCATTTTTTTTTACTCTACTACACACTAATCGTTAACGTAATTCTTTCTGTGCGTGCTGCGTGTATACAACATCTTACCTGGAAAGCTGTTATGAGTTCCCAAAAGCAGCTGTTTCCGGCGCCGTAGTTTTCCACCACCACCAATTTCCGTAACCACCATCAGAAGGGAAAAAAAACGAAATAGGACAAATTATTCAGAATAGAAGGAGGTTCGATCTCCGGACGCGTCTCCGTGGAAAGCCAATATTCTCCCAGCGAACCATATCTTTGTTGGAAACTTCTTTGTAAACATACGTCATACAAGTTTCAACTCCCCAACGGACGTCGTTAACGTGTAACATAGCATGGCATGAAAATAAAATAACAATCAGCGGTCACACAATGAGAGTAAAGAAACTAGTGGGTCAGTGAATGCTTCCAACATATTTCAAGAGGGTCAACAGTAATTTCCACTGTCAACAATCCTAGCATCAGTGAAGTTCACATTATGCTTGAAAGGTGTGTTACAGGTACCAGATTTCTCCTAAAATAACGAATACTTGCATATCGGGTGCCTCCTTAAAAAAAGTTATGACGATTCAAAGCGCAATGGGTACTTCGCAAGTACAATTGTAATAGTTGCCGGGCAGCCCATAAGACCCCCATGGTATGTTTCCCCAGAATTTTAATAAAGTTCTCTCTCCCTCTCTCTCTCACGTGTAATGTATGTAAATAATAATATATTATAATAATATTTCTGGAGTTTAAGGTCCAAAAACCACCATATGAATATAAAAGATTTCGTAGTGAAGGGATCCGGAAATTTCGACCTGCTGGAGTTCTCTAACGCGCACCTATATCTAAGCACACAGGCCTGAAGTATTTTTCCCGTTATCGGAAATGCGTCCACCACGGCCGGGATTGACTCCCGCGACCTGCGGGACAGTACTAGCCGAATGCCTTAGCTACTAGGCCACCACGGCGGGTGTATTTAATGTATGTAATATCTCGTGGTAGGACAGTAGCGTAACGACCACATTTTACGCAATGTGAAATACGTAACCAGTGGGTCATTTCAATCGTCTAACCAACTGAAGGATTGTCATATAATGCATCGTCATCAGCCACCCCATCAACAACATGCAAATAATGCCTCTAAAACGTGTATCGGCTACATCGCTTCCCCGTGATGACGAAACATGTCGTAGTGAGCGTTTCCTATCAAGACGAGAATTGTGATTTATGGCGCGGTACGTATCTTGAAAGTGTACTTGTACCAATAGCCCCAAGAGAGTTTACACCACGCTCTAGAAATGCCGCTCTTCAAACAACTTTCGCTCTAACTGTGCTGCTCCTTCTGTGCAGGCCTGAATTATTTAGCGAAGGAGTTTCAAGGAGCGGCATTTCTCACTGGCGATTTAGAGGGCTGCCGCAAAGAGGGCTCGAGTTAGAACATCGTTTGATCCTGGATAGTTGCTCCTATTACGTTTTTTTTTTCTCATTTCGGCGATAGCTGTTACGGACACTGGGAGCGGCCCCTGAAACAGCCACTGTTGTGACCTCATAACAGCTTTTGTTGTAAAAAATCGCATATGAGAACCACATGTGTTACGTCATATGGCGCACTGTGATCACAATAACAGTATATGAACAATTAGCGAATGACACGACACGATATGTCCGCCGAGAGTTACACTTCTTGAAAAAGAGAGCTGGACAAATTACCGATATTTAATTGCTTAAGGCAATTGGGCTTATATCGGGGTTTAAAGATAACTTTGTTTCTAAAGCAGTAGAAACCATCTATAATGGATTATAAAATCAGGGCAGTCAGGTTAAATTCATTTTAGAGTCTTTGTACGACAAGTTTTAAAATGACTTGTGCTCAAACAAAACCAGCTAACCCGCGCGCTGGAGTTATACGAGGTTATACGGAAAGCATTATACCTGAATGATTAGAGAAACGAAGGGAATGCCTTTTCTCAGTGTTTGAGGCTGTCGGGCTGATGATGATGACAGTGATTTTGAAATATACGTTTTTTTACAGTGAAAGATCAATTACGACTCTCAACAGAAATGAAGCATCAATGCGTCATTCATTGGAGCCTCTCTAAATCCAATTTATAAATTACCGGGCAGCCAATGCAGTGGTGGTCTGCTGTAGTTAAAGTGCTTCACTATACTGACCAGAAGGTCGCATGATCGAATCCAGACCACATGCCGTTGGAGGCGAAATGTAGTCGGGAAGGCTTATATTTAAGTTGCACGTGATGCGTCACTTTGTACGTGAAATACCCAAGGCGGATGAAATTTCCGGTACCCTCCAACAGGCCATGGCAATATTAAATAGTAGTTCTGAGACCTAAGACGCCAATTGTAATACACGTATGCACAACAGACAGTCTGCTCTTTCTACTTTCTGCTTATCCAAGAGAAAACGAGCTTTCGGACACATCGCAACTCCCACATGAACACAACAGTCGAACACCTTCGGATATCCTTAGAGAGCGGCAAACCAGCGTTCCGTATCACTGGCCCAACAACAAAAAGAAGTTAAGCAAGCGACCAGTGAAAGTTTCGAGAGAGAAACGGCAACAGGCCGGGAAACATGGATTGGCGTAAGTGACGAAACTGCTGAAGGAAGCCGCTCCCTCGCTTGTGATGTTTAGAGCCGCAGCCGATAACGAAGCCTCTTTCTTGCAGCCTAGATTTTTTTTCCAGTACGCCAGGTAAATAACCGGAACGCTGGGCTCGCAAACCTGCTACCACGTGGTTTCCGTCACACCTACGGATCCAGTTTGACTTTTTTTTTCAAGTCGAAGACGCGGCGCTTCCCTCGAATTCAATATAAAAGGAGAGCTGTTTTCGTGACAGACAACAGCATCTCCAAAGACCTTCGTAGAAGACACACGTCTCTCTCCCAAGATGAAGGTATGTGTTTGGGCACTTGTTCGAAGTAGCGTTGCATATGACGGTCGCTTGATAGGTTGTATATAAACGTATGTTTACAGCTTAGATTCAATTAAAGAAAATTTGCAGCCATTCAATACATTTTTTTCAACTCTGCTTCTTTATCAGCACATGAACTACTCTAACTGCCTTCTATTGAGAGAATTTTAGGTACCGAAACATGGTATGATTACCACAGGGGTCGTAATTGAGGGCTCAGGAAACTTTGTTCTGAAGTTCTCTAACGTGTACCTAAGCTGAAGCCTACTGACCTCTAGCACACTCGCTCCACCAAAACCTACAAGTTCTAAAATCGTTGCCACACTTACGTTTTAGTTTCAATTATCCGTCGATTTGAAGAACATTGGTTTTCGCAGATCGTAAGCACGAGTTTGTAGAGAAATTGCTTTTCTGAAAATAATGCTTACAACCAATTTAATGGGAGGAGACAGAGACGTCAATTTAATGGGAGGAGATAGAGATAAAGACAACAAAAAACATATATAGAAATACCACGCACTTAACCAATGCTGTAAATTATCCTACTTTGTGGCATTCCAGTTCTTGTACCAGCATGTTCTCCTTCCACCTTGCTTTAAGGCATGTAATGATTTTTTCAGGTTCAAAACTATCAGCCACTGAAACTTACTGATGTAGCTTTGCAAAAAAAAGTGTCCTCTTAATTAAAAAAACATTTCTATATCCTCAGTTCTCCACATGTTGCAGACTAAAGGTAGTGCAACTGATGCAGTAAAAGGCTCTCCTTTGGGCACATCAACAATTGATGTTTTGTAAAGAAAAAAAAACATAGTTATAATGACAGCAAATACAAGGACGCTGTGTACCAAAGAGACTGCCCTGTAGGAACTCATGCTGTTTAAGGATTTTATTTCCTATAAATAATGCGTGCTGTAAGCGCACTCGGACACGAAGTGCAATTGTAAGCACAATTGTTTCACAAATATTAACGGCATTGGCATTGTTCCAAAACGCAGACCTTCGCCGCCGCTGTCTGCGCCCTCCTAGTCTGCAGCGTCTACGCTGACAAGGACGAGAAGGTCGAAGCTCGTGGTGGCCTCTTGGGTGCTGGCCTCGGAGGTTACGGCGCTGGTGTCGGAGGACCCGGTCTTGTCGGGGCCGGTCTCGGAGGCGTTGGCCTTGGCGGTGGATATGGCGGAGGCTTCCAGTCCGGCTACGGCAACACTGCCGGGGCCCACCAGGCTGGATTCCAGGGTGGAGCTGGGGGCTACAACCAGGGCTCAGGAGCATTCGCTGGCGGCGCCTCCAACAGAAACGTGAACGCTTACAACGATAACAAGGGCTACAGCCATAGCTCGGGCTTCTCGTCCTCTGACAGCAAGAGCTTTGGTTCTGGACACAAGCAGGGATCATCTGGCTTCCAAGGTGGTGCTGCCGGACACCAGGGAGGCTTTGGACAGCAGTCATTTGGACACCAAGCCGGAGCTGGCTACGGTGGCGGATACCTTGGCTGATTGTGAGTTGCGGAGGATGACCTTGTACTGTCATGTGACCAGCTCAATAGGAACTATAGTCTTTTTGAAATGGTCACCTGTAAGACTCATGTTCCCAGTTCTACGAAGTGTTTGGTGTCCTCTCTTGTTGGTTAGTGACAACTTTATTGGTAGTCCGACAGGAGCTTTCGCCGACAGTGCCTTAGGCCTCCCACGTGGAGATGATGAGACCTTGCCTCACCGCCACCTCGTGGGCCTGCCGGACGGCTCAGAATTGGTCGTGATTCTGTTTTGTTTTTTTTTCCACCTTAAAATTAATTATGAACCAAGTGACCAGCGCAATTATATGTTCGGAAAGTCCCGTGCGCTTCTATGAAATTAAATTACCTTCAAGTTATGATGAATAAACTACAATAGCATGATTAGTGTAGTGAGTGTGCGGCTTGGCACCAAGACTGACACTGCTGAACTTTTTATCGCTATCTTACTTTATCAACTACGCGTGCGTAGCTCGGACTCTTTGCATGTGTTCCCACGTATAATATAAAGACCAAGTAGCAGTTCCGCTGATATACACATATAACTCTTCATTCAAAGACATAAGAGTAGAACTGGTAATGTATGCTCAAAAGCTTTTGAATAAGCCTACTTTTTCACACTGACTTCAAAGAGAAAAATTGTGTATGTCGTCAAAAACATGGAATACATGTTGTAATAATATCGTACGGTTTTTAAGGTAAAACATAAAAATTACGTACTCTCAGGCACAACCTATTTATCAAGAGAAAAAGTATTTTCAAACAATAATCCGTTCACTTAGCTCTTTAGTAATGAATATGAAATACAACACCAGAAGAAAATATATAGCACTAATTCATATTGCAATATTCAAAAATGCTTACGAAGAAAAATGAAGGAATAGGTACACTTCGGAGGGTGATTGCACGCATCTAGTCTATACTTTATATTGTAAACCAAGTAAAATAAATACCCGAAATAATTTTTGGACACTTCTATACACAGTGCACATAACTACCATTTCTTTTTTTTTCAGTATTTATGCTTCGCACGAGGAAGAACGTCGACTAGCAGGGTCTCACTACAGGAACATCAAACGTGGAAATAAACGATTATTTGTTGTACTTGAGAACAAAGACTTTTTGTTTGCTTTATTACTTCAAACGTCACGATCGAGCTTACATTTTCTCCACATCAATCCATTGCATAGGCTGACAAACGAGCTCACGAGTGGACTGAGACTGGCCCAGTCTCAGATCAGGCCTGACGTGAGTAAGTCCGGTTGAATATATATATATATATATATATATATATATATATATATATATATATATATATATATATATATATATATATATATATATATATTGTTCTAAGTCATAAGGGTTGAGAAAAAGTTTGATCAGTCTGAGTTCGAATGAGCCGAACTCTCAAGATATATTTTATGAGTGAGTGTGAGTGAGTGGACATTTTTTTGTTCCCGACTTACGGCACCATCAAACAGCTTTAGCATTACTATCAGCCTTACGCCGGCTCAGGTTTACACTCACATGTACTTGCAATTACTTCTAAGCATTTGGGTACGTATGCTACTCAATGATTCATTAATAAGAAACATAAGTTATGAGAGGCATGGAAGAAGTGACTGAGGGAAGGAAGGAGGGAGAGAGGAAGAGGAAGGGGCCCTGGCCTTTTCTCTGCTGTGCCATCGAATAGAAGTTTTGCAAAAAAGTTTGCGGAAGCCCGCGAGGTAGTGGAAAGGCTAAGAAAATAAACTAAGACAACTACCCATCTGGAGCAAGAAGCCACGAGGAAATCCGTACGGATTTCTCAGAACGAAAAGGCTCTTAGTTGCCGAAAAATTTGTCCTGATCCCAGGTTCTCGGAAGTTTCTCAATCAAAATGTGCCGTACCAGTCACGCGTTTCGTAAAAATGTCTCCACTGAATTCACACCTCTCACAACTCCTATTTGAAGACACGAGATAAACAGGCGTCACGTAGGGTGCCACGCATGTGAGATGCTGGCGTAGCATTGAGACGAGAATTGAGAGAGCTAAGTATAGGTCAACGCGCTCATCAGCCGACACAAGCAGACGAAATTCGAGCCATGAGTGTGAGTTTATGTCCGTTTGATATCATTTTGGCGATATCCAGTCCCAGAAGGTTTAATCGAGGACAATTTTAGTGAGTTTGAACCTGATAGGGAGGCTTAGTGTTCCCAGCTTAGAAATAAATTAGTGAGCCGGCGTGTGAGTAAGCCACGGTTAAGCGTAGAGTAAACTTTTCGAATGACTCTGGGCGAGCTCCACTTTAAGTGCTGAACTATGCTCCTTTGACCACCTGCCATGGAAGATACGAATGAGGCACGAACTGAAAGACTGTCGCTAGTGCAGAGAGGGCCGAGCGCAGCGTATTGTTTTCATGTTAGCCTCCAGAAAAAATCTGTCCTTACATAGAATGCGAACAGTGATTCACTTCAGAATTTCAGCCTTACAAAAATATTACCTTTACAAGATGTCAGGACAAGCACGCGAACTGGAAGTAGTCGTCTGTAACTGCCCGGAAGTTCCCCTCCACCCACTGACCTTTTTCGCCTACCCCCTACTGAAGAACAGTGGGAAGTTCTTTGCAGCACCGACGGAGACATCAAAACACGGATCCTGGAACGAGGGCAAGATGTGATCGAGAAGTGCGGCCTGGCACCCTACTTGATTTATTCTCCCTCATCCCTCACCCTTTGGATAAATAAACGTTGTCACTCACTCACCCCACCGGAAGCAATGTTCTAAGGTTCTTGGGTGCTGTCATTTTCAACACAGCCATGGCGGAGATTTACAGTCGCAAATACAGGGACTTTCACCTAACTTGCGCTAAGTGGACTTTTTAACTCCACGCGTTCTAAAGAAGAAAAGATAAAAAATAATAAATAGATCAGCTTTCATAGCATATATGAAATAATACGACGTTGCTGAACAAACGTTCAAGGTTTTCACCTAATATTTTTGTTAAGGTGACTATAATAAATTGTAATATATGTAACAACTGTGTATAACCTAGCATATTTGGTTGTCACCTATTTTTTATGCTTTGATTATATAGTTTTTACGTTTAAAAAGCGCTACAGCTATTGCATTCAAAATCTTCTTTATTTGCCAGAGCTACAAATTGAAACAGTTTATTAAGCAGTCGTTTTTGGTTACCCGGACTGGCAGACTGGAAAAGTGCCTTGATGGGCTACGTACGGCTCAGAACAATACTAGGTCAATTATTTGTACGTGCGTAGTGCTTCTGTTTGTTTTTCCGATACTAGGCAGAAGTTAGATGAAACACCGTGTTATATGCCTTACATATACATTTCAATGCACTTATTACTTCCCAGAACAGACAGAATCCACTCTTTTGACCAGCAGACTTGTGCTCTTTTATGTGCGGTCACCAAACACATTGGTGTTCATGTTGTTTAGTCGAGATTAACAGAAAACATGAAGTATTTTGTGTTAGAAATAGTGGTAATTATAAAATATGAACATAAAAATCGGGTTTTGTAAATGAGACACTAAACTGGATTTCCTATGTATAGCGAGAAAGCAGTGCGTATTACAAACAATAATGACATGTACACTTACCAATAACAAAATAAATAATAAATGTGGTATAAATGAACAGAAAAACAATGAATCTGAAAAACAACAACTTCGAATAAGCGTTCCTCATACTGAAAAATATATTTCTTTGCTTCTTCTTGAATTGAATTTCCGGCGTAAAGAATACTTTGCTTAAGCTCAACGAGATGGGGCTCAATGTATATACGGCTTATAGTGTCGCAATGCGCGCGCCACCACGCTGGCATCAAGGCACCGTGGTATGGGTTAGAGTTGCCGTGTATGCCAATAGTGGCCTATAACTTAAGCATATAGAGTAACTCTAGTATGGCTTTGGTGGATGTGATGCATGGCGGGTATGAAAAGGGTGTTTCCTCGCAAACGCACACTTCTCAATCGCCGCTGATTTTGGGGCAGTGTATTAGGGGCGAAGCGCTTTAGGGCCTAGCATTGTCCGTCCATGATGTCCGTCCGTCACGTCAGAGGCCAACGTGTGGTTGCTCGGGAACAAAGCCATATTTGTTTCAAAACTAAGCCAAGCGTGCGCCAAGATGAACCGATGTGCTGTGTCGGCGATGTGCCGCATCGATTGACGTGCACATTAGGACCTTAAGAGCTAGCTTTGTCATCTACTCTCACTATCATCTATCATGACATATAGAAAACCGTTGCAATAGTGAAGACACATGTGTGTACGTGAATAAAAAAAAGTCACAGTTTCGCCGCAAGGGCGACTCTATGAATGCGATAGCATCTACTTGGAATGTAACGCTGAGAATGGCAAGCATATCAAAACATGTAGTGGGCTGCTTATGCACAAATGACGCACGGAAACAACAGACACAGCACGAGATTGAATTACAGTTTATAGCTCGACACTTATTACGCTGCTAAAAAATATCGCACGAAACGTAATCAAAGGTAAAGATGAATGCAAACTAACAAGTGTCCCCGTTGTTACTACGTTATGTCTGAAAAGCGCGCTCTTTCGCAAACAGGGCCTGTGCATCCGGCGAAGTGAGCTTTGTGGACCCCAAAACTACAACGCAATCTTCCCGGTGAAGGCCGAAGGCACACCATTTTCTCCTAGTGCAAGATAAGCGCGCACGCACGAGCGCCTGCACCCCCGAACTCCTTCCGCGAGACAAAGTACGCGTGGAAGATGAGCGCACGTTAGCGCATCGCGACGAGCAGGGGGCCGAGCATGCCGAGCATGCTCATTGCACCACCTCACTGGTAATGCTGAAAACATGTTTCCTCTGAGATCAAGACCACCAGCGGTAAGTGGTCGATATAAACAGCTTGCCGTTTCAATGTTGGAGGAGGTGCTTCTTGGTGCCTGAGTAGCTAACTTCAAGCGCTCAGGAGTGAGAGGCCCTGTGTTCGATTCCGCCTGCTGGAGTCTTTTTTTCTGGATTACTTTTCTTTTTCGCGTTTCTATGTGTATATATAGATACTTATACATATATGGTGAATGAAAACGGCGATAAATACGAGCGGCCAAAATAAACCCAGAGTGTCTATATAATTGCTGTAGCAATAAAGAAAGGTTTACGATATGCAAACACAATCACAATTCTGACGAAGCAATATGACACGCCTACAAGCACAAACCTTTTATACTAGTCAGCGACTTCAACCTACACATACGAACCTTTGCATTGAGCTTTGTCATTGACTCTCTAGGTCAAAACATGTCACTCAATTTTCATTATTTGAGGCCACGTTCTAGAAACATATGTGAGACACAAAAAAGGGTATAACAATTCAGTAATATAAATCTTGAGTGTGACAGAACAATACCAGACGCCTACAAGCTCAAAATCTTTATATTAGTCTACGACTTGAACGTAGACATTATGGACCTTAAAATTGAGCTTTGCCCTTTTACCATTCACTTTGTGGAGGTGTGTGAAATTTTTATTAACCAAGTATGTGTAAAATTACTAATAAATTATCTTTGATGTAGTTGTAATGAATTTGATTGCATATTATGTGAAACTAAATTTAGGGCTGTTCACAATAATCACATATAATGTATTATTAACATTTATTTAGTAAAATAAATTTCGCCAGTTTTTTTATTGTCCATCATAATTATCTCCCCGTTTTCTTGTACACTCAAGAGCTAAAAAGGGATATTGAAATAAACTTGCCTGCCATTTCCATCTTGGTACTGAAAAGGACAAGCAATTACAGGTCAGTAGATTTATTGTTTAGAGTGAGCACTGAAAAGCCATATTTCAAAGACAAACTAAATGACGGCAAATGCAGAGGTGCAAAAGTGATTTCTAGGAAAAAAGGAGCAACCACACCACAACAATGAAGATGAGTCTGACGAAATTAAAACAACCTACTTTGGTTTTGCATACACCTTCTAGTTATTTACGCAATTTTGTAGGGATAACGAAATAGGAGACCAGAAATAAAACTGCCCTTGTTCATGATAGACATTGAAAAATCCCAGAATCGATTTTTTCTGAACACAAGTGATCAAAGTACTTTTTTACACACAGCAAGGGCTCATTTTGGCACATTGTATCTCGCAAACAAAGCAAATGAGGACTCATAGCATTGAAACCTAGTTTTTACCAAGGAGGTTTAAAGAAAAATTGCTGGAGTGGAAGCTCCCGCAATGCCTTTCCAGCAGAAACGAAGCCAGCTTTTGCCATGCCAAGAAGTCGGAAACACTGCTCTTTTCTGGTAGTGCCCACTTATATACCAAGTTACTTTGATATGGTATTGTGAATGCTACGTTAGTTTTATATTGAAAGATAGTTGTTTCTAACAAAATAACATACAGAAACGAGTATGTGTGAATGAATCTCTAATGAACTTTGCCTAAAATTAGAGGCGCTCACTAAGAAAAAAACTAGTAACACTAAAACGCAATTAGAGCACTAGGTGACCCAAAAAAGTTTCCACATCCACACTCGTTGGGAGTGCGAAAGAGATGGTCCGTTTTATAGTAGATGTGTCGATGCGCCAGCAAAACTGGCCTGCCAACATGTAAATGTGCAAAATGTATATATTCATGTTTTATTTGTGTCTCTTATTTACCTTGCAACATTTTTTGTGGCTGTGTTTGTGTGAACCACCGAACGTACATGTTCTTTCAACGTCATCTCCTATCCATGTTTATGTAAATGACGTCTGTTTTGTCATCATCGTTATTGTATGTCTAAGAAGTAAATGTTCTGTTGAATGTTATTGGCGTTTGTGACAATACTTTTTTTCTAAACAGATGGAAAGTGGTAGTTTATCATGTCCCTTGTAAGATGGCCGCTGCAGTCACCATCTTGCCATAGGCACGGCTTCAACTCTGGACAATAATTTCCACTTCAGCATTTTTTTAAATATCTTTGGTGTTTACTGAAATCAGCACTCTTCAATTAAAAAAAATCATTAAAATTGAGAGTGGAGTTTTCTTACCTGAGTTTTTCTTAATCAAGCCTTGTAGGAAATACTCGTTTCTTTATATATTCTAATTATTTAAGGGTACCTCCAAGAAAAAAGTGTCTCGACAAAAAGCTTTCGAACTCTTTTCTGTATTTTCCTATGTTTCGTAGTTTCTCCGTGAAATAAAGAAGATGTCCCATGGCGCATCAAAACTAAGAGACCTTTTGGTTTGGGTCAACTTTGATTTTATAAGATTTTTCGCCCCTCTTGAGGGCACGGTAAAAATTATATAATTCACAGTAATGCGTATTGAAGCTTAAACAAAAATGTTCTGACACAATGTTTACAGTTTGAGTTGACTTAGGACATGAAGCACGAATATCTTGCGGTAAGCAAAAACAAGGAGCTCACTGCCAATATCTTCAAATATATTGTAGCGAGCTTGGAGCGTTTCTTGTAAATAAAATTTCCAGTTTCATGTGAATCTGAATGTGCCCATATACAGAAAACGTAGAAAAAAACTAAAAATATTGACAGGGCATGCATGTTAAATCTCTCCTGAAATGAATCCTCCTCGAACCCTTCTCGCTGAGCATGCCACGTGCTTCTTTTTTTTTATTTTCGTGCTAAGTTTTGTGGTACTAATACACCGTCTGCATAAGTGCGCTAAGAAATGTGAAACTTTGTGGAAAATTTCACATCAGATATGCATCTTGGAACACACGCATTGTAATACTTCAAGCACATGTCGACGTATAGTACGTCGTGCTTGGGAAGCATGAACCACCAACCATAGGGTTACCTAAAATTAACTAGGGGAGATTCTGGCATTGCGATCGTTCAGCGACCATGGGAATGATGGGTAGTACACGGATTTGTCTAGTCTTCGTACTTGCGGGTGGCGAATTGCAGTTGTGGCTTCGTTTATTGCTGTGTTTCGGTTTTGTTTCGAAGTGAAGGATGAAACTTTTGGAAGTTCGTGACTTGATTTGAAATGGTAAGTGCAATAAGGTGGTGAAGCGCAACCTATGAGCATTTGCTCATTTTAGCTTTGTGAAAAAGCAGTTCCAAGCCACACACGCACACACATGGGGTCATAAGCACGAAAACTAGAGAAATTCGTGTACTACCCATAATTCCCCATGCTCGCTGAAGCGCCGTTCTTTGCAGTTCCACTAGCACAACAGTTCCTTTATTGTGTATATTTAGGAAATTTTGTGCCACCAACTATCCCAACTCTCACTTCTAGTGTAGTGTGTGCCAAATGCAATGACCAAGGCCCAACGTGTCGACTTCGCTTTTTAGAAGAGGCAGCCGAAAAAAAGAAAGAAATGCACGCATATTTGAGGTGACTTGCAGTTGGCACTCACTGCAGTGCTGATGCCTCAGCTACGATTGTTATGTTAATGTGGTGGTCCCGCAAGTGTCAACAATCTCATAACAATATCATAATATTTGTCACAGCTGTCCTCCCTTGGTACAACTTTTATGGAGTTTAATTTAATCGGCGTGGTATAACATCTGGCCTATTTTCCTCCCACGCACGGCCCTCTGTTTCAGTGTGTGACTTGTGCTGGTCAATTTATGTGTTAAATGATTTTGAGCGCCAGTCACCAACTTGATGCATGGCTATTTGCTATTTTTTTTCAGTTGCAAACGTGGGATCACAAACATAAACGTAGATATTGACAAAAAACGAGATGACAATGCATGTGAACTGCTGAAAGTGGAAAATATGAACGCAGATCTATCACTCTTCGCGGCGAAGAATAGGCAAAATATATATGCAAACCACTCTCCATACGCCGCATTGGGTAAGCTTTAGGTACTTTTCGAAAACCCAAAGAAATTTCAAAAATATTCACGTAATTGGTAACTGCTGGTACGTATGCCCATATAGTATACGACTGCTGAGTGTGAGACAACTATGTAGTAGATGTATGCATTTGATGAAATGCATTACCAACAGCTCATATGAGGACGTAAACGTAGTTTTTTTTTTCAAAAGAGAGGTTCCGTTGAGAGGTTTGTGCAATCTGTATCAAAATTGTTGCATCGGTAGAGAAACAACTACCACCGCCGGTGTAATCCGATGCATTAAGAAGATGCCGATTGCCAATTAATTTACGCGCATGGGCTTGTCTTGCAGTCACGTCAAGATACATCAGGGGCCGTGAAGAGGCCGACTAGAGCTTTTAAAGTGAGAGGGTTAAAGCAAATGCCTAAATAAAAAACTCTTGTATGTCAAAATGAAAAAAAAACGCAGCATAACTCAAACTTTTCGTCAAAAACATAGTTAAATTGCGTTTTGCTGTACTCAGTTCGTTAGTACGAGTTTTGTTCAACACTGAGCACCATGGGTATTTGCAAAAATACAAAAAGTTCTTTGTAAATTGGGGGACTTCGTAAAATCGAGCTTGGTTATATTGAACTTGAACTGCATTTTCTATCGGCCTGGCCTTTCGAAGATGTGTTAAGAAGCTGCCGGCGCAGCACTGGAACACCTTCGGATATCCTCTGATATCGATAAAGCTTGCTGTCGCTGGTACATCGGCAAAAATATGTCAAGCAAGCGTAGAGCGAAAGCTTCTAGATACAAATTGCAACAGGTCGGAGAACAGGGATGGGTGGAAGTGACGCAACTGTCGGTGGAAGCCGCTCCCCGCTTGTGGTGTTTAGAGCCAGAGGCGATAACGACGCATTTCTTGCAGCCTACATTTGTTTGTTCTTTCGAACCTGATACGTAAATAATAGCAAGGGCATGTTCGTCCAAATCCACGTCATTTTCCTCAATATCCCGGCGGATTGAAATAGTTTTTTTTTTGTTTCGATATGACGATTATACGCTTCCTTTGATTCTGCTATAAAAGCAGATCCACTCTCCAACGATGCATTCACACTTTTAAGGACCTTCGCAGAAGACACACATCTTCTCCAAGATGAAGGTACGTGTTGTGCCACCTACTTGACCAATGGTGGCACATCATAATTTTCTTGGCTTGTTATAGAAGACCTCTGACTACTTGGTATTCGAAGTACAAATTGCATTGCTATTGCACAGTCTTGCATACTGTTTGGTTCAGTTACAATCATGTTTCTTTCTCTTATCATACTGAAAGGGTAAGTTGAGCGCAGTGCAACTGATTTCAGCCCCTAATTTTCGTTAGCGTCAGATATTGTAATACATACACGGTCACGTGAGTTTGCAGTGCCGCTTTTTTTTCCCAAATAGTGCTCAGGAACAACCTGGTACCTGAGGAAGGTAGTGAGACATCTGAAAAAAATAGCAAATACTTATAGAACCACCCCACGCTGTGGATAATGCATTCTGTCGCACTATGCTTATTGTTGAACCGTCCATACTGAGGTCCTTGTGTCGTAAAGATTTGGTTCTGTATGCCACCCTAGATATGTCATTAACATTTATTGGAAACCCTAAGTGGGCACCGCAAAACCTTACGGTTTTAGAGTATCGAGACTGTTGTAATGTGTTAACACGAAAGTTAGTTTATTATTTGAAGCTTTTAATTTGAACATGGACATAACGGATGTTGAGTGTTCGTACAGCACAAACACTGCACATGCTAGCCACCTAATAAGCTTTATGATTTACGTTGTGGATACCCTAATATACACTGTGGGGCACAATAAACCAGGGGCTATGTCTTTTCCGCAACTGAAGTGGGCAGCATTCTTGACTATGATTAAAATGAACATAACTGCATCAACGTGAACTGAAACGTTGCTGACCCTCGTAGGACCACTTTTCTTTCAAAATGATCAGCATGTGGAAGAAATGCTTCATAACGATCTTATACCTGTAGAGCGATAACACTGTGAAATTGTGTGAATTGCAATTATTTAACAGGTATGAATGGTGTACGCTTTCTTCGATAACGCAGACCTTCGCCGCCGCTGTCTGCGCCCTCCTAGTCTGCAGCGCTTACGCTGAAAAGGACGAGAAGGTGGAAGCACGTGGAGGTCTCTTGGGTGCTGGTCTTGGAGGTTACGGCGCTGGTGTCGGAGGAGCTGGACTTGTCGGCGCTGGTGTCGGAGGACCCGGACTTGTCGGGGCTGGTGTCGGAGGACCCGGTCTTGTCGGGGCTGGTCTCGGAGGCGTCGGCCTTGGCGGCGGATATGGCGGAGGCTTCCAGTCTGGCTACGGCAATGCCGCCGGTGGCCACCAGGCTGGATTCCAGCATGGCGCTGGTGGTTACAACCAGGGCTCCGGAGCATTCGCTGGCGGTGCCTCCAACAGGAACGTGAACGCTTACAATGACAACAAGGGCTACAGCCACAGCTCAGGCTTCTCGGCCTCTGACAGCAAGGCCTTCGGCTCTGGACACAAGCAGGGATCTTCTGGCTTCCAAGGTGGCGCTGCCGGTCAACAGGGAGGATATGGATCTCAGTCATTCGGACACCAGGCTGGGACTGGCTATGGTGGTGGATACCTTGGTTAGATGTAAGTTCGTCGCCAAAGGAACTCTTGAAATGTTACATGTAACCTGTGCTCACATGTAATCGCGTGCAGTCCCCAAGAGCTTACATCTTATAACGGGATGCATGAGACACCACCTACACGGCCCTCCCCCATGCTCAGTCTCATGGCGAGAGCGTCATGGGGATCCCATTTCGCTAAAGTGAAAAAAGACACTCTGGCACGAAACTGGGCTATATTTGCATTGTTCTCTACGTTTAGATAGACTTGAGGCTCATGTGCTTAAAATGCACGTGCACGCTAAGAAACCAAAGTTCCCGGAGATGTCCGCTACGATGTCTCACATAGAAATATTGTGGTTTTAGGAGGTTTAATACGAACAATTAGTACTGTTTCTTTGTTCTTGGAAAATTACCTAATTAAAATAACGGGTGGTAATAAGCGTTCAGATGTGGAACAGAGTTATACAAAGAACATAACTAGGATTTACACTTTTCTAACGTTTATGAATTAAGAGTAGTAAGAAATTAGGCTGCACAAATTGGTATTGCGATATCGCAAAATACTAATGCCGGGTGATTTAAAATGAGTTCGAAACTTTTAATTAACTACGATCTTACACGCCGCCGCGCATAATTTAGGCCAATAAGTTCGCGTTTCATATTATAACCGAAGGAAAAATGGGAACAATATATTCATATTGAATGTTTACAATGACAATGGACATAAGAATTTTTTTTCTCTTTCTCTCTTTTACACAGTGAATGCTTCACATGAAGAGGAACGTCGGCTGCTTTCAACTCGCTACACGGACATCAGAGAGGGAAATAAAAGTTGGTCTCTTTAAAGCTGAAGACGAATTTGTTTATCTTTCTGTATTCTTAAGTCTCTAGTGATACTGTACATTGTTCACATTACTCCACTGATCGCACGTCATAGAACCATGGACGAATATTGCCTTCAATATAAGAATATGACTATAGTTATAGCGCGAGAACAGAACGACGACAAAGAGACGAAAAGGAGACGAGCACTCGTGTCCTTCTCTTCTCTTTGTCGTCGTTCTGTTCTCGCGCTATAACTATCGTCATCTCATACCAACTAGCCCAAACTGCAATACTTCTAAAACGAATATCGTCGGGGCCCAGCCAGCCAGCACAAGAATACATCACGCTGATTTTCGAACGAATGAATGAACAGACTTTATTTCTGGGGAGATACAGGAAACCGAAGCGAAGCTAAAGGCCATTCAGCCTGACGTGGCTTCGCTACGCAAACGCTACGTTCACGATGTAAACCAGAAATACCCGCGAATGCATTCATACTGGAAGCATAGTTTAAGGCTGCTATTCACGGTTGCCGTTCGAACCCTTGCACGGCACATAAAGGGCGTAAACCTACACGACGAAGCTGCTTCGGCCGTTATGTGGAGTCAGCACAAAAAACCTAATGTTCTATTTAGACCGGTAATGTGATGCGATCATGTGATCGGTTGTCCTCCAGCCAACTAATCACGTGATCGATTGATAACCACTCATGTGATCACTTTCATTTCTACTTGACAGCCAATGACAATATATATCATGGCCACATTGAATAGACCGTAATAAGTATATTTTTAGCCCCATTATGTATCAAGATGGACAGATCATGAGCTCAAGGTTAGAGAATATAGCTGCAGGACTAATCTTTTTAAAAGCCCTTATTGCCCCAAAACTATTTTTGAATGGAATCGTCTGCCTGCTGACAAGGTCAGCATAATAGATAACGAAGCTTTTGCCGCCGCTCTTTGACATCTCATTCTGTCTTCGGCTGCAGTCGACTTTTATGCAGTGTTTTTAGTTCTTATCACATCGGTTTTGTATTTTTTATGTTTGTACAGTATAAAATTCATTTTTGTTTTCTCTCTTCGTCTAGGTTAGCTGCTCTTTATGTAATTCTTTTGTATTGACAACAATTTATGCCGCTATTTATCCTTAGTTTTTCACTACCAATGTTCTTGAAATCTATGATTTATAAATTCTCTGTGTAACCCCCCCCCCCTACCCACTGTAATACGTAAATGGCGCTGTGGGTACGAATGCAAAAAAATGACAAGCTTAGTACGAATAGAAGAAAGACCGCGAGTTCTGAAAATTAACTCGGTGGTCTTGACTCTATCCGGCAAAATATTTCCGTCTCAATGAAGGTACTTACAGCTTGGCGCAGCACCTGGCGAGACTAACAGCTCAGGGAGAAAAAAAACATAACTGAAGAAGTTATAGGAACATCTGGGCTAGCTTGCTAATTTCAGTTTCACTGTTTGGTAAACGAACAGTTTAGTGATCATAATATAGTAAGTGTAATTTAATACAGAGCGTGTAATTGTGGATAATGAATAGTTCAATAAAGTAACAACAATCAACAATTATGACAGCCAGAAATGTAATCGACTGTTTCTATTACTGAACTGACCGAAATGCAACTATATATGCGTTGGTGATGTCTGCCAGCCAAGAAAAAAAATCACCTACCAAGCTCATTGTACACAGAATTAGCTAACGAAGTTGAAGTGCGCCACTCCGGTGATTATCAATGAATTAACTTTGACATTTAGGTAAAGATTTTTTCAAACTTTCAGAATTTACTCATAAAAAAACTGCCTGTAAATCTGTCAGATCACGACAACGTTACTTCAAGGCACTTTATAATCATTGCAACAAGACTAATGAAATAATTGTTGAGCCTAAATTTTTTATAGTAACTAGTTCTCATTAGGTTGTAATGATGATTATGATGATGATAAACAATCTTTATTTAATTAGCAGAAAGATCCTCCTCCCCTTTCAGGTGCGAGGGGGGATACCAAACCTAGACGACGGCTATGATCCCATGTGCCTTGGCGGCGTCTTCGGCCTGCCGCATTAAGTGGGCTTGTAATTGAGAGTCAGAGTGGTGGAGCGCGGTAATCCTTCCACTCCCATTTGGGAATTCACCTCTCATGGGGGCCTGCGGGCACGCCCATAACATGACGCTCAAGTCCGCCCTGTTGTTGCAAAATTTACCCTTGTCCGAATGGAGTTCGGCAAGCTGCAGTTCATTGTCACCGGACTAGGGAATGTATTGGTCTAGAGCAGGCAACACGCCACCACATGTCCTTTGTTCAATGACGAAAGTGTGGGAGGATAAATTTTCCTGCTTAGCCTGTAACACTGGGTATTATCCCTGCAAGTGGCCATCCGCTCAAATTTCTCGTCGTCCTCCCAGCGCGACCAGGGCAATCCAGAGGCTAGGTCTGTGAGTCCTCGAGCTGTTTGGTGTGCAGCCTCATTGCCGAGTATGGATGACTGAGCGGGTGCCCAGATTATATCTATTGTTCTTTGATCTTTGTGACCAGCTAATATTCTTAAAGCTATCAGCAATATTCGCCCTCGTGCAAAGTTTCTGACAACCGTCTGCGAGTCGCTAACGATTAGTGATGTCGAGGTGGATGCTAAGGCCTCTTCGCCTCTTCTACAAAGCTTGTTCTCACCGAGCCGCTGTCCTTATGCTTTCCGTGGTAGTCCACTCCTGGTATAGTCATGTTGTCACTTCCTTTGTATTTGGCCACGTCTACGTACGTTGTTTCCGGTAAATCTAATACGTTGTTATGTATATTTTGCGCTCTTTCAGCTCTCCTTGCCTTGTGATGATCGGGGTTCACGTATTTGGTACCGGTAAGATTACTAAACATTTCCTGGTCTCATACGCAATGTCCTCATTGGTGCCGTATTGATTTGTGTAGTTCATAGCCAGTTCCTCTAATATGCTCTGCCTGTTTTACTATGCGTCATTCGTTCATATTGTTCGGTTCTCTGAGCTTCTATAAACTCCTCTGATGTGCTTTGAAGCCCTAATTGAAGTAATTTCTCATTAGGGGTAGTTGCTAAATCTCCAATTGCCTGTTTAAAAGCTAGTCTAATGATACTGGCAATCCTTTCTCTCTCAGCCACTTGAAGTCTAAGGTACGGAATCACATATACAATACGACTGATGACAAAAGCCTGTACCAGTTTTTTCATAATATGTTCTTTCATACAATAGTGCCGGTTTGCAATTCATTTAGGTAGATGCATAATTTGCTGCGCACAGGTTTCAAGTAATCTAATCGCCTCGCCGTTATGTCCGTTCGAGCTCATTCGAAGTCCCAGTATTCTTATGCTTTCAACCATAGACATTTGCTTTTTGCCAACAAAGATTTTAATGTTAGGTTTTTCCTGGATACTTTTCCGACCCTTACATCCAAGGTTGTAGGAAAGATGTTTTGATTTTTCTGGTGAGCATTGTAATCCTGTATGGGTGGCATATTCTTCTCCAATAATCACTGCGGTTTCTAACGTTTCCTCTGTGTATCCGCCACTACCTTCTGATATCCATAAGGTAATGTCATATGCATAGAGGCTATGGAGGAGTTCAGTCTGGTAGGAAGACCTATCATGGCCACATTAAAAAGAAAGAAGCATAGGACTGAACCTTGCGGCGTTCCTCTGCGGCCCAGACTAAACTGTTGGGATTCTGCTTCGCCTAGTATTATTCTTGCAGTCCGGTCTGTTAAAAAAGTCTTTCATGTAATCGTGTAATCTTTTTCCAACCTCATAACGCTTCAAGAGCGGCAAGTATAGCTTGATGTGATTTATTATCGAATGTCTTTTTTAGGATTCAAGCCAACTATGATCTTTGTATTATGTGTATTGAGACCCGAAATATTATTTTGATTAAATATATATAGTTATCCTCACGTAAATGATGCTTACTTTTGGCGTCAACAGAATCAAACCTTAGGCATGAATATAGTGCTAATTCATGTTTGGTTATGTCAATCTTCAGCAAAGAAAAATTTGCTCGCTGGAAGCGGCACGTCCTACAACGCGTTGGACGTGGCAATGGCTTCATAAAAGTGATGATATGTATGGTACACTGCAAAATGAAGGTAAATGAAAACAAATTTATCATGAAGAAGGTTCTATTCGTCCAAAGTACTATATACTTTCCTCTTATTGGATGCCAATGGCAAAAACGAGTGGTATCAAAGGGTAAATTAGTTCTTACGTCTGTGCAAAATAATTGACTTGTATATGGACATGTATTCTCTTTAGCTTTATCGGAATTGTGGTGAGTGCATCGTTAGTGACATTTCGAGGAATGTCAAGCAGGTGTACTGGCCGCTACACAAACGAGGAGAGCAAAATTTTCCCAAAAATATGTAAGTAAATGTAATATATAAATATATGTAAATATGTAATATGTTTTTTCCCAAAAATATGTTTTCCCGAAAACATGCAAGCTAGAGGACGGTTTCTCTGATTAGCAGTTCACTGAAAAGTAGTGAGGCTTGCTCTATTACTGTGGGGCCAGGTGTTTTTACTTGCATAGGACGGGCGAATTTTTGGCCTTGCCAGATACAGCTTTCTTGCGAAACTCATTTTACGTTAGTTGACGAATTCGCGTAATTTCACTCTGATCAAAAAGTCACTGCCAAGTGAGAAACTCGCAAACGAGGAATAACGACATTACGTCATATGTTAGACTGTGATCATGCTAACAATAATATTTTACTTTGTGGGGTTTTACGTCCAGAACATTTATACGCTGTTAGGTTTGGCCTGGGGATTCGTCTCTCAATCCCTTCGCCGCCAAGTCTGACGGACGCTGTCAAGTATTTGAGTGATTATCCAGACCAGGCGGCGGGCAGAGGCGAGTCCCGTCCTTCAAGTGCGGACCCTTTGGTCGTCCCTTCGAGCAGCAGCGTGACTGATGGCCTCATCGACTCGTCGGGCGACAGGAGGGCTGGCGTGGCCGGCGCCGGAGCTGACAGAGGAGCGGCGCTCCCTTTTGA